AAGACTCAAAATCAAGCGGAAAAGGGGATATTACAATTGATACCACAGAAATTCAAAAGGATCTATGATAAACAACATTATGAATAATTTGGAAACCTAGAAGAAATGCCTAAAATTCTGGACACATAAGCTACCAAAGCATGAGCACAGAGAAATGCTGAACAAGGGGGCCAGTGCTATGGTGTGGTGGGTGAGGCCTCCACCTGCAGGGCCTGCATCCCATGGGGGCGCTGGTTCAAAACCCAGATGCTCCACTTTCCATCCATCTCTCTGCTGTGGCCTGGGAGGGCAGTGGAAGATGGCCCAACTTCAAGGGCCCCTGCACCCATGTGGGAGACCAGGATTTGGGAGAGTGAACCAGTGGATCAAAGACCTCCCTCTCCTGCTCCCTCTGTGGCTCGGCCTTTCAAATAAATAAGTAAATCTTAAGAAAAAGAAATGCTGAAGAGATCAATGGTGATTAATCAAACTGAATAACAGTTCTTCGACAAAGAAAAACATAGGATCGTATGACTCTGCTGCTGATTTCTACCAAAAACTGAACAGTTGAAAAGAGGGGATCCTTCCTACCTCATTCTGCAAATCAGCATCACTCCAGTACCAAAACAAGACAAAGATACCAAACAACAAAAAACCCAAAATCCAAACAAATTAGACCAATCTCCCTATTGAATGAAACAGCACATCAAAAATATTCATTAGTATCAAGTAGGATTTGTACCCAAGATGAACAGTTTTACACATACAAAATAAATGAACAAAAAAAAGCATAAAAATCTTATGATCATCTCAGTAAGATCAAGACAAAGTATTCTGTGAAGCCCAACATCTATTCATGAAAAAAAAAAAAAAACTGAACAAATTAGGTATAGAAAGATACCTCAAAAGCTATAAAGGAAAATCCACAATCAACCGCATGCTGAACGCATTTTCTTTCAATCTGGAATCAGAAATGCTTGCCTATCCTCACCACTTTTATCCAATACAGTACTAAAAATCTTAGAGCACTTAGTCAAGAGAAAGAAAGAAAAGACATACAAAGAAGGAAACCAATCAATTTATCCTTGTTTGTAGATTCTGTGATTTTTGTAAGATATAGAAAAACCTGAAGATTTCTCAAAACACTATTAGAACTGATAAACCAAGTCAGTGAAGTTGCAGCAGGAAAAAAAAAAAACATTAAAAAATCATTATCATTTTTATACACCAGAAACAAGTTCACTGAGAAAACAAAGTATTGGCCAGCGCCGTGGCTCACTAGGCTAATCCTCCGCCTAGCGGCGCCGGCACACCGGGTTCTAGTCCCGGTCGGGGCGCCGGATTCTGTCCCGGTTGCCCCTCTTCCAGGCCAGCCCTCTGCTGTGGCCAGGGAGTGCAGTGGAGGATGGCCCAAGTACTTGGGCCCTGCACCACATGGGAGACCAGGAAAAGCACCTGGCTCCTGGCTCCTGCCATTGGATCAGCGCGGTGCGGCCGCAGCGCGCTGGCCGTGGCGGCCATTGGAGGGTGAACCAACGGCAAAGGAAGACCTTTCTCTCTGTCTCTCTCTCTCACTGTCCACTCTGCCTGTCAAAAAGTAAAATTAAAAAAAAAAAAAAGACCAACACAATGCGATCTACAAATCAGTAATGAAAAAGTAAAGGCACACTAATAAAAAGATCCCCCACATTCATGGATTGACAAATTGTTATACTACCCAAAGCAATTTACATATTCAATGCAATCCCCATCAAAATATCAGTAACACTCTTCACCAAACCAGAAAAAAAAATGCTAAAATCCAAAGGCAGCATAAAAGTCCCCACATAGCCAACCAATCTTTAACAAAAGGAAACATGCATTATCACTAACTGATCTAAAGAAACAGAAAACCTAAACAGACATGGAAGTCAATGCACCAGAGATCCCATTAAAAAAAAAATCTAACACCAACAGTCAACTGAAGATTCACAACAAAGGCGCCAAAGAAACGCCAACTGCAAAGCAAATAGCCTCTTCAGTAAGCGGTGTTGAGAAAACTGGATATCCATCTGCAGAAGACTTGACTTCCGTCTCTCACCTGATATAGAAGTCAATGCAGGAGCCTGTGCTGTGGTGTAGTAGGCTAAGCCTCTGCCTGCAGTGCCAGCATCCCATATGAGCACTGGTTCTTCTCCCAGCTGCTACTCTTCTGATCCAGCTCTCTGCTTATGGCCCGGGGAAAGCATTGGAAGATGGCTCAAGTTGAGCCCCTGTGCCCACATGGGAGACCTGGAAGAAGCTCCTAGCTCCTGGCTTCAGATTGGCTTAGTTTCGATTGTTGTGGCCATTTGGGAATGAACCAGCAGATTTAAGATCTCTGTATCTCCCTCTCTTTGTCTATAACTCTGCCTCTCAAATAAATAAAATCTTAACACTGTGAAAGCATAGGCAACTAAAGTTAAGTAAGATAAATGGGAATTATATCAAAATGAGAGTCTTAGCAAAAGAAACAGAGCAGGGGCCTGTGCTGTGGTGTAGCAGGTAAAGCCACCACCAGAAGTGCTGGCATTCCATAAGGGTGCTGGTTTGAGTCCTGGCTTCTCCACTTCCCATCCAGCTCTCTGCTATGGCCGGGGAAGGCAGTGGGAGATGGCCCAAGTCCTTGGGCCCTTGTACTCTCATGGGAGACCGAGAAGAAGCTTCTGGCTTCGGATCAGCACAGCTCTGGCCGTCGTAGCCAATTGGGGAATGAACCAGTGGATGGAAAACCTCTCTTCCCTCCTCTTCCCCCCCACCACCTCTCTTCCACCCTCCTCCCCCCCCTTCTCTCTGTGTAACTTTTTCAAATAAACAAACAAATATTAAAAAAAGGAGAAGAGGTAAAGCAGTGCAATCAGCGTGTCTGTGTTAGGCTCAGCATTTAATTCTGGTCTTGAGTGTCTTCGGCAGCCAGTATTAAGGGGGATATTAGCCAGTGGCCCATGAGATTGTAAGGATGCTGTTACAGGCACTGATCACAGCCCCCTGTGGTGCCAGCAGACGCTTCTGCACTTAGTCCCAGGGCTTCTCCTGAAAGAAGCCTATCACAGGACTTCCATAACACTGCTCTAGTTTTCTTTACTTCAGCTACCAGAACGCTCCCAATCAAAATTCTGGCCCATCCTCAGTGCTATGGTGTAGTGGGTAAAGCCACCACCTGCTGTGCCAGCATCCCATATGGGTGCTGGTTGTAGTCCCAGCTGCTCCTCTTCCAATTCAATTCTCTGCTAATGTGCCTGGGAAAGCAGCAGAAGATGGCCCATGTGACTCAGAAGAAGCTCCTGGCATTGTGGCCATTAGGGGAGTGAACCAGTGGATGGGACAAAGGCACAAGGGCACAGAGGCACACACACACACACACACACACACACACAGAATCTTCTATCCACTGGTTCACTCCCCAAATGGCTACAACGGCCAGAACCGAGCTGATCCGAAGTCAACTGATGGACTGGGATTACTCATCAGGATGCATAAGGAACTCAACCAATTCCGCAACAAAATAATCATCATAGATATAAAATGGGCAAATGATATGATTAGACACATCTCAAAAGAACAAATTAAAACATCAACATATATATTAAAGAATGTTCAATGTAACTAATCGTCAGGGAACTATAAATCAAAACCACAGTGAAATAGTGCCTCACCCTCATCTGAATATTTACTGTCAAAAAGACAAAAACTTAACAAAGGCTGGGATAATGTGGAGAACAGGGAAGTCTTATATACTGTTGGTGGAACTCTAAGTACAGCCATGGTGGAGAACAGTACAGTGGTTCCACAAAAACACTAAAATAAATCTAGCTAATGATCCAGCTATCCTATTTCCGGGTATATATCCAAATGAAACAAAATCAGCAAATTAAAGAGATACATCCACTTCCATGTAGCTAAGATATACAATAAGCTTAAATGCCTATCAATGGATAAGTGGAATACACATATTCCTATATACAGTATACGCCAACCATAAAAAAGAATGATATCCTACCATTTCCAGCAAAAAAATATAATTTTGAACATCATGTAAAGTAAAATAAGTCAGACACAAAGACAAATAAGGCACATGTTTGGTCTTATCTGGAAGCTAACAGTGGTTACTGAGGAACAAAAAAAAAGCGAAGTTGGAGAACAGACACACCAAAACAAAGTCAGAAGCAAGAGGTTCTATTTTGTACAGCTCAATGGAGGTGACTACAGTCCACAATAATTTATTACGCACTTTATGAATAAACAGAGAAGGGGAGCTGAAAGTAATCGTGAGAGGGAAACCTGAACTTCTCTGATGTGACCCCATTACAGTTATTGAAACATCACTCCACACTCCATGCTATGTACGATTGAATATGTTTCAGATGCAAAGGTTAACTCAGCTATCTGATCACTACTTCTTGAACATATTTATTGAATTATCACATAATAGCCTTTAAGATGTGTTAAACCATTACATTTTAAACTGCAAAAAATATTTTTACAAAACATTTGAAAATAAATAACTGAAGATTTGGCATCATTTACCTGATACCATACAATGTAACATATCAAATAAGCCTAGTTAATTTAATACCTCCCTTTCATATGGTGCAGGGCATTCTCGAACATATCAAACATTTGGGGAAACGTATCAGATATATCAATGTTTAGAAACTTTTTTTTACAATTTTTTAACTTTATTTAATCAATATATAAACTCTTGATTAAAATGAAATAACAGGTCAGTGTTATATAATCATGTGACAGGTGAGACAATGGGAATCGGAGACCAGTGTGACAGGTGAGACCTGGGGACACAGGGACCAGTGTGTGACAGGTTAGACCTGGGGAACACAGGACCAGTGTGTGACAGGTGAGACCTGGTGATGCGGGGAACGTGTGTGACAGGTGAGCACTGGGAACAAGGAGAGTATGTGACAGGTGAGCACTGGTGACTCAGGACCAGTTTTGACAGGTGAGCACTGGGAAAACAGGACCAGTGTATGACAGGTGAGAACTCGGGACTCAGGGACCAGTGTATGACAGGTGAGCACGGGGACACCTGACCAGTGTGTGGCAGGTGAGACCTGGGGGACACAGGACCAGTGTATGACAGGTGAGAACTCGGGACTCAGGGACTAGTGTATGACAGGTGAGCAAAGGGACACAGGACCAGTGTGTGAAAGGTGAGACCTGGTGACGCGGGGACCAGTGTGTGACAGGTGAGCACAGGGAACAAGGAGAGTATGTGACAGGTGAGCACTGGTGACTCAGGACCAGTTTTGACAGGTGAGCACTCGGGACTGAGGGACCAGTGTATGACAGGTGAGCACGGGGACATAGGACCAGTGTGTGACAGGTGAGATCTGGGGGGCACAGGGACCATGTGTGACAGGTAAGACCTGGGGACAGAACCAGTGTGTGACAGGTGAGCACTGGGGACATAGGGACCAGTGTGTGACAGGAAAGTCCAGGGACACAGGACCATTGTGTGACAGGTGAGACCTGGGGGGCAGAGGGACCAGTGTGTGCCAGGTGAGAACTGAGGGCAGAGGGACCAGTGTGTGACAGGTGAGACCTGGGGACTCAGGGACCAGTGTGTGACAGGTGAGACCTGAGGGCAGAGGGACCATTGTGTGACAGGTGAGCACTGGGACACAAGGACCAGTGTGTGACAGGTGAGACCTGGAGACTCAGGAACCTGTGTGTGACAAATGAGACCTGGGGACTCAGGGACAATGTGTGACAGGTGAGACCTGTGACTCAGGACCAGTGTATGACAGGTGAGACATGAGGACACAGGGACAGTGTGTGACATGTGAGCACTGGGGAAACAGGGACCAGTGTGTGGCAGGTGAGACCTGGGGGACACAGGACCAGTGTATGACAGGTGAGAACTCGGGACTCAGGGACTAGTGTATAACAGGTGAGCAAAGGGACACAGGACCAGTGTGTGGCAGGTGAGATCTGGGGGGCACAGGGACCAGGGTGTGACAGGTGAGCACTGGGACACAGGACCACTGTGTGACAGGTGAGACCTGGGGGGCACAGGGACCAGTGTGTGCCAGGTGAGACCTGAGAAAAGAGGGACCAGTGTGTGACAGGTGAGACCTGGGGACTCAGGGACCAGTGTGTGACAGGTGAGATCTGGGGGGCACAGGGACCAGTGTGTGACAGGTGAGCACTGGGCACTCAGGGACCAGTGTGTGACAGGTGAGCCCGGGGACACAGGACCAGTGTGTGACAGGTGAGACCTGGGGGCACAGGGACCAGTGTGTGACAGGTGAACACTGGGGACTCAGGACCAGTGTGTGACAGGTGAGCACAGGTGACTAAGGAACAGTGTGTGACAGGTGAGAACGCGGGGGCACAGGGACCAGTGTGTGACAGGTGAGACCTGGGACACAGGGCCAGTGTGTGACAAGTGAGACCTGGGGATTCAGGGACAGTGTGTGACAGGTGAGACCTGGGGACTCATGACCATTGTGTGACAGGTGAGCACTGGGACACAGGACCAGTGTGTGACAGGTGAGCACAGGTGACTAAGGAACAGTGTGTGACAGGTGAGAACGTGGGGGCACAGGGACCAGTGTGTGACAGGTGAGAACGCGGGGGCACAGGGACCAGTGTGTGACAGGTGAGACCTGGGGATTCAGGGACAGTGTGTGACAGGTGAGACCTGGGGACTCATGACCATTGTGTGACAGGTGAGCACTGGGACACAGGACCAGTGTGTGACAGGTGAGACCTGGGGACTCAGGGACCAGTGTGTGACAGGAGAGACCTGGGGGGCACAGGGACCAGTGTGTGCCAGGTGAGAACGCGGGGGCACAGGGACCAGTGTGTGCCAGGTGAGACCTGAGAACAGAGGGACCAGTGTGTGACAGGTGAGCACTGGGGACACAGGGAACAGTGTGTGACAGGTGAGACCTGGGACACAGGACCAGTGTGTGACAGGTGAGACCTGGGGACTCAGGTACCTGTGTGTGACAAGTTAGACCTGGGGACTCAGGGACAGTTTGTAACAGGTGAGATCTGGGACACAGGACCAGTGTGTGACAGGTGAGTCCTGAGGACATAAGGACAGTGTGTAAAAGGTGAGCACTGGTTACTCAGGACCAGTGTGTGACAGGAGAGACCTGGGGACACAGGACCAGTGTGTGACAGGTGAGCACTGGGGACACAGGGACCAGTGTGTGACAGGTGAGCCCGGGGACACAGGACCAGTGTGTGACAGGTTAGCACTGGGGACACAGGGACCAGTGTGTGACAGGTGAGACCTGGGTACTCAGGACCAGTGTGTGACAGGTGAGCACTGGGGGACAGGGACCAGTGTGTGACAGGTGAGACCTGGGGGGCACAGGGACCAGTGTGTGGCAGGTGAGACCTGAGGACACAGGGACCAGTGTGTGACAGGTGAGACCTGGGGACTCAGGCACAGTGTTGACAGGTGAGCACTGGGGGACCTTGAGGGACCTGTGTGTGACAGGTGAGCCCCGGGGTCACGGGGGCGCCGGGAACCTAGGGAGAACCCAGCCCTGTGAGTCGGAACTCTGACGTGTAGCTATCCAGTGTTGTCCGGGTCGGAGGGTCTGGCAGTACAGGATCCTACAGGGCTAACGTCGCGTAGGTCCTGGGCAGCGACAGACACAGGGAGCACTGGCGAACACCGTTACCGGTGCCTGGACAGGTTCTGTGCGGGGGGAATACCGACGCGTGACGGTCCCAGACGGCGCAGAGGGGCTTCCCAGGGTCCTGGCGCCCGGACCCGCACAGGCCGTGGGATCCGGCCCGAGCGCCGAGGTCGCTCGGTTCGCTCCGCGCCGTGTAAGGGCCGGGCCGCCCTGGCCGCGCCGCAGCACCTACAACAGGTCCCAACCTCCTTTCCGCTAGGACCCGCCCCTCTCACCCTGACCACGCCCCTCGACGCACCGAGCACCGCGTATCGCGAGAACTCCCCACGGGCTCTTTTCTGACGTTTCCCGCGGTGATAGTAGCTTCTCGCTCTCGCGATACTTCAGGGAACACGGGAGCCCGGGCGACCCGGGCTTCTGTGAAACATGGCGGTCGGCTGGGACCGTAACACAAGGTAAAGGACCGACGCTCCGCTGGGTGCCGTTCCTGTGGTCGTCCCAGGGCTGGGCCGGGCGGGAACGCGGTTCAGGCGGCTGGGCGCCAGGCGTGGGCGCGGCTTCCCGTCTACCTCGCTCGCTTCCCCGGCAGCGGGGCGGACGGAGGAGCCGCTTCCACATCCCCCGAACGGGGGCGTTCCTGGCAGGACCCTGGGCAGCGCTGCGGGGGGCAGCGCCCTGGCCCTGGCCCGGCCGTCCCCGCGCTGCCCGGCCCCTCGCTGGCGTGGCGATGGGGCCTGGGGAGCTCCCGGCGCTGTCCCTTAGCTGCTGGCAGCGCCCGGTGCCCCCGCGGCTGAGTCCGTGGGCGAGTGGGGTCTCGCCGCCCCGGACACGCTGGGCGTTCTTGGCTCCGCTGGCGCTGTCGAGGAAGGAACGAGGTCCCGGCCTCGTGCGGCTCGGGAATGGCAGGTGCGAGTGTCGGTGGACCCGCGGGGCCGTGGGGAGGGGCCGTGGGGTCTGGGGCCTGGGGGTCCGGGGGCCCGGGGGTCTCGGGGCCTGGGGGTCTGGGGGGCTTGGGGGCCGGGGGCCCGGGGGTCTGGGGGTCCAGGGGCCTAGGGGCCTGGGGGCCTGGGGGTCTGGGGGTCTGGGGGTCTGGGGGTCTGGGGGGCCGGTCGTACCTGGAGCCCTGGCCCGCAGTCGGAACTTGAGTATTTAGGGTCGGTGCCCTGCAGCCTGCCTCCACCGTGACGGGTGTTACAATGTTGCAAGGCTGGCTTTTAGAAACAGATACAGTGAAAAGCAGGAGTAGGTCACGCTTGCGGTTGTAACCAAGTATTCCCATTGCTCACCCGATACATTGAACTCTAGACATATTGGAAAGAAACAAGTCCGGTCTGTACGCTGAAAGACGACTTTGATTATTTAACTCATTTTCTTGTTGATCATCTTTTAAATGCATGCAAGCATCCAGTTCTCTTGGAGAGAAAGCATGAGGCTATTTAATTCCTTGGGTTTTAAGAGTGGGGGTGTTTTGTTCCTCTTGATGGTAAACTTTTAATTCACAACTGAATATTGATGTGGCTGCGTGGTACACAACAAACAATATTTCAAGTTTGAAAGAGTTCCCAAAGAAAATCAGGCCCAGTCCGGAATAGTAACAAAGGTGTAACCGACCCCAGAAAATTGTGTTCTCTGGGGGTCAGTGATTTAACTGGAAGAAACGGAGAACTTGATTTTTAATAGAAGTTACTTTTAGGCAGTGTGTTCCATGCTGCGAATCCCATTTAACCATTTCCCTGACTTTTTCGATAACATAGTGACTAAATAACGCCTTTCTGCGCCTCAGTTTCTTCCTTGGTAAAATGAGAGTGATGGTATAGAGATCCCTGCCTCCTGGGGCGCTTTGAGGTTTACATGTGCTTCAGTAAGCAGCGCCTTTGGAGCAGGATCTCCCGCCAGCATGCAGTGTTAGCTCTGGTTATTTTTTATTTGCATTTTCTAGCTTCTGTGTTTACAAAACTTGCCTTGATACTTAGTCAAAATATAGACTGGAGAAGATATATTTAAAAATAATTTCTGTCTGACTCCTCCAGTTGATTAAAATACTGCTTGGTGTAGGTGGTTATTATTTTCTTGAATTCCATCTTTCAGGTGCTTATTTCCATAAGCTGCTATCTTTATAAGGCGCAAGTTCTTTGTTTCTGCTTTTTTTCTCTACTTGGTCATTTGTTGGCTGTGCTGTTTGCTTTTGAGAACAGTCATTCTCTTATAAATGCATTTCATATATCCCTGACCCTTTCCTCACATGTTCCTTATGCTTTGGCAATGTAATTTTCTTTAAAAGATGTTATTTATTTATTTGAGAGGTAGAGTTACAGACAGTGGGAGGGAGAGACAGAGAAAGGTCTTTGTTCCGTTGGTTCATTCCCCAGATGGCCACAACGGCCTGAACTGTGCCGATCTGAAGCCAGGAGCCAGGAGCTTCTTCCAGGTCTCCCATGTGGGTGCAGGGGCCCAAGGACTTGGGCCATCTTGTACTGCCTTCCCAGGCCATGGCAGACAGCTGGAGTGAAAGAGGAGCAGTCGAAACCGGCGCCCATATGGGATGTGGTGCCACAGGCGGAGGATTAACCTGTGCCGTGGTGCCGGCCCCTCGTACTGTAGTTTTGTGCATTTTTGTTGAGTAGCTGCTCTGTAGGAGTCAAGGTGTTCCTTGCGTGGGATATCCTTGTCTTTGCCTCAAATTGTTACTAGGCACTTTCTGTTGGAACCACTGTCAGTGTGTATCATCCTTACTCTGTGACAATATCAAAAAAGTTTGGATGTCTTCCTATTTTTCCCGGAAGATGTTAATAGTGAAATCTCAAATATCCTGTAAATCTTTGCATTTCTCCAGTTAATTAGAAACATATTTATTAAATGCCTCATTTTTATCTTGATGAAACACTAAGATGGGTGCCAGCATTGTGGCACAGTAAGTGCAGACAGTGCAGGCATCCCATATCTCAGTGTTGATTCAGGCAAGTCCTGGCTGCCCTGCTTCCCACCCGGCTCCCTGCTGATGAGCAAGGGAAGGCAGTGGTGCCTGAGCCAGAGATACCGATGTGGGAGAACTGGATGGGTTCCCGGCTTTGGCCTGGCCCAGTCTCTGACTTTGAATTTTAGTGTATGTGCTGCCACAGCAAGCACTCTATCTGACTTTCAAATAAATAAACCCTTAAAATGAAACCCATGAGTTTACCATTATTTCCCCATTTTCTCTTTTCAGTCTTGTAGAGGGGGAACTCTGAATTTGAGGATCTTGCCAAGTTTGTCACACAACTAGTGAGTGCACATGTGTTGAAAAACTAGTAAATGCCTAGGTAGTCAGGTTTTCCTCAGATTTTAACCTCTTACTTTGTTTCCAAATAAACTTTTTTTAAAAATTATTTTATGGCTGTTAGATTTATTTAACTCATGTTGAGGTAAACAAAATTTTAAATGTTTAATTTAAAATAATTGTATAAATTTATAATTAATAGGTGCAAGTTTTAAAGTAAAATTAAATTGTTTTTTGGGTGCAGAATATCTAGTGGTTATAAAGTGGAATTAAGCTATCTTATAAAATGGTTTCTGCTGTAAAGTATTCTCCCCCCCCCCCCCCGCCTTTTTTTTTAAAGATTTACTCATTTTTGAAAGTTGGGGAGAGACAAATCTCCCACCAGGTGTTCACTCGCCAGTTCACTGATACACCCAGTCGTGGGACAGGCCAAAGCCAGGAGCTTCATCCAAGTTTCCCACATGGGTGGCAGAGGCTCAAGTACTTGGGCCATCTTCTGCTTTCCCAGACCAGTTAGCAGGGAGCTGGAGCTGGAGTGCTCAGGACTTGAATTAGCACCCACTTGGGATGCTGCCACTGCAGTCCTGGCTTTACCCACGCCACAACAGCAGCCTCTATAAAGTATTCTAATGCGATATAATTAGTTTAAAATTAGAGATGTATTAAGTCTTAGTTTTTGCTTCTGAAGTTCAGAATATTTGTTTTACGTCCTCGCCCATTATTGTTAATTGCTGATAGTAGTTTTCCAAGGCTGCCGTAACAAGTTACCATGACCTGGGAGGCATAAAACAACAGTAGTTTGTTTTCCCACCTGTCTGAAGTCCAGAAGTCCAAAAGCCAGGGTGTTGGCGGTGTCCTGCTCCCTGTGAAGGCTCTGGGGAAGAATCACATCATCTCCCTAATTTCTGGAAATCTGTGTGCTCCTTGGAGTATGGATCCTTTTTTGAACCTCAGCCTTTCCATGCCCATCTCCCTGCGTGCCTTCCTGTGTCCTTTTTTTTTTTTTTTTGTTAAAGATTTATTTATTTATTTGAAAGAGTTACACTGATAGAGAAGGAGAGCAGAAAGAGAGAGAGGTCTTCCATCAGCTGGTTCACTCCCCAGTTGGCTGCATTGGCAGGAGCTGTGCTGATCAGGAGCCAGGAGCCAGGAGCTTCTTCCGGGTCTCCCATGTGTTTGCAGGGGCCCAAGGACTTGGGTCATCTTCTGCTGCTTTCCCAGGCCATAGCAGAGAGCTGGATAGGAAGTGGAGCAGCCGGGTCTCGAACCGGTGCCCATATGGGATGCTGGCTCTTCAGGCCAGGGCGTTAACTCACTGCACCACAGCACTGCCCCCCCACCCCCATGTCCTTTTTATAAGGACAAACCAGTCATTGCATTTTGTCCTAATTCATTAGGATAGCATCTTAATAAATTATATCTGAAAAAAAAAAAAAAACCTAAGTGCAAATAAGTCTTGTTCATAGATAACAGGAGTACAGACTTCAGTATCTTTTTTATGCACTGGGAGACATAAATCAAATCAGAATGTGGCCATAGGTTTTAACTGATTTGGTGTTTCTCATACTGCTAAATAGATGTTAAAAGGAGAAGTTAACTCATAAAAGTTGGGTCTCAAGAGACAAATTTTGTTTTTATTTTTGCTTGGAGAAGTAATTAAACATAATTTCATTGATTAAAATGTTTCATGAATTCTATAATTTGTACAGGCCATCTGGTGGTCTCATGGTGTTCAGATGAATACAGTGTTGACACATAGGCTGTTTTACAGCACTTAGATTGGTTGTAAGGGCTGTCTGTGTTCCAGCACGTAAGGGGTTCCTCTTAAACAGATTTTCAAAGTAGTGCTTTAGTTTTAACTGTCATCAGTGACTTTTTGGAATGACTTTGTTTGCTAATATACAGTATAGTTTACATCAAAGAAAACAGATGTGGTACAGGAGATAGTGAGGTTCTGAATAGCAACACCAGCTAGTGTGTAGAGGACTCTAGTGCAGTGGCTCCTACATTTTTGAGGATCAGTGCAAACAAATATCTATAGAAGAAGAAGAAAATGAGAAAAAGGGCAGATTTGATTGCTGACATAGACCTACAGTTTTTAATTTTGCTAAATAAGGATATCCAAAAACAAAACACATTAAAACCTCTCATCTCCTTTGATCATTTTGGAAAGGAACTTTATGTAAAGGACATGTTAACCCACAAAAAGGAAGTAATCTAATAACGAACAGATTTTTAAATTGAGGAAGTCTATCTGTTAAAAAATTTCCTACATTCTTGTTTTCTCCATTTAGTTAGAGACTAGAACATTTTGTTATAGGGGCAGGTGTATAGCATAGTGGTTAAGACGCCTCCATCTCACATTGGAGTGCCTGGGTCCAATTCCCGGCTCCAGCTCCTGACCCTGGCTTCCTGCTAATGCAGACCCTGGAAGGCAGCAGTATTGGGTCCCTGCCATTCATGTGGGAGAGCTGGATTGTGTTCCAAGCTCCTAGCTTCTCTCTTGGCCTTTGAGGGTGTTTGTGGAATGAACCATTGGATGGGTGTGGATGTTCTCTCTGCCTCTGAAATGAGTAACATTAAAAAATTGTTACAAACTGGTAGTGATTTCTTGAAAGCATTGATCTATGGGAATTTCTTTTTCTAAAAATTATTTTATTTGAGAGGTAGAAAGAGTACTCCCATCTGCTGGTTCACTCCCCAAAATACCTACAATGGGCAGGGCTGGGCCATCCTGAAGCCAGGAGCCTAGAACTCAGTTCAGGGCTCCCACTGAGTGGCAGGAACCCAACTACTTGAGACATCACTTGTTGCATCCAAGAGAGTTCATTAGCAGGAAGCAGAAATCAGGAGCAGAGTGAAGACTTGAGACCAGGCACTCGAATGTGGAACCCAGGTGTCCCAAGAGATGTCTTAACCACTGTGCCAAATACCCACATCTGACCTGGGATATTTCTAAATGCATTCTTGAAAATGACACAGCAAGCTGATTAGAGAAGCAAATAGTTTGGGAAGGAAGCAATGGAACTGGGTAACTGAGAAGAGTGAAGGGGCTTGAGAACACCACTGAAAATGAAGACAAGACCTGTCTTAGGACATTGAACACCTTGATGGACAGTGAATCCCACTCAGTGAAAATTTGAATTTTGGATTGCAGAGGTGCAGGTAAGCCAACACTTGACTTTGCTGCTTTGCGTGTAGGTTTGCAGGGAAGGTTTGCCTGGAATTAAAATGGAGGTCCCTGGAGTAGAAGAACTGTTAAGCTTATATGATAAAATGACTGGCTGGTGGGCTGTGAATGAATGGCATAGGATCATTAATTTTGAAGGATTACAATGGAATGTGAAAGAAGAGAAACATATTGGTGATCCAGGTGCTGAAGTCATTAAGGAAATTATGAGTATACCCAGATGTTGGTGGAAGGTGGCAGCAAGCAGTGGAGTGAGTCAGTGTGCACTGTGGTTGGAACAGACTCAGAGCTAAGCTGCTTGGGATGAAGTCCAAGTTCTACCACCTGCTGTGTGACACTGCAGAAAGTATTTGTTTTGTGCCTCATTTCGTCATCTATAAATTGGAAAATTGTATCTGCTTAAGAATAATTAAGAGGATTAAAAATTAATTTTTACAAAGTGCTTCATATGATACCTAGTGTGAAACATGAATGTTGGCTGTAGTTCTAACTATGTAGTATACATATGTGTTCACTGTTAGGAGGATGAAGTGGATTTGATTGGGAAGAGACAGTTGGGAAATTAGATAAAACGTGGTACTCTTTTACCCTGAAAGTCTCAGAAGTGTAAGGATAGGAAGGAAACTAAAACAAGAGAAAAATCAAGTTTCGTAAAGAGTGCAGGTAGACTGCTTTTAGAAAAACTAGGTTATTGTATGACTTACTCATGTCAAAACAGTGACTTTATGGAGTCGTGTGGCAAGTATTAGAGATGGAATGGATTTCCTGGAGGTTGGTCCATGCTAAATTACAGGCAGGAGACAAGAGGAACAGCAGACTGGCAGGTGCCATATTCCAGAAAGATAATGGAAACTGGAGATGGGGGAAGCCAGAGAGAGTTAGCCGAGTAGAGTATTTGGGCTAGATTTACAAGGAGGGAATACTGAATATGTTGATGCATTATTAGGGGTTTGTGCAGCTAACCAACCACTTGTTTGCCTTATGCTTGTACTTATGTGTGACTTTAGCATTCATAAAGCTTCTTATATGTAACAGTATAGCAAGTTCCAGAAGTTGAATTCACTGTTTTATCCACTTACTCAACAGGTCTGTCCTGACGATGTGATAACCACTATTCTTGGTGTTGGGATACTGTAATGAACATAACCGAAAAAAATCCTTCTCCTTGTAGGTCTTCTATTTTTGTGTAGTTGTTAACTTAAATGTGACACTTTGTTACAGTTTCAGTTGTGCTACTATGGATGTTGTGGGGGAAATTACTTTCCTTCCTTCCCTTGATATTTATTGACTACCTGTTTTGCCAGTCATTGGAGATACAAAGATCAACTCAGACAAGGTTCCTGCCCTAACAATACAATGACGAAAACAGAAAATGAAAAAAGCAATGAGAAATGTTCTGATAAAGTACGGTGTTCTAGGAGCACATATACTTTGAGAGCTGTGGAGGCTTTTTGCTCCACAAGGAAGAGGTGAGAAGACTGGGATTGAAAAATAGGCGGGAGGGGCTCTGGCACCGGCACCCATATAGACTGCAGTTCGTCCTGGCTGCTCCACTTCCGACCCAGCTCTCTGCTGATGGCCTGGGAAAGCAGTGGAGGATGGCCCAACTGCTCGGGGCTGTGCACCTACCTGGGAGACCCTGAAGAAGCTCCTGGCTGCTGGCCTCGGCTTGGCCCAGCCCCAGCAGTTGCAGCCATTCAGGAGTGAACCAGCGGATGGAAGATCTCTCTTTGTCTCTCTATTTCTTTGTAACTCTGCCTTTCAAATAAATAAATAAATCTTAGAAAAATAAAATAGAAGAGAGAAAGGGGAGAAAGAATATTTCTGGCAGTACCGAGCCTTTGAGGAATCAGAAGTGAAGAGAATTGGGTGTGAAGCAAGGTGAGCAGGACCCGAGTTTTGAAAGCCTTTGTAGACCATTTTACAGTGGAGTACAAACTCTAAGTGCAGCGTGAAGTTATTCAAAGAGTGTAAGAGAATTGCTGTAAGATCAGATTTTTATATTAAGAAAGACAATTCATTACCAAATGGGGAGTGAGGTGAAGGTTTAAAGAACAGAGGTTATTGAACCAATGCAGTGATGCAGTGTGGCATTTGAGACTAGAGTCCTAGAAGCAGTGCAGGGGGAGATTGGTGTTGGGGACTTCAGTGCCAGTAAGGAACTTGTTGATGGGACCTGGACACATTTTAGAGAAATGGAAGAACAGCTGAACTGTGTGGATGCAAACCATGTTTCTGGCCTGTGAATTTGGGTGTGCATGGTATTATCGTTAGGGTAGGGATATAGGAGGAGGAATAGTTTTGATAGGATGAAGTATTTGTTTTTGAGTTGGTTGAGTCTGAATGATCTTTGAAATGTCTAATGAAAAGCTAAGAGAAGGCTAGGAGATACAGATGTCTCCAGAAAGATTTGGGTTGGTAGTGAAGATTTGGGAGAAATCGTAGTAGACATTGAAGGAATGGGACATCACTTAGGGAAGGAGTGGAGTTAGAACCAAAGAAATATGAAATTGCAAAGTAGGCAAGACGTTCTTACAGGTAGGCTGGAGATCAGGACCACGGTGCCATTTTTGCTAAAGTGAGAAAGTGGTAGTCCTCTCTTTGGTGAAATTAGATAATCACTAAATTTCCATTGGATTTAATACTAAGGGGGTTGTTAATTACTTTCTGGGAGCAAGTTTGTTTAGAGATGAGAATATTAAAACCGTGTGCAGGAGAGGCAGAATCCCAACATGAGGCTCACTTTGACTAGCAGGTCCCTGGTCAGGGCCGCCTCTCCTGGACAGGGTTAGGGTTGTTGCCAGGCTTTGTCTCTGATGCTTTTCCCGGCACGAAAGCCTTTCCTGTGTTAAGCCCACCCGACAGATTGCAGAGAAGAGGACAGTCTCTTCCTCTCAGTGATTCCTGAAACCCCCTGACTGACCCTCCTATTACATGGTGATTTTATTACCACAGCATTGGTTTCTGGGAGTTCTTTATAATATCACCTACAGTATTATTTTTAAATTAGCTTTGTGAAATTATGCAGTCATCTGAGATTTGTCGCCATCTGTTTAGCTTTATTATATTTTTAATGTGATTAGCATACTAATCAAAACAGAAATAGCAGTCAATTGTTTAAGTAGTATTTTATAAAACTATGTAACTATGAAATTAAAATTATATCACAAGACAGTTAAAATCCTATTATCTATTTTTACCATTTTTTGTATAGTTTTCATTTTTTCTTGAAATTGTTTTCCCATCTCATAAAATTGAGATCATTAAGGCTTCTAATCTTTTTTTATTACCATACCATGAATTTTTAAATTATGCATTAAATATTTTCTTTTATAAGATTTTCAGTGGCTACATAGATAAAGACCTATTAAATTACCACAATCTGTATGGATACTATGAGTTTATTTTTCTTCTGTATTAAAAAAAAATGAGAAGTACTCAGATATTCCAGATATTTGTTCATAATCTAGGTTGTTGTCTTAGGATGCATTTCTGAAGAAGAATTTATATATTCAAAATATATTTATATTCAAAATATATTGATACTATTGTTAGCAATGTATGAGCATGCCTGCTGTACTTAATTATTACAGGGAATTTTTTTTATTGCATTTCCCAGTTTTATAGGAGAAATTATTTCTAAATGCAATTTGTGTGTTTCAATATTATGGATGTGATTGAGTTGCTCTTCGCTTTTTTGTGTGTGTAAACTGCCAGTCATTGGTAGTTTTTGCTGGGGTGGTGGAGAGGAGTAGTTATGAAAAAGTCTGAAGCTTTTTTTTCCTGAAGCGAAGTTGAGAATGTGAGGTTGTTATAAGGGCATTTGCCAATTATCCCAAAAGAAAGAAAGCCTGGTTCTCTTTAGGAACTCACTTATTCATAACTTATTCTTTAGCATGACTATATGAAAGAAGAAGAAGGCGTTCCTGAAGATGAGGCGACTGAATCGGAAAAAAACCTTAAGTTTGGTCAAAGAGTTGGACGCCTTTCCCAAGGTTCCTGACAGCTATGTAGAGACTTCGGCCAGCGGGGGTACAGGTGAGTGTCAGTGCAGCACCTCGGAGAGAAATGGGGCGATGAGGAAGCACCACCAGCGAGCTGTGCTCTGAGTGTGAAACTGTTGGGCCTGTCCTCCTGTCATGCTGTTTGCTGTTTTGTTTTCTGTATAGTAGTCAAACCAATGCCACCTGTGCATTTAGCAGCATTTATTAAGATATTAGTGAACAAATTATTCCAGTTTTACTGGGTATTCAGTTGTGTACACTTAACAATATTTTTATAAATAATTGAATCTGCAGTTGGAGATATTTAATGGTGCTAAAACGGCTTCGTTACTGTTTCAATCAAAAGTAAATCAGTATAGACATCATTAAAAACAATTCTTGTTGCTATCAAGAGGCACCACGAGCTCATGATTAGTTAAGAACTTAGACTTTGAAACTAAACTGCTTTCAGATTTCACCTCTGCTCCTTCCTTCTGACCTTGAAGAACTTCCTCATATCTGTTTGTGCCTTTATTCTCTGTGTCACTGTATCAGTTAGCCTAGTGGATACTGCCAAGTGCTCACAGTGAGGCCCAGCCTCCTGAGTACTGGGCATGGCTGCGGGCCTGCCGCTGCCTAAGCGGGCCTTGTGAAGGCCTATCTTCCTAAATGCAGTGCAGCTGCAGTAAGCAGGAGGTTTGGGTTATTATTAGATACTGCTTTCAGAAAAACTCCTTCTCATACCTCAGGGACATAGAAGGTGAGCCAGGAGCAGCATGACCCCAGGAGCAACTTGAACTTTGGCTTTCCACCATAAGTGTGTCACACGATGCTTACCCCCTTGCTTGTGCCTGCTTGTTATTCTTTTTCAATGATTAGTCCAGCTGTACATTCCTAATTGTTACGTTACTAGTTGACCCCTAGACTAAATAATAAAGAGTGCTGGCTGGAGCTGTCTGGCAGCACACTTGGGATGAAGGTGTTCATGTTTCGGCTCATCGTTTGAAACTCTACAAGTTAGGTTAATACTCATAAAATGCTTAGAGCAACATCTGGTAGAGATACAAATAAAATAAAAATGAACTATATCAGAAAAATATGTGTCTGTAACAATTTTTACTGCTGTTACTCTTCCCATAAAGAGCTAATAAGATAATAGACTTTACAAATAAGATCAACATTTGACAAAATGTATAAGTTCCTTACTATTTCTAGTCACTTATGATTACATTCTTAATGAAAATATTGCAAGTTCTTGTACAACTTTTTTTTTTCAGAGTATATGATAATTCTTTGCTTGTTAGATTATTCAGTCAGTTTTATAGATGGGATAATATACTTAAGAGATTTCAAAACAAAGTAGAATATTAGATACCTACAGATGTTATTTGAGGTGCTGGCAAAAAGATTGTTGTGGTTTGTTAGGATCCAAGAACTTATGCTAATTTGTTTTAAATAGAGATATAGGCCTGGACACATTGTTAAAAATGAAGGAACTACTTAGAAATTTGTCCTGTGACTATGCTTACTGTCATTTCTCCTATCTGTGACATTGCTATATACTCCTATAAAAAGCAGAAATATTCTGTGCTTCATAAAATTTTGGCACATACCGTTTTGTGAGAGATACCCTTAAAGAAAGAAATGCCTTCTCAGTAATATAAATATTTATGTTTGTATTTGTGCTCATTATCTGCATTTTCGATTCTTTTAGGGAAATATCTCTAAGAAATGCTTTATAATGTTCATTCAAACAGCATTCATATTAGGTGAATTTTAACTTCAGTTTCCTGTGGTTTGCTTTTTTGATTGTTTTAATTTTTTCTTTGTTGCATTCCTCAGTTTCTCTGATAGCGTTTACCACTATGGCTTTATTAACAATAATGGAATTCTCAGTGTATCAAGATACATGGATGAAGTATGAATATGAAGTAGACAAGGACTTTTCTAGGTAACGATTTTAATCTTGAAAAACATTTTAATCCAAATTATTTTGAAAACAGCATGCCATCTGGCTTATTTTAGTTTTGTAGAAATAGTCTTGAATAGTTTGTTGTGATTAAGTTTCAGATGAAATGTTTTAGAATCATTTAAATGCTAGTTAAAAATGGAGGTTCTCTGATTTAATATGTGCTTATTCAAGAAGTTAGAACATATATTCATGTATTTTCCCTTAGATGTCACTATGGCAGAAATTAACTGCTCTGTAGACTTTGAAATATCTTACTGATCTTTGAACTGACAAACGAATTGTCTTAAGTTACATTGTATAAACTTATAACTTAATTTTTATATATTATACTGAAGGTGAATTTTATATGTAAATAATATCACTTTTTTTTTTTTTTTTTTGACAGGCAGAGTGGACAGTGAGAGAGAGAGACAGAGAGAAAGGTCTTCCTTTGCCGTTGGTTCACCCTCCAATGGCTGCCGCGGCCGGTGCACCGCGCTGATCCGAAGGCAGGAGCCAGGTGCTTCTTCCTGGTCTCCCATGGGGTGCAGGGCCCAAGCACCTGGGCCATCCTCCACTGCACTCCCTGGCCACAGCAGAGAGCTGGCCTGGAAGAGGGGCAACCGGGACAGATTCCGGCGCCCCGACTGGGACTAGAACCCGGTATACCGGCGCCGCTAGGCGGAGGATTAGCCTAGTGAGCTATGGCTTCAGCCAAATAATATCACTTTTAAACCTTTAATTTTTACTTGTTTACTGGATTACTGTAACAGGCTCCAGTATTAAGATTGTACTAGAGGCCGGTGCTGCGGCTCAATAGCCTGATCCTCCGCCTGCGACGCCGGCACCCTGGGTTCCAGTCCCGGTCGGGGCGTGGGTCCTGTCCCGGTTGCTCCTCTTCCAGGCCAGCTCTCTGCTGTGGCCCAGGAGTTCAGTGGAGGATGGCCCAAGTGCTTGGGCCCTGCATCCGCATGGGAGACCAGGAGGAAGCACCTGGCTCCTGGCTTTGGATCGGCGCAGCGCCAGCCGCAGCGGCCATTGAGGGGTAAACCAACGGTAACGGAAGACCTTTCTCTGTGTCTCTCTCTCACTGCCCACTCTGCCTGTCAAAAAAAAAAAAAAAAAAATTAAGAAAGAAAGAAACAGAAAGAAAGATTGTACTAGAAAGGGAGATGCACAGTTTCTCTGTCCCAGTGCTTTTCCTGCCGTTTAATGGCTATGTGCTGTGGGAAATTATTTAATCTGGATGGGTCATTATATTATTTTTGCAGTACTCTCCTCACGGGGCTTCGGATCATTAAATAAATCAACATTTGTAAATTGCTCTGTACCCTTGGGCAAGTTTCACAGCTGAATTCTTTTGTGCCTCAGGTGGTTCATCTTTAACATGATTATCCCCTGAGATACCACTGATTTTTAAGGAATTTGTTATTGTTTCGTTTGTTTTTAGCACCAGTGAAACATTTCATGTTTTTGCAAAGAACTCTCAGATGGTTCACCACATGAGTGGAGGGGCATGTACAGAAGCCTTTGCGCTTAGCTTCTTCCTCTGGTTCTTACAGCATCTCCTAAACCTGTCCCAAGATTATCTGGAGCCCACTTTGAACTTTAGGCACCTCAAGACTCTTTGAGGCTCTAAAAAATCTATCATCCCTTTTGAAATCAGATGATAATTAATGGTGTGAAACTTTTTTTTTCTTTCAAAGACTTAATTTTTTCAAAAGGCAGACTGACGAGGAAGGAAGGAGGGAGAGAAAGAGAGGAGAGAAAAATCTTCCCTCTGCTGGTTCACTCTTCAGATAGCTGCAACAGCCAGGGCCAAGCCAGGAGCCAGTCTGGGCATTTGGGCCATCTGGTATTTGAAAATTACGTACTTGAACCATCACTGCAGCTCCTTAGAAAGTGTGTTAGCTGGAATGAGAGCCAGGACTCAGCTGGGATGTGAGATAACAGGTGTCCTAAGGCGCAGCAGAACCACTGTGCCACATGACCATCCTGCAATCCAAGTTCTTACTGTCTTGTTTCACTCTGTTGGAAGTCCAAGTTCTTCCGTTTATAGATCCATTGATTTTTTTGTGTGTTTTGCTGAATAATTTGTGGGTACTGATGATTCCTTTTTTTGTCTTGTAGCAAATTGAGAATTAATATAGATATTACTGTGGCCATGAAGTGTCAGTGTAAGTACACCTTTAATATAATGAATCTGTATGCTTTTTACATTTTAAAAATTGTCAATAAAAAGTATAAAAACCATTTACTATGTTTTAGCTTTATTTTTCCATTATATTTAAAATCTTTACAGTGATTTTAGTTAATAATGCAAGATATTCCTCAACACATGTTCTTTATGTTTCTGCTCCAAAAAAAAGATGCTTAACTTTTAATTAGTATAATTAAATGGGAAAAATTTTTGTTGGTCAGATTTCTAGTGTTGAGTTTAGGTGCCTTGCCTTCTTTTGTTGATGAAATACTGGTTTTTACAGCCCCATACCATTCCACGCATACCCAGCTTCACTGCCTGGCTTTACCACCATTCACTGAATGCTCATTTGAAAATACAGATGGAGGGGCAGGCACTGTGGAGTAGGCTTGGCTTCCCTGTGCGGTGCTGGCCTCCCCGATGGGCGCCCGTTGGTGTCCCAGCTGCCTCTCTTCACATCCATCTCCTGGGCAAGTAGTGGAAGATGGCCCTGCATCCACGTGGGAGATTCGGAAGAAGCTTCTGGCTCCTGCCTTTGGATTGGCCCAGCTCTGGCCATTGTAGCCATTTGGGGAGTGAACCAGTGGATGGAAGACCTCTCTTTCTGTCTCTTTCTCTCTCTCTGTCTATAACTCTGCCTGTCAAATAAATAAATAAAATCTTTAAAAAATATATGTAGATTGAGTTATGTTACTAGTAATACCTTTTCTGTTTTGTTCACTGGCTTCACTTAATTGTACTGGTAGAAGTGGAAAGATGTTAATATGTCAGATAATGTTGGACTATGAGGCTGCTTTTAATTTATTGAAGAACAGAGACCAAGAAAATGTTAGTCCAGACAAAATTGGTTAATTGTGAAATAGTTTTACCTAATTTAGGGAATTAACTTCTGGGAGATTTAATCTCAGAACAACCTAAAATCATTTTCTCTTTTCCATTTATTTTTCCTTCTGTTACTGCTTTTATGAACTATTTTGTATCTAAACTTTGAGTTAGCGTTACTACTGAATATATCATATTGTGACTTACTTTGTATGTTTGAATGCTGTTACAATTTTAGTTTTTCAAAATAAAGTTTGATTTTTTTAAAAGATTATAAGTACCTTTGCCTTAACATTTCTTTTACTCTCCAAGAACACTTGTTTTCTTGTAATTAATTTTGTTCAACAGACATTTAATACTGATCATTAGGTTTTGCCAGTTGTTACAAAGTTGTTTAATTCTTTAAAATTCATGCTTTTTACTATGGAATTCTGAGACATCTTGTTCACTGATCAAGAAATGGAAAAACATTATTGAATTTTTGAGTACCCTTCAACAGTGCTTTATAATGCTATTGTTTTAACTTTAGGACAAAGGAGCGGTATTGAAAAGCGTTACTGTATACGTTGTTAGTTTTTTGTTGGTGGTCTTAATTTGTTCATGTCACATATAGTTTCATGGTATATAATAAAACTTCATTTTCTTTTTATGCAGATGTTGGAGCAGATGTGTTAGATTTAGCAGAAACAATGGTTGCATCTGCAGATGGTCTAGTTTATGAACCAGTAAGTTTGCTTCATATGGTTTCAGAAATAAATGCTTTGAAGAATTGTACCCTTAAAGACATTTTTCATATTTGCTTTTAGTTTTGTCTGAGCTGGTTTTATATATAACTTTTATGTATTTCATAAGGAACCCATATTCTTTGTGAAAACTTTAGACAAGGGGGCTTTTATGTCTGATAGCAAAGCCTTGAGATAACTGATGTTAATACTAGAGAGAGTAGAAAGACTGTCAGGTAACCTTACTTTATATTTTTTGTTAATGCTTCCTAGTAAATTCCTTTTTTCTTTCAGCTGCTATAGTGATGAAACTTTCTCCTTTTCCTGTAATGATTTAGAAACTGATGTTCTCGTTGCATCTTTTACCGAAGTTAAGTCTTGAAAAATAGTGTAGCTATATTTCTCTTATTATCAAGAATGAAACAACATCTTTCTGGGAAATTTCATGGGTATTTGCTACTTGCTCCCTCCTTTGTATTTTTTTTCACCACAGCTTGTTAAAGGCTGGTATTCCTTTATTGTCTTCAAAGCACAAGTTATGCCTAACAAGGCTGATCCTGCAGAAAACACCGTCACAGTGGAGGGCAGGGATGGTGCTGGCGCGTCAGAATGAGAACCAGCTCTCCAGCAGCTTTCGGGACCAAGCAGGGAGCCCCAGTTACCTGGAGTTGCCCATTGCTCTCTGGCATTGTGGAGCTTCCCTTTACACACGTGTTGATGAGTGAGGACCACAGGGGTGGGGTGGGGCAGAAGTAATGTGTAGGCTGAAGAAGAAAGAAGGAAAACTTTGGCTGGTTTTGATTACTGAATTATTTTTAATTTACAACAACAAATTACAAGTGTGCTTTTGATGCATACTTTTTAAAAAGAAATTTCTACAAAAATGTAACTTTGTTATTGGTATTCTGATCCTCTCTTCTTCCTGACGTCTGACCTCAGTCTGCCCACTGAAAATACTGTTTTTATAGTAATTATGAGATTAGATCCCTTACAAATTCAGACACCATGTTACAGTATGTTAAGCTGTTAAATTCTGTACTGTTTTAATAATAATCATACATTATGCTTTGCTGCTCTTTTCTACTTTAGTTTATTTATGCTATTTTTGTGAGAGGCCTTTTAGCTCTTTCTTTTTCAGCAGGAACATATGCTTGTCTTTTATGGCTTCTAGCATGACTGTGTCTGTTCTGTATACATGGAAATGGAGGTCAGGTTGGCTGAGGATTCAAGTCTGCTTTATGGGGTTTAGAACTCAAAATTTTACAGACATGGCCTCCTTGTCTTCTGGCACAATTTGATTTTTCTTCTTTTGTAGGTAATGTAATTCCTGGTTGTTTTTTATTTTATTTTTGAAATTCAGCTTTTTACGTTAGAATGCCATTTGTGGGTTGCCATGAATTTTTTTCTGGTTCTTGGTGTTTCGATAATGTGAATTTTTTTGTCTGCTTGCTTTCATGTTCAAAGTATACTTTCAATTTTCCCTTTTAAAATTCTTATCATGTGATGTTGAATTTCATGGGGTTGTTCTCAGTATCCTTATTTCTTGAATTTCATGCACATTTTGAGCTTCACCTCTGCATTCTGAGAGGCTACCTTGATTTAGTAGGACTTGTGTGTGTGTGTGTGTGGCCGGTCTAGGTGAAAGGAGGGGGTATACGGGCTAGATAAACCGTTTCTTCTCAGATTAGCACTTCTGATGCTTTTGGAAAGAGGAGTCATTACAGGGCCCAGGACGGCAGAGTGGTTCACATGGCATCCCAGGTTTCATCTTCTGTGTTTGTTTTGACAGGCTAAATTTAGCTCAGGGAACAGCTCCTCTAATGAAGAGGCCTGTCTCTATCCTAGACGTCAGCTGTGGCCTGCTCTTCCTTGATTTAGGACACTCTTGGGTGTGCGCAGTCTCCTCTCTGTGTGGCCCTGGCACCTGGTTGAACTCATACACTGTGTCTTCAAGTACCTGGTTGTCCTTTAGCACCTGTCTCCTCTGTTGCTCTGCACTGGGCCAATCTTTTCACTTTCTGCCCATGTAGGCTTTCCTATCCCATGAACATGAAATGAAATGGGATTGGTCTTAGTTGGCCTGTCTTGTGTGCTCTCTTGTGTATGTTCTTGAAGTTTCCAGCATGCAGTGCTTAGTTTAAATGACAGTGAGGAGTGTATCCTCATTTTTATGCTGCTTTGCGCGTTATGAGAAGTTGGCTATGAGGGGACTGAAAAGTATTTACATAATATCATGCATTTAGCTTCTAAAATGAGTTTATACTGTTTGTCTAGCTTTTTCTTCTGACCGCATCATGTTGCCTCTCTAATTTTTTTTGTATTTATTACATTCCTTATTTAAATTTTTTATCTGCATTTCTTATCTGTCTAACTGAACTTTAAGCTCTTGAAACATATCAACTTTTTTTTTTTAATCTGTAGAGTTCCAGGTGTATAGCACGATTACTTGCAGGTAGTAGGCAGTTATGACTATGCTTGAGTTATACAGCTGTGACAGGATTATAGATTATTTTCATTGTAAATCTTCTGCCATCTATTCCAGTTGTTGTGAAATGAAAAAGGGTTATGTAAAAAAGTCATGTCCTAACTAGAAAGCTATAAATTTCAAAATACTTATGTATTTATATACATATACTTTTCATCAGTAATATTTAAAGTATTTATTTTTGTTATTGACACTGATTTCCTTGTCCTAGTTTATAAAGTACTTAAGAATTCCTATTTTTAATGTGAAATAATTTAAAATATAATTTTACTTTAAAATTTTTTAATCTTCTATTTGAACATGCACTCTCAATATTAAAAACTTAGCTACTAACTTTACTGGTTTCCTTACCATGATCATGCAGTAGGCTGTAGTGATCTCTATTTTGCTTTTTATTATTATATTTAGCTGCCATTTAGTTAATGAATTTTTTAAAGATGAAAAACTAAGGAACTTGAAAGAGCTGAGCTTATATATTGTCCCTTACTCTTTGTGATTTTGGAAAAAGTTTGTAAACGTTTAAGATACTGCTCCCTGGTATGCAAAAAGGAATGAATAATAAGGAGCCCATAAATTGTCGTGAAGTTTAAGTGAGATTATGAATTAGCTTAGTGCCTAGTACAAGTAGGCTATAAAGTAATTCCTTTTACATGTTTGAGCTGATTAAGTGCTATATTGAGCAGGTTGGGGAACTCAGAGAATCATGCAGTTTCTCCCGTCAATGATTTTTTGGTAAATTAGCTGGGGATCAGTTGCAAGCAGCCCTGTTTGTTCCATGGTGAGTTTTACAGTTGGCAGCATCTTCTCCTGTGCTGTGCAGGGAAGGGTGGGAACCATGGAGTCGAAGCAAGCATCAGAGAGATGGAGGCAGTGAGCTTAGAGCACGTGGTTGTGAAGAACTGACGTGAACATTGAGGCTCAGAGTGACTGCCGAGGCTTTCCTTCTGGTCGGTGTGATTAAGTTACCAGGGTGCAGAGGACGGCTGTGTGGTGGGACGGAGGCTTGCTTCACCGGGATCAGAATGGTTTGCAAGGGGAGAGTACTAGGTTAGAGTGCGAATGTGGAGGGATAATCACTCATGTGAATAATTTTAAAAGAAGAATTATTATGCTTTGCTTTGAATTGCCCTTAAACAAGCAAAAGTGAACTTGTTGCCAAATTGTGAATATTGCCATAAACCATGAGAAGCTTTTATATGTCCTCTGATTCTACAAGTAGCGAAGTCTGACTTGAAAATGATAAGGATAGTGCCTACATGAAATATCTTGAATTGTTTTTATGGTTAGTATGTTTGGGAATTACCATGCCACTTTTAAATGTTTTTCAGAAGTTTTTATTTCAACGTGGCATTTTTACCATCCATGAGAAGAGTCTTGGATGCTTACATATTACACCTCCGCTCTGTGTCGTTGTTTGCCATTATAATACTGAAGAGTTTTTTGGTTAGCATCATTTAAATTATTTAATATCCCAAAATACTCTTCTGTACTTAGGACAGATTGCCAACTTGCATCTGTTCTATAAATGTAGACAACAATAATAGGGAAATATTTGTGATTAGTGAAATTTACTTATACTATTTTTAAGTAAAAATATCACATGTTAAAGATTTATAATTTGGCTTACAAAAGATTAAATGTATATCATAAATCTTTGTTTTTAATAATACTGTAAGTTTGTTTTTTTGCTCAACATTTTAAAGCATTGTAAAAGCCAAGACTATTTGACAATGCCAGTGATTATGTTTTGCTTTATTTCAGGCAATATTTGATCTTTCACCACATCAAAGAGAGTGGCAGAGGTAATAAATGAACAAAGTATTTTGGTACATAGAAGTCTACATCACATTTTGTCTATTTTGCTTATGGTGAACTCTCTATAGGTTAACATATTTCGGTAGATGCAATATTAACATAATTTAATTTATAGTTTCAAAAACTATCAGATCTTAGGAAACTCATGCAAAACCTTTTCTGTAGTACATATTGAGCAATTCTTTTTATTTATTTTTACTTAAAAATTTTTAGTTATTAAAGTTAGATGTGGGGACCGGAGCTGTGGCACAGCAGGTTAAAGCTCTGGCCTGCAGTGCCGGCGTCCCATATGGGTGCCATTTAGTATCCTGACTGCTCCACTTCTGATCCAGCTCCCTGCTAATATTCCTGGCAAGGCAGCAGAGGGTGACCCAAGTGCATGGGCCCCTGCGCCCTCTTGGGAGACCAGCAGAAAAGCCCTGGCTCCAGGCTTCAGCCTGGCCTGGCCCAGCTCCCAATTGTTGCGGCCATTTGGGGAGTGAACCAGCAGATGGAAGACCTCTACATCTCTCTGTAACTCTGCCTTTCAAATAAATAAATCTTTAAAAAAAAAAAAATAAGATGTGCTGGTTGTTTTAAAATTCATGGAGAGTGTATGTAATGGGAAAGGAAAAGCCATGTCCCTCTCCTGTAGACTAGTGCCCTTGCTTGCAGCTGGCACTCACAGCCATGCTTGTGTTTCCTGTGTGGCCTTCTGGAAATTTTTTTCACATATGTAATTTTCTGTATGTTTACATATAAACTTACATGTTTTTCCTAATACGAAAATGGAATCAGTCTATACATTTGTTGTATAACTTGCTTTTTCCTCCTGACATGGTGTCTTGTACACCTTTCTGTCTCATTATTCCTAGTAGCCCATTTTATACACAGACAATCATTGATTTAACTGGATCCTATTTATGGGCATTTAGGTTGCTTCCGGAGTTGTAGTATGAAAAGCAGTACTCAGTAAACATCCTTAACCCTCTTTCTATGCTTGTACTATATGTGCATTGTATGTGTGCATGTATATAAACACACATGTATTAGAATGTTTATGGAAACAATTCAAATCTCAGGACAGTTCACGTTTCTTTGAATTAATTGAATGTTTTTCTTTTTCTAAAGATTTTTTTTTTTATTTATTAGAAAGCACAGTTAACAGAGAAAGAGGGCGAGAGACTGGGAGAATGGTCTTTGATCCTCTCTTTCACCCCTAAGTGGCTGCAACTTTCCGGACTGGGCCAGGCTGAAGCCAGGAACCTGGAGCTTCTTCCTGGCCTCCTGTGTGGTTGCAGGGGCCCACGCACTTAGGCCGTCCTCCGTTGCCCTCCCAGGTGCATCAGCAGGGGGCTGGCTCAAAAGTGGGGCAGCTGAAAATCAGACTGGAGCACATAGATAGCAGCACTGCGGGCTGTGCAACTGGCTGTGCCCCACCCGACCGGCCCCCAAATTAACTGAATATTGTGGTGGGGTTCCCCCTCATTTTTCTTTTTCTTTTTTTTTGGAGTTGGGAGAACTGCTTGGTCATGCTGTATGCCCATTTTACCTGGTTGTTTTGTTTTTTTTAATAATTGTGTATTAAATAATCCTTTGTATAGTAAGGGTTTTAGTTATTATAAGTGATTGCCCCACCCATACTTAAATAGCTGTTTTTCTGGTTACCAGGTTTTACCTAATAAGATTATTACCGAAAACTTCTTAGTCATCTTTTCTCCTAGTCTCTAGGTATATTTCAAAGATCTTTGTTTTTGTTGCCATTTGGGAGAAATTTGAATGTGAATGTTGAAATTGAATGTGATTGAACAGGAGCACTGAATGTTTTGAAGTTTCTGGGTGTCTAGTGCTCCTGGTAGAAAGCCATCCAGAGATGAAATACTTTACTTTGATCCAGAAATATTGAAATGAGATGTTTCTTTTCACCGGGAGTTTTATTCAGCATTTAAGACTGTTAAAGTGGAGCAGATTGTTTTGACTATTAAAATAATAGAAGTATTCCATCATAGTAGAATTCTCTCTATACTTCCATGGATTGGAACAGAATTGTCTTTCATACACACACAGTTTGGTTCCATGAAACTCTGACCATTGCCCAGTGTCAAGTGTGCACGCTGGTGATACAGGACATAAAGCTGTCAAGTGTTGAATTTCTGCTGGCTTTGATTCCAAAGATTCCAGGTGTTTAGATACACACATCTGAAGGTGGCGTCTGGCTTCTTGAAACTTCCAGGATTACCATGTACTGCTTTTAAACAAGCATTCTTGAACAGCACTTAAGTGACTTAGACATCCCCATGGCCTTCTGTCTTCCTGAATAACGTGCATACCAAAATATTGTTTACCTTTAGAATATGATAAAAATTTAAATTTTGTCCCACTTGGTATACTACTTCTCAAAATATTTAGGATCTAGTCTCTCTTTAGTATGTCCAAACCTGGATATAACCTTTCAGTTTTTGCTTTTTTGTGTCTAGATTTGAGATTTATTCCAAACTACATTTGCGTTATAAATATGATTTGTGGTTTTAAATAGCCTTATCTTACCAGTGTTCTAGTTGGGTGGTACCACAGTCCTTCTGTCTCCTCCCTGCACCTGGAGAAAAGGCCTATTATATTCTTACAGTGGGATGCTAAGTACAATCAGGTCTATATTTGCTTTCTTTTTAAAAGTACCTATTTTGTACATAGTTTTTTTCCAAGTTGAATGTGTATGTGTACACATTGTGTGTATACATTTTTATAGACCTTTTTTAGAGTAGTTTTGGCTTCACTGCATAACTGAGTAGAAAATGGAGAGTTGCCATACATCTGCACATCCTGCCTCAGCATCCCGCTTGTTGTCATCCATGAACCTGCATTGACATGTCGTCATCACTCTATATGTTAGGGTTCACTCTTGCTGTTTGTACATTCTATAGGGTGACATATGTGTATTGGTATGTGTTCACCATAACAGTGACATACAGAATAGTTTCATTACCCTGAAAATCCTTTGTTATGTAGCTTTTCATCCCTGTTTTCCAAATGTATGCAATCTTTGTACTTGGTGAGTGTGAACTTTACTACAGGCAACTTGGAATGTTACCTATTTAGAGATAAGGCATTAAAGGGGGTAAAAATATGACAACCTCCAGTGATGTTAAGTTCCTGCTAAAAGTGATGGAAGGTAACATGGCCCAGTGATAGAAGTATTGTACAGAAGAGAGGTTCTACTCTTGGTTTATTGTTTGGCATAAATGATTTCCTAAGTTATTGTGAACATAAGAATGTCATGAAATATTTTCCTACCACTTATATGTTCTTTGTGTGCTAGGTATATTCAAAAAGAAGACCTAAGAAACATTTCTCAAATGCTTTCTATGTTGATACTGTTTTTAATAAATGTAAGAAGAGTATAGTATTTTGTTTAGGATTGTTTTGTCACAGAATGAAGATTAATGTCTGGGCAAGGGGGCCTCAGGAGATTTTAAATGGCAGCGTGGCCTGGTTTGTAGTGATCTACCACTTCAAGTCCATCAGGTCTGCTGTGTGACCCTGAAAGGGCAGATTTTCCTATCTGTAACACTCAGATCAGTGCCTGATAAAATAAAAGGCTTTTGCAGCTGTGCATCCACGCGTGCAAGGTGCATTGACTGAGGTCAGCGGAAGCTTTTCTTCATTGACCCTGTTGTCATGGCCACTACTGCAGGAATCAGAGAGGCTAACAGAACCCAGCTAGTGGACCTCGGGCTACCTTACCTCACTTTTCCTGCTTTCAAAGATATGACCAAAGGGAACTTGGTTCTTTATTGTAGAATAAAATCCTATGAACGTAAATGTAAGTCAGTTAACCATTGCTTTGTAAAAAGTTAGTGTTGGCTTTTGGAACTGCTTTTCTAAATTACTGAACTGTTGTTTGTGTTACCTTTAGGATGCTGCAGCTGATTCAGAGTAGGCTGCAAGAAGAGCATTCACTTCAAGATGTCATATTTAAAAGTGCTTTTAAAAGCCCTTCAACAGCACTTCCACCAAGGTGAGATGTGTATTTTAAATGTGCAGCTCTTTATATGTCTTTACTATGACATGATTATGGGGTCAATTAAGTTTTCTAAATCTTATTTTTTTTTTTTACAAACAAAGAATCATTTTATACTGTTCAGATATTTTTTTTAAATATTTATGTATTTATTTGAAAGTCAGAGTTACACAGAGAGAGGAGAGGCAGAGAGAGAGGTCTTCCATCTGCTGGTTCACTCCCCAGGTGGCTGCAACGGCCGGAGTTGTGCTTATTTGAAGCCAGGAGCTTCTTCCGGGTCTCCCTCGTGGGTACAGAGGCCCAAGGACTTGTGCCATCTTCTACTGCTTTCCCAGGCCATAGCAGAGAGCTGGGTGGGAAGTGGAGCAGCCAGGACTAGAACCGGTGCCCATATGGGATGCCGGCGCTTCAGGCCAGGGTGTTAACCTGCTGTGCCACAGTGCTGGCCCCTCAGATATCTTTTGAATGAGTAGTCTGATTTTAATCAGGATTATCATGGATATTTGATTTTCGTTTAAGTAGCTTGCTATTTGATGTATAGGGTATACCTCTATATAAAACTGAATTAGGTTTTTAGAGCAAATTCGTCCCATATACTCTTCCAAAGATAATTAATTTTAGACTAGGAATTTTGTTTTTTGTTTAACTTTTTTGTGTTTCATAAAATAGAATAGTTGATATTCCGAAATGCTACAAGCATGAAAATGATCATTTAAACTTCAAAATATGTGGAGGTTTTACAGTTGCTTAGGCTGGAAGTGGTGTCTGTTTGTACTTACGTGGTATGCCCTTCCCTACCTCAGACTTACTCCACTTTCCTCTGCCACTACAGTGCCAGAAACAGATGATGTCTGTTGGAGTAATTCTTTGGTTTTTTCTTTGTATGTTTTTTTTTTTTTTTAATTCTTTGGTTTTAATCTTTCTTCTGTCATTGGACTTAGTCTTCTGATTAGATTTGAAGAACATAGAACTTTGCATTTGTGTAAATACAATAAATATGTTACAGTTATATAATTCTTTCCATTTGTAGATGTGTGACTGTTTTACACCTGTACAGACCAGGAAGCTGCTTTTCTGCTCTTGACATTAGAACATTATTTCAAAATTGTTCTTAATGGGTTTTTTCCTTCATCCTCAATTACTTTTCCCAGCAAAGGGTAACGGTACTGAGTGTAGCCCTCTCACTGTGCTGTGTCTGACAGGGAGGATGACTCGCTGCAGTCTCCAGATGCGTGCAGGATTCACGGGCACCTCTATGTCAACAAAGTAGCAGGGAACTTCCACATAACCGTGGGCAAGTATGTTCTTTTCACTTCCTGAAAATGCTTGACACAGGGTTGGCTCTTGATCGAAAGAAATTCCTTCTAATCAGTTAGCATGTAGCTACTATTATTTATTTTTAATGTCTTGAGTTTGATGGTTCCGTCTGAAATCTCAGGACAGAGACAACTACTAACTTCAAAAACTCTGGAAAACAAAAGTAAAGCACTCCTGTTTTGTTTCACGTATTGTACTAAATGAGGTCTAGGTACATATGGAATAAAATCTCCATGTCACGTTTTGGTAGCCAGCGCACTGTGTCTAGACATTTTATTCATTTTTTCTTTTTGAATTCATTTGTTCCTTTTGATACAGTGTTGCAATTTTGTTTAGTTCAATCTTTTGGTGGTCCTCATTCAAATATAATCCTCAAGTAGTAACTGTTTTGATACAGTTGGAAATTAGCTATAACTGAAATAAAGTTAGTTGAGAGTTGAGGAGAACTCTCAGACCACCTATTTTCATCACAGCACTCAGCATAGAAGTTGTCAAGTGAAAACAACTGTAAGTTTCTGAATGGATGAATAGGTTTCCTCCCTCCCTCTGAATTGTGACTGAGCAAAACCTCTCTAAGTTGTTCAAGGTAATTTTTAAATAGTAGTTATGTTTAAAGTACCAAGTTCCAAGGATGGAACTGAAGAAAGAAAATATATTTAGTCCTTATAGTGTGACATCCTGTAAGAGAATCTAAACATTAAACATTACATGCACTAATAATCATATAATTATAGTTGTATTGAGACTGTAAAGGCAAAATATGGTTGATAAAAGATTGTGTAACTGGGTAATCCGTGACTCTGCAAGTCAGCAAAGGTTGATTATGGACAACCTTTGAACATTAGAGGAGGATTAGAAATTTCATGTTAAGACAGGGCAATGGCACACAACAGGAAAGAGCCTGGCAGGAGATTTTTATATTAGCATTAGGCTTTTATGTGAAAGCATTTCAGTATCTACAACGATCTCCTTAAAACTACTGTTTTGCTTTGTTCCTGTTGCCAGGACCCAGTTATACCCACCCCCAGTCTGCTGCTAGAATCTTGGAATTTCTTGGTATCACCAAAGCAACAAATGATGCTTGGTTCACATTTAGTGGATTTTATTATACTTTTGAACAGAAATAGTATCCTACTCCAAGACTAGCTTAGAGGGAAATGTTGACACATACCAGATGAGCTTCTGCAGTGGCGACCTTTTCTCAGTATTACTCCTTTACCTGGGTGAAAACTCACACTGTCAGTCATGCAGCAAAGATGGCCTGGGAACCCTCTCCTAATTTTTTATCAGTATGATCAATTTTATCAATCAAAAGAATTTTATCAATTGTTTTTTTAAGTGTTCATTTACTTATTTGAAAGACAGAGTTTACAGAGGAAGAGGGGGCAAGAGACAAGACAGAGAGATCTTCCATCCTCTGGTTGACTCCCCAAATGACTACAGCAGCTGGAGCTTATGTAGTCCAAAGCCAGGAGCCAGGAGCTTCTTCTGGGTTTCCTACTTGGGTCCAGGTGCCCAAGGACTTGGACTATCTTCTGCTGCTTTCGCAAGCACATAGCAAGGATCTGGATTGGAAATGCAACAGCCAGGACTTGAACTGTTGCACATATAGGATGCCATCATGGCAGGTAGCAGCTTTACCTGCTTAGGCACGGTGCTGGCCCCTTCCCAGTTTAAATCCTGACCTTTGAGAAGGTCGTGATAGTACCTCTCAGATACGAAATAGTGAACAGCTAACTCTTTGAAACACTATGAACAAAATGTACGTTGAAACAGGCACTTTGTATAGCTAGATGGAGTTGAGTTCCAGACTCAGACTGTAAATGGGTGTTTCATGTTACATGAATGTCTCTTGCAGTGTTTGAACATCATGCAAGACCCAGGACAATTGTTTTTCTGTGTGAGGCTGTAGATTCTCTTGCTGAATATCTTGTTTCCCATGATGTCAATCCCTAAATGTCTGCAGCAACACTGCTGCAATAATTGTGACAACCAAAAATGCCACTTCTCACCACTTTGCAGAACAGTTTCTTCAGAACACCAGTTGAACTAGGTAGAAATAGGTAAATTCTGTTTCTGACTTCCAGATGAACAGTTTTAATCTCAGAATATAGTCTTCAGTACAAGGTTGATAGAATTTGATCCTTACCTTTCTATTTTTTGAAAGAACATGTTTGCTTTACCTGTGATTTTATAAATTTTTTAATTTCTTTTCAAAAAAGAGTATATTTATTTTTAATTTAATTTTATTTGAATGGTTTATATACACAGAGAGAGATCTTCCAGGCACTGTTTCAGTCCTCCCGTACGTGCAGCAGCCAGGGCTGAGCCAGACAGAAGTCAGGAGCCCAGAATAACATCCATGTCTCCCACGAGGGGCCTAAGTACTGCTGCCTTCCAGGGTGTGTATTGGCAGGAACTTGAATTGGAAGCAGAGCTGAGATTTGAACCAGGTGGAGTTCCTCTTTCCTGGCTTCAACCTGGCCTAGCCTCAGGTGTTGTGCACATTTGGGGCGTGAACCAGTGAATGGGAGATCTCTCTCACTTAATCACTTTCTCACACTTTTTGAAATAAATAAAAAGTAAATTAAAAACTAGAACATTTAAAATAGAATGTTTAAATTCAATAGAACTTCTTGCTACAGAGAGAAAGAGAGAAAGGTCTTCCTTTTCTGTTGGTTCACCCCACAAATGGCCGCTATGGCCCGTGCGCTGCAGCCAGTGCGCTGCGCCGATCTGAAGCCAGGAGCCAGGTGCTTCCTCCTGGTCTCCCATAGGGTGTAGGGCCCAAGCACTTGGGCCATCCTCCGCTGCACTCCCTGGCCACAGCAGAGAGCTGGCCTGGAAGAGGAGCAACCGGGACAGAATCCGGCGCCCCAACTGGGACTAGAACCCAGGGTGCCGGCGCCGCAGGCGGAGGATTAGCCTAGTGATCCGCGGCGCCGGCCAGGAGAGGATATTTTTAAAGAAGTAGAGAGAACACAAATTCAGTATAACCAAAAATGGTTTTGGATAAGATATGCTAGAAATGATGGTGGTGGAATTGTGTGGAGCAGAAATTTCAAACTTTGTAAAAATGTAAGATTTTAAAAGCCTAAAGTGATCCATATATTATCAGCAGTACTTCCACAATGTTTTTTATTGATTATGTATTTTGAACTGGTAGTGTCAATGATGAACTTTATTTGCTCTCCTGAATGCAAATATTGTCGTTTCTAAGAATGTTTGCCAAAAATTAAAGCCAAATAATCTGACTTGCCTCACTGCATAGCAGTTTGATAACTTAGTGGCCAACATTTTTTGTGATATTTTTGAGCTCATTCAGCCACTATTATTGAAATTACTTTTATACAGACATGTTACTATTAATGAATTTAACCTAAAATTGTAAAGCAGAAACAGTGTCTTTACGTGAGACTTTTATTATGGAAAATTATTTCATTGGTCAGTAATGGTGATTTTGAGTAGCTTCCTGTGCTTCTCATGCATTAACAACCTGTGCTGTTGAAAGGTGAAAAAAGGAATTAAGATCACTGTTCTCATTCTTGGATATGTTTTCTGACCTCAAACTATAATCCCCAAAGTGTTTTCTGAATTTTGATTTTAGTGCATAGTTCATGTTTCACAATCCATTTAACTGTGCAATTGAGGAAATTTTGCCTTAGGTTTGAAGTTATTGATCTACAATGTAGTGCCATGTTTAGAGGCCATACCAAAAGAACTAATCCCTCCCAGGTAGTGAAATTCAAACTAATGCTCAGGGATTAATATTTTTAGAAATGAAATATGTTAAATTTCATTGTAGATCATCATTGACAGGTAAATATTTGTGAGTACTATCTCTAAGCCTCAATTAACAAAAATGTCATCTCTCCATAAGATACTTGTAATATAATAAAAGTACTCAATTATTACTATAACACTTTTAATAGAAATATTTCAATAAAATGATTGTGAAAATTGGTTTTCCAACTATGAAACTAACTCATAAAACCACTAATTTATCCCAAAAAGCCTAAAATATTTACTTTCTGGGTTTCTTTCTTTTTTCTTTTTAAGATTTTATTTATTTATTTGAAAGAGTTACCGAGAGAGGTAGAGAGAGAGACAGAGAGAGGTCTCCCATCTGTTGGTTCACTCCCCAAATAGCCTCAAAGGCCAGAGCTGAGTTGATCTGAAGGCAGGAGCCAGGAGCTTCTTCCTTGTCTCCCAAGTGGGTACAAGGGCAAGACGACTTGGGCCATCCACCGCTGTTTTCACAGGCACAACAGCAGGTAACTGGATGGAAAGAGGCGCAGCCCAGACTCAACCTGGCACCCATATGAGATCCTGGCGCTGCATGCCAGGGCTTTGGCTCCCTATGCTGCCGGGCCGGCCCTACTATCTGGGTTTCTAAGAAAAAGTTTGCCAACCCCTGATTTACTGCTCTGCTGGGATGAATGAATTTCCTTAGTCATAGTGAAATATGCTGTTACGTGAGTTTGTACTACAAACAATTGTATACTTTGAAAAGATTCACTTTCTGAGGCTGGTTCCCTGTTTAAGGGCTGTAACTTTAATATTGTTTCCCCTCCTTTCAGGGCAATTCCACATCCCCGAGGCCATGCACACTTGGCAGCTCTTGTCAACCATGACTGTAAGTAGTTTCTCAGCTTCTTTTCATTGAAGATGGCCTTGAGGAAAGTACGCTTTCAAGTGCAGGCATAAGGCAGAGCTCTGTGAGTGAGCTGTTTTGAAGACACAGATCCACTGAAAAGAGACAGTAGTTAAAATATATTGACATTATCCCATGTTCTCTTCATACTACCTGCATTTCTCTTCATTCAGAGCCTAGAAGTTGTTGAGGTTAGAGAGGTGTGTTACTCAGCTTCATGTGACTAGAGTGAAGTACCCAAGGCAGGCCAACTTTATAAAGGAAAGAGGTCTGGTTTGACTCCTGGAATGCAAGGCCTAGGGACTTCATCTTTGTCTTCCTGGAAGAATCTCTGGAGGCACAGAACATCAGATGGTGAGCTAGGAAAGAGACAAGACTATAATAAAGCTTTTGTAACAACTCTAATGAAAACTGCTTTCAAGGGCACACACCCAATGGTTTAAGGGCCACCCACGTGGCCCCACCTCTTAAAAGGTTCCACCCCCTCCCACTACACCACCATGGGATTAGCAAATAGGCCTTCAGGGGACAGTCAACATCCAAACCATTGCAGGAGGAAAGTGTAGGTATACTTTATGTCAATTTGAAAATATTTCTGCTAATTTTTGTGGACAAGGAAAATGCGATTGAAATTTCTCTCAGCTTGTAAGTCTAAATTTGATCATACTCACTCATACATACAAAGTATTCAAGTTAATTTGGTGTAATGATTCTTTGAAATCCTTTGAAGTCTGCTTTAGAGAACAAAGCAAGTAATTCATAGAAAATCAGTTTGGTCACAGCAGTAAAGTGTATTAAAAATGTGAATGATCAATTTTATTATTTGACTATAAGGATATCATCTAGTTCTAGCAACACCTAATATTCTTATATTGTAATCAGAATTAGGAAAGACATTTTTGTGGCTATGAGAATTAGCTATAATATTATTTCTTAGAAGCTAATTTGTATGCAATTATAAAAATGGAGATACTGAAATTTATCATTATTTACCTTTTCTTATGCATTTAATTCCCATGTATTTATGTGCATTTTCTCAAAATATGTAGTTTTTTATCTTTTTATAGAAAGCTTTTATTTAATAAATATAAATTTCATAAGTACAACTTTTGGAATATAGTGGTTCTTCCACCCAAACCCGCCCTTCCACCTCCAAACCATCCCACCTCCTACCCCCTCTCCCATCCCATTCTTCATTAAGATTCATTTTTAATTATCTTTATATACAGAAGATCAACTCTATACTAAGTAAAGATTTTTACAGTGTGCACCCACACAGACACACAAAGTATAAAGTACTGTTTGAAGACTAGTTTTACTGTTCAGTCTCATAGTACAACTCATTAAGGACAGAGGTCCTACATGGGGAGCAAGTGGACAGTGACTCCTGTTCTTGATTTAACAATTGACACTCTGATTTATGATGTCAGTCATCACCCGAGGCTCTTGTCATGAGCTGCCAAGGCTATGGAAGCCTCTTGAGTCCACAAACTCTGACCTTATTTAGACAAGGCCATAGTCAAAGTGGAAGTTCTATCCTCCTTTCAGAGAAAGGTACCTCCTTCTTTGATGGCCCCTTTTTTCCTCTGGGATCTCACTCACAGAGACCTTTCAGGTAGGTCACTTTTTGCCACAGTGTCTTGGCTTTCCATACCTGAAGTGCTGTCCTGGGCTTTTTAGCCAGATCCGAATGCCTTAAGGGCTGATTCTGAGGCCAGAGTGCTATTTAGGGCATTTGTCCTTCTATGAGTCTGCTGTGTGGCCTGTTTCCCATGTTGGATCATTCTCTCTTTTTTAATTTTCTCTATTAAAAATAAGGTACTTTTAAGTATGCATTATTCTACTTGCGCATTTTTGATATTTTCATTTGAGAATAGATAAGAATATAAACCAGTCTTAACACATAGTTTTGAATAATATATTTTCTCTACTTAGTTGCTTTTTACTTTTTGCCTTTTAGCTTACAATTTCTCTCACAGAATAGATCATTTGTCTTTTGGAGAACTTGTTCCGGGAATCATCAATCCTTTAGATGGAACTGAAAAAATTGCTATAGATCGTAAGTACTGAATAATTACTCTTGGAAGTTAGATATAGGAAATAGTTCTTACAGCTTTAATACTTATTTTCAGTAATACAGTTTCAGCATTATAAGAATTTTCTTCTTTGTGTAGGTTCAGAGTTCTGAAATGCAGGGTTGTTATATTAGAAACCTCTTGGGAGAAATTTACCTAAGAAACCTGGAGTTATTCCAGAATGTTTTTACTGGTAATACAGTCAAAAGTAGTACATTATAGCATCATTACTTTTTTTATGGTTTTTTTTTTTTTTTTTATTTGACAGAGTTATAGACAGTGAGAGAGAGAGACAGAGAGAAAGGTCTTCCTTCCATTGGTTCACTCCCCAAATGGCCACCACGGCTGGTGCTGCGCCAATCCGAAGCCAGGAGCTGGGTACTTCCTCCTGGTCTCCCATGCAGGTACAGGGACCCAAGCACTTGGGGCATCCTCTGCTGCCCTCCTGGGCCACAGCAGAGAGCTGGACTGGAAGAGGAGCAACTGGGACTAGTACCCAGTGCCCCAACTGGGACTAGAACCCAGGGTGTCGGCGCCACAGGCAGAGGATTAGCCAAGTGAGCCACGGCGCTGGCCTTATTTTTTTTTTTTTTAAGATTTATTTTATTGATTTGAAAGAGTTACAGAGAGAGGTAGAGACAGAGAGAGAGGTCTTCCATCCGCTGTTCACTCCCCAGATGGCTGCAACAGCTGGAGCAGCACCAGTCTGAAACCAGGAGCCAGGAGTTTCTTCTGGGTCTCCCACGTGGGTGCAGGGGCCCAAGGACTTGTGCCATCTTCTACTGCTATCCCAGACTATAGCAGAGAGCTGGATCGGAAGAGGAGCAGCCAAGACTAGAACCGGCGCACATATGGGATGCTGGCGCCTCAGGCCAGGGCTTTAACCCGCTGCACCACAGCACTGGCCCCAAGTTTTCTTTTATTATAATATTATTATTATTATTTTCTTTTATTATTATTATTTCTTTTATTATTATTTTATTATTATTATTGAAAGTATCAGTTTGTCCAAAAATTGGAAGTATGATTTTCTTGGTTTTGTAGCAAGTAGTCTAATTTCCTCTTTTGTGAAGGGTTGTGTCTCTTCTCTGTTTAAGTGTCCATACTGTGTGATATACCCCACCTGTTGGACCTTTTGAAGACTTCTGAAGCATCCTCACCTGCTTGGAATTTCAGTGTCTGTAAAAGTGTAATTAAGGATTTAATATTTTATCAAATTCAGTAATTTATTAATATTCTTTACTCAGTATAGTGTTATAATCAGGTACATTAAAGGTATTTTACTTAAAGTACTGTTGTAATAAGTTTAGAAATGTTTGAAAAGAAACCATTCTGAAATTTTAAAACCTCACTCAGTGAAATCTAAATTGTAATCAATCATATATACACATTCTACACTGAAGTGCAGCATATATTAGCTAAGAGATGCTCATTTGAAGATGTGTTGGTCAAGACTTTGTTTCAGGATCCTAAAATGAACTGCAAATTTTTATACAGAAGCTCTTCTAAATATAAATGGGTTAATTCAGAGGTTGTTTGAGTCCAGTTACTCCTAAATTATTAACAACTAAGAGCTACTGAGAATTACGTTTATGAAATGTCTGTCAGCAGGTGAGTGTCAGTAGGTTCCTGGAAGCTTTAACACAGGCATATTCCTCCCTTCATGTCAAATGTTCTCTTGGATCTCTGTTTCCAAAAAGAAAAAAATCCATGTAATCAATCTGTGGTGTCCTATTGCTGTCCCCTCCTTGAGGTTCTTCAAAAACCTGCTTACTGAGCAGGTGCATCCCTAATGCTGTGCTCTTCTGGATGGACCTTCAGCCTCAGGAGCAGAGCAGTCTGCAGCTTGCAATACAAACCTGATCCAGTAGCTTTTTTACTTTGGTCATTAAGCTCTCCAACAAATGTAATAAGCTTGTCCTGAATTAACATTAGGCAGTTTAGTCTTCAGTAGTCATCTGACCACGGGTTATGAATTTTCCCATCATGGTTCTTTGACTCCTGTTGGTTTTTATTTATTGCATTGGCACTTCACTTTTGACATGTGATGTGGTTCTTTTGTCCTTAATTTTCACTTGTCTAATTATCCCATCCCTGTGTATAACATTGGTTATTGCCTTGCTACTCTCATTTCTATCTTCTTCCATAAGTGATAATTACATACCTTTGACTTTCAGTGCTGTGACTTGATAGAAATTATTCTTTTAAGGGTTTATTCTAGGTAATTGAAAAGCAGAATGACAGAGAGAGAGAAATCTTCCATCAGTTGGTCATTCCTCAAATGGTTGCGGTGGCCAGGACTGGGCCATACTGCAGTCGGGAGCCCAGAACTCCATCCGGATCTCCAGTGTCAGTGACAGGAGCCCGAGTACTTGGACAGTCTTCTGCTGCTTTCCTACACTTGTTTGCAGGGAGCTAGATGGGGAGTGCAACTGCTGGGACTTGGGCTGGTGCTTGGATATGGGATGCAGGCATCACGGGCTTAACTTGCTGTACCATACCAGCCCTAGAGTTAATTCTCACAGCACCTCCAAAGTAGGCACAGGTTGAGCCGTTTACCTTATGGCAAATATGGCTCCCAGGATGAATCTGGAGGCCATCGGTAAGTGATAAGTGCTCCGTAGGTGTGGGACATGGTTGACACCTTTGGCTCTGTTGTTATCCAGGAGAATATTCAGGATGTTAAGTTGACATTAATAGCAGAACTGGTACAAAGTTGGTTTTTAGATGTTGCAGTGGTACATGTAAGAGGTGCAGTAAGTGAAGTTGAAACAGGCCTGACTTTGTTTTGGTAGAGGCTTGTTTAGTGTTAGTTTTTGAAGAGACTTTTACCCCTACCTCTCTCCTTGCTCAGTTTGAATTCACTTGAGGTAAGAGACAGGTAAACAGAAATTTTTTGATGCTGAGCGAAAGAGGCCAGACACACAAAAGTGTATACTGTATGGTCCTATTTATTGAAATTCTAGACAAAACTAGTGTATGGCAGTACAAGACAGATCCCTGGTTGGCCTGGTACAAAGGGGCATGAAGGAATCGCTTTGAGGTTTGGCAGATTTTTGTGGTTTGATTGTAGTGGTGATCATACGAGTGGATATATTTCCCAAAATGTATTGAACCATACATTTAAAACATGTGTTTTACCATATGCTCATTGTACTTTTAAAAAGTGTCGAAAGTTCGTTCATCCAGCTAATATTATTGAAGGCCTTGTATTTGTCAGTCGTTATGTGCAGCATCTGGGACCCAGGGGTAAACATGTTCTGCTCTCCAGAGAGCCCACATCTCAATAGGGAGTCAGGACAGATGGCTATGAAGCAAATAAAGGAAATTATGTGTGATAGAGCAGTGAGAGGAAGAGCCTGTGGTATTTGGGGTCTAAAGGAAAAAGCCAACTTGAGTGACGTGTTGAAGTGAGCCAGGCAGTGGTTTTTCTGAGGACATTGCAGGCAGCACGTTGTGAGTGAAGCTGTTGCAATGAAATAACCTGCATGTGTGGCTAACTGGATCAGCCAGCCACGTATTACCACTGCTCTGCCAGCTGCCCACCTGGCAGCTTCAGGTCACTTTCTTCATGGCAGCAAGGGACATCTGTATGTCAGGTCTTTGAGAGAGAACGAAGACTGGCCAGCTGAGTGGCTTAACCATGTGTTAGTACTTGTCCGCAGCTTGCCGGCTGAATTACTCCTTGTATTCGTAAGAGAGTAGATAGGAGGTCCAAAGCTGTTGTCCCTTTATGTTCAAAGGGTGCAAACTTTTACTTTAGTGGCTAGAATTGAAAACCTTGGAGAATTTTCCTCCTTCCATTTAAGAGCATAGTTGCCTTGAGTCCTGGCCCCATTACTTAGTAACGCACTGACTTTGAGCAGCTTTTGTAACATTCCTGAACTTCAGTTTCTCATCTCTAAGAAGAGGATGAAAAAAATCTGCTTCATGGGATTGTTGTGGATTATTTAGAATCGTATGTGTAAGGTGCTTAGAACAGTGCATGGTACATAGAAAATACTCATGAGAGGTTGATTGAGTTTGTTCTTTCATTTTGTTCTCTTGTTTGATTAAGTGTATTCTTTTTGCTGTTGTTGGGACTGGGCATGACAAATAATGTTCCTGCCCTCATGGAATGTACAGTCTAATGAGGGTGTGAGTAACTGATTTGGACCTTGTGGTTACTTAGAGATCACACACCTTCACAACATGACTCCTGCTGTCACCATCAGGCTTCGCTGCAGTAACACTGTAACAAACCCCAGCTCTCAGCAGCGCCTGTAAACTTTACTTCCTTGCTGAGCTATCCCAGAAGTTCTTCTCTTAAGGCATCAGATTTACAGTTCAAGAGCTAACGATCGAGGACAGGTTTGAACGAGGTTTCTCTTAATCTGGAGTTTGAGGAGCTGAGCAGACAGGCAGTCGACCCCAGCCGCTTCACTTACGCTGTGGAACACAGAGGATGTAGTAGCAATCAACACTGCTGTTTGAAAAGGCGGGCAGTGAGCGAAGCGTGTTACTGGGCCACACGGAACTGGAAGAGTGTGACATTCCGCTGCTCCGAGAATGGGGACTGTTCCTTGATTGTGTCCTGTTCTATTCCCTGTCCCTTCTTAGCTTTGTCCTCTGAAAATGGTCCTACTTTTCCTTTTTTTTTTCCCCATTTTCCCCCCTCCGCTGCATCTACAGAGTACACTGGAGAATATGCCATTCTTGGGGGGCTAAACACCCTTCTTAGCCTGCATCCAGGTAGTAGAAAACTTGGGAGCCCCAAAGGTTTTGAATTTCCAGCTTAAACTCAGTGTCTTTTAATGTCCACTCAAAAGCTTTGTTAATTTTTTAAACAAATTGTATTTTCCTAGCTCCATGTGCCAAAAGTCAAAGATTTCTTGATGAATATGCCTCATTGTCTAGGCTTACTACGCTTAATACGTATCAGATTTCCATGTTCTCACTTGGGCCAACCCAGTGGAGGAGGGATATGCATCCCACTCTTAGTGAACCTTGGGAAAGACAGGGAGAGAAGGAAGGAAGAAGAACAAACGATACAATCCTCCATAACCCAGATTTGCCCGTAGATATTTTGTTTGTTCTACGTGTTTTAAAGCATGTTTGATTAGTTCTTAATTTAGCATTCTGAAGATTACACATATAGCTTCTGTCTCTTTAATTCACTTAAAAGTGGTGCTCCCAGATCGTTCTGCAAAGAGGTAGGTGGCAGCCCAGTCTAGTAGAGCATATTCTAATTTACCATAGACTCCATTTTATCTGCCTTCCCTTGTCAGCATCAAAATTCAGATTAGATTCCCACTGAGTGTTCTCTAGTTTAATGAAAGCTTTGATATAGGATTGTGTTCAGGAGTGGATTTCCATACACCGGTTTTTCCTAAAATGATCTCGGGATGAATGGTGTTGGAATTACTGGAGCCTTTGGGAAAAGTCCGTCTTCCTGAACAGCTGATCCACTTGGGTTAAATTCTTTAGGAAAAAGGCAAAGACATAGGATTTGAGTTTGTTCTTTCATGTTGTTCTCTTGTTTGATTAAGTGTATTCTTTTTGCTGTTGTTGGGACTGGGCATGACAAATAATGTTCCTGCCCTCATGGAATGTACAGTCTAATGAGGGCAAGTTCTTTTAAAAATTTAAAACTCCGGCTGGTGCCGCGTGCTCACTAGGCTAATCCTCTGCCTGCGGCGCCGGCACCCCGGGTTCTAGTCCCAGTCGAGGCGCTGGATTCTTTCCCCATTGTTCCTCTTCCAGTGCAACTCTCTGCTGTGGCCAGGGAGTGCAGTGGAGGATGACCCAGGTGCTTGGGCCCTGCACCCGCATGGGAGACCAGGAGAGGCACCTGGCTCCTGGCTTTGGATCAGCGCAGTGCGCCAGCTGCAGCAGCTATTGCGGGGTGAACCAACGGTAAAGGAAGACCTTTCTCTCTGTCTCTCTCTCTCACTGTCCACTCTGCCTGTCAAAAAATTGATAACTCCATTAAATAATTTCAAGTTCTCTATTTGGCACAGTTTCAAAGGCAAAATTTTGTCAGTTCTCATACATGTTATAAAGTATGTATGTTTCAAGTCAAATGTTATGAGTCTACACTATAACCAAGTTGAAACCATAGATGTTCTTATCTAAGTTTTTTAGGATATAGACCTGGAGAATGAACATAATGTATATGATGTGATTTGTTAATTTTTAAAAACTAAATAATTGGTGACATACTGGTATTTATAATTTGTATTAAGCAAATGATATCTAATGTCTATTGAAAAATAATTTCTGGGCCTGACACTGGCATAGTGGGTAAAGCCGCCTGCAGTGCCGGCATCCCATACGGATGCTTGTTTGAGTCCTCGCTGCTCCGCTTCCGATACAGCTCTCTGCTGTGGCCTAGAAAAACAGTAGAAGCTGGCTCAAATCCTTGTGTCCCTGCACCCACGTGGGAGACCCAGAAGCAGCAGCTCTTGGCTCCGGGCTTCAGATTGGCCCAGCTCCACCTGTTGCAGCCATTTGGGGAGTGAACCAGTAGATGAAAGACCTCTCTCTGTGCCTGTCTCTCTGTAACTCTTCCTTTCAAATAAGTAAATAAATCTTTAAAAAACATCATTTCTGGGGCTGACACTGTGGTGTAGTGGGGTAAAGCAGCTGTCTGCAGTGCCAGCATCCCATAGGAGTGTCGATTCAAGTCCCAGACGGCTGCTTCACTTAATCCAGTTCCCTGCTGATGGCTTGGGAAAGCAGTAGAAGATGGCTTAAGTGCTTGGACCTCTGCTCCTACCTGGGAAACCGTAAGGAAGCTCTTTGCTCCTGGCTTCAGATCAGCCCAGCTTCTGCTGTTCGAACCATCTGGGCAGTGAGCCAGCGGATGGAAGATCTCTCTCTGCCTCTGCCTCTCTGTGACTCTTTCAAGTGAATAAGTATATCTTTTTTAAAAAATTATATTATACAATAATCATTGAATAGTTTTTTTGTTAGTGATCTTCATACTCTGACATCAGTTCAATGTGTTTATGCAAAGTCTGCCTAATTCTCTTTTGGTTTAGTATATTTTAAAATATTAGTAGAAGCTGTTTCTTGTGATGGTTATACTATTATAATTTTATTTTTATTAGTTTCTGTAATACAAATAATTAACTGCTTTTATTTTTCCACATTCATAAAAGATAATAATTATTATAAGGAATATCTAAGTCACTAGTTGACCTTTAAAATTGTGTGTGAGAACATGTGACTTCATGCTCACTGGGGACTTGTAGTGAGCATGACTATGAGGGGACTTCAGAAAGTTTGTGGAAAATGGAATTAACTTTGTTTCGATGCAAAAATATGGTTGAAATTCATGCATACAAGTGGTTGGCACAATGTTCTTAAAAATGCATATTGGGAAAAAAACTAAACATGGATTTCAAAATTTTTTGTAAGAAAACAAACTTAATTTTATGAGCTCTTTAAAGTACCTTTTTATATTTCTTTCACTGGTTCTTTTAAAATTGTTTTTTATGAGGCATTATTAAAATGAAGCATTATGAAACATTATATCATATTAAACATTAAATTTCAGGTAAATTTTCTTAACAGAAGAGGAATCTACTTGGCAGTTGTGCTACTGGGTTGATGAAAAGTCACATTTTGTCTTTGTTCTAGACAACCAGATGTTCCAGTATTTTATTACAATTGTGCCAACAAAGCTACATACTTATAAGATTTCAGCAGATACCCATCAGTTTTCTGTGACAGAAAGGGTAAGTTGAATCCAGCTGGTAAAATGATTTGAAGTTTTGTATAGCTTTTTATTTATTTATTTATTTTGACAGGCAGAGTGGACAGTGAGAGAGAGAGACAGAGAGAAAGGTCTTCCTTTACCGTTGGTTCACCCTCCAATGGCCACTGTGGCCGGCGCACTGCGCTGATCTGCTGGCAGGAGCCAGGTGCCTCTCCTGGTCTCCCATGGGGTGCAGGGCCCAAGTACTTGGGCCACCCTCCACTGCACTCCCTGGCCACAGCAGAGAGCTGGCCTCGAAGAGGGGCAACCGGGACAGAATCTGGCGCCCCGACCAAGACTAGAACCCGGTGTGCCGGCGCCGCAGGCAGAGGATCAGCCTATTGTGTCACAGTGCTGGCCTGTATAGCTTTATAAAATCCCCCATTTGGTGCCCTCACTCATTTTTTTATTTTATGCTAAAAATTTTTTTAGGAATGAGTTTTTTAGAAAGTAAGTTGTCTTAGAGCAAGAAAAGATTTAAAAAAAAAATTAAAATATTTCCTATTTATTAGGGCTTAAAGTTGTTAAGCTTAATGAAAGTGTTGATTATTTTAATATCAATTTTATAGTATGTTTTCCTATATATTGCTATGAACAGTTTTTAATCTTACAGATTTTCTCATTTCTTGTTATTTATTTCCCAGTAAATGTGCCTGTGTTATGGATGGATGTTGTGAATCAGCAGTGTAGAGGTTTTTGCCTTCCTAAGTAAATGCTTTGTATTCGTCTGACAGAATATTCTGTCACCTCAGGACACAGTGGCCTCATAGATAAATACTGAAATGAGGAGCAGAGTTTTGGAACTGGACAGTGTAACAGATTTCACATCTATTCTGGAGTCATGTTTTCTTATTTTTGTATCTAATAATGATGAGTATTCAAATTCTAGTATACGAAGAATGCCAAGGACCTGTCTAAGTGCTTTTTAATTTATCCATTTGAAAGGCAGGGGGACATATTTGCAACAGCCTGGTCTTGGCCAGGCCAAACTGGAAACCCAGACCTCAGTGCAGGTCTGTGCTCGGCGGAGACCTCCTGCTGCGTCCGAGGGTGGCATTAGCAGGAATCCAGAGTTGGAAGGGACTGGAACTGGACCCGGCATTTCAGTGTGGGAGGCAGCGCCCCACGCAGTGTCTTCACTGCGCCAGTGCCTGCCCCTGGGGCTTTGGTGTTTTTTTGTTTTTTTTGTTTTTTTTTTTTTTTGAGAGGCTTATACCTTATTATGACCATATCTCAATAGCTGTAGATTTTTCCTTGTTTTCCTGAAATTTAGCGATGTTTTTACAAGTGAACTGTTATGCATCTATAACTTTTCAAATGGTTCAGAGGAAAGTACCCAGGTATACATAATTGTGTAGATACATGTATGTATGTTGTATACATAGGAGCTAGGCAGAACACCTGCAAGAACATATTGTTGCAGCATTTTTGTGAGGATAGGGAGATGTGGTTTCTCACCTAGAAGTTTGGCAAACAGAGGAACAGCAGCGCACACAGTTGCCAAGACCTTGGGGAAAGTAGCATACATTGCCCTGGGAGTGCGAAGTGCCAGTTTTGTGGAAGGGAGGTCAACAGTGACTGCAAAATTACCTGGGCATTTGCCCTTGGACCCAGTAATCCCACTTCTGGGAAATCTGTTCCCGAGACAAAGTGTGGAACAGGCAAAGTGATGTGGGGGTGAGGCTAGTCATTGCCTTGTCATTGCCTGTAGAAGACTGGAAACAGCCCCGGTCCTCCAGCTGTACAGCAGCAGAACAAAGCAGGGATGGGGAAGGAGCTCTATGTATTGATACGACATTCTCTGCAGGCTGCATTTAAAAACAAAAGAAACTAAATGAAAAAATATCATAGGGGCCATTGAGGTGGTACAGCATGTTAAATCACAGCCGGGGATGCCCACATGCCATGTAAGAGTGCCAGTTCATGTCCTGGTTACTCTGCTTCTGATCTGGCCTCCTGCTAGTGCATCTTGGGGAGCAGCAGTACGAGTTCAAGTCCTTGGGTCCCTATCAGCCACACGGGAGACCTCGATGGAGTTTCTGGCTCCTGCCTTCAGCCTGGCTAAGACCCAGATGTTGCAGGCATTCAGGGAGTGAAGCAGTTGATGGAAAATACTCCTATCCCTTCTTCTCTTCCTCCCCTCTTACTCTGCCTTCCAAGTGGATAAAAGTAAGCATTTTCTTTTTTTCAAAATTAGAGTAAAATCCCAGAGCATTTGACCTTTTGCAGGATTTGCTTTTGCTGAAGTAATCGCTTCAGAAAGAAACAGAACAATGAGGTGGTGAAGTCTTTGAGGGGGCAGGGAGGACGGTGCTGACCCTGTGGGGCCAGGAACACAGAGTCAGTCTGTTACAGGTGCTCTGGTCCCCCAAACAGCTTCCGTCCTCAAAGTTCTCAACAGTATGTTTGTGACTTCAGCATGATATTAGGCATCTCAGAGCTTGAAGGAACTTTATTAGAAACTTAATCAAGGGTTTATAAAACCCAATTGTGGCTGGTGCCGTGGCTGAATAGACTAATCCTCCGCCTGCGGCGCCGGCACCCTGGGTTCTAGTCCCGGTCGGGGCGCCGGATTCTGTCCTGGATGCCCCTCTTCCTGTCCAGCTCTCTGCTGTGGCCTGGGAGTGCAGTGGAGGATGGCCCAAGTCTTTGGGCCCTGCACCTGCATGGGAGACCAGGAGGAAGCACCTGGCTCCTGCCTTCAGATCAGCACGGTGCGCCGGCCGCAGCGCACCAGCCACAGTGGCCATTGGGGGGTGAACCAACGGAAAGGAAGACCTTTCTCTCTGTCTCTCTCTCTCACTGTCCACTCAGCCTGTCCAATAATAATAATAATAATAATAATAAAAGCCCAATTGTGCTAATAACGGGAAAGAGTTTTGAAATACCCCACCTAAAATTGTTTTAATTTCCCTTGGTGGTAGTAACCTCGTTATTTGTATTCCTAAAGCTTGTAGTTTAACTGTAGCATAATAAAAATAGAACTTAGCCTAAAAGTCACATCAGGGCACCATGATAGTACAGTTTGGAGCTGTTATAGAAATGTATTATAAAGTTTGCAAACTTGCTTTTTGAAGTATAAATTGGATAGAATAAAGTAGAATACTTTGCTCAATGTGCACAGTATTGTACATTTAGAATTTTAGCATCGTGCCTTTAAAATAGTCCTGTAAACTCTGTACCAGTACATATATTTTAAATTAATGGATTCTATTTTCTTCCTATACTGTATCTCCTATAGTTTAAGAGGAACAACAAAGTTGTTTTAAAGCCTGACCATTTAAGTGACAGGAGTTGAAGACAGTTGTTTTCTAAACATAGTGATTTGATTGGTGAGGAACATGTCACATGGCTCTGTGCTGGTGCTTAACGGTGCAGAAAATGTGTGTGCAAGGTGTCGCTTTTGAGGAAACAGGGAGGGGTGGTGTTGCTCGTTGGATACTTTGGAAAGTCAGCCGCACGCGGAGTACAGAATAATGACCCTGGGGAGCACTCATAGCCTGGGATGGCCTTTCCCAGTGGGGCCGCAGGGCTTGGCGTTGATGGATGCAGGTCCCAGATGACGTGACTCGGTTCTCACCTCCTCCTTTCTCTCCCCTCCCTTGGCCTCCCTGTAGGAGCGCATCATCAACCACGCTGCGGGCAGCCACGGCGTCTCGGGGATATTCATGAAGTACGACCTCAGCTCTCTGATGGTGACAGTGACTGAGGAGCACATGCCGTTCTGGCAGTTTTTTGTGAGGCTTTGTGGCATAGTTGGAGGGATCTTTTCAACAACAGGTTAGTAATGATTCCTTTTGCCTCAGTTCTAAAGTGTTACACTTCCACTAGGACACTTCCACTTCAAAAGGCCAAGAATACACATACTCTCCTGGTTTGCTATTTGAGGAATTTTTTCATTAATTCATATTTCCAAAGTGTTACTGACTGACCATTAAACATAGCTAATTTCACTGCTTTGAGTGATTTAACAGTGATTTCATGGTGTGCTGCAAAGATTGTTTGCTGTTATCAGACAGATGATATATGATTGCATTCAGTTTCTGCCACTTACTTGGTGGTGACCTTAGGTCACCTACTTTTTCAAAAATTATTTTCTCATCTATAAAACTGACATAATTTTGTAAGTGTGTTACAGGATTAAACAACCAAATGCCTAGACAGAGTAGACACTTCCATGCAAACTTACCTTTTTATTGAATGTATTTTTCAATGTACAATATGCAAAATCATGTCTTATGTGATGCTGTGAATATATGAAAACAGATTTTTCAATCAGTAATGTTTTTGTGTATTTTGTTCTGAGGTTGCAGAATTCTCTGAAAGAAAATCTGGAAGTAGTCATAAAAATTTTAAGAGTCAAGTAAAGAAAGGGAAGTTTTTTCTTTACCTGCCAGTCCTCATCAGTATTGCACAGAGCTGAATGGTTTACATGCTTCGAATTGTATTTTTTAAACAAATAAGTGCATTTTTGTGCCATTATTTATTACTGATTTCATTTAAATCTGTTTAAGTGGTTGTCTTAAGATTATTTATGTTTCAAAATTATGTGGATATGTGAAGAAAACCTTGAAAAGATTAGGCAAGATCCTGGATTGTATGGCCTTGGGATTTTGAAAAGAATTGCCTTTGTTTCAAAGTTTAAGTATTTTGATTATTTTTAACCATGGAAGTAAAAAAATGCAAATTGCTTTGTTCCTTGCCTTAATGTATTCCTATATACTTGATTTTTTTTATCCTATGTAGTAATTTAGGTAATAATTAAATTGAGTGCATCGACTTGTTGTTTATCACAGGAATGTTACATGGAATTGGGAAATTTATAGTTGAAATAATTTGCTGTCGTTTCCGACTTGGATCCTCTAAGCCCGTCACTTCTGTAAGTAGCGCAGACTGCGTGGGGCAGCTCTCTGGCGCGTGCCGGGCTGTGGGCCCCTTCGTCCGGAGGGGACCTTGTGTTCAGAGGGTGCAGCGGCAGGAACGGAGCTAACGCTGTGGTCTCTTTCCTCCTTTCCTCAGGTCCCTTTTGAGGATGGCCACACAGACAACCACTTACCTCTTCTAGAAAACAATGCGCATTAGCACCTCCTGAAGGAAGGAGAAGAACTTTTTGCCTGAGACATAAAACCTTTTTTAATAATAAAATATTGTGCAATATATTCAAAGAAAAGAAAATATGAATAAGAAGCAGAAAACACACTTATTTAAAAAAGAAAAAAAGGAAAAAAAAAACCCCAAACTGAAATCCTGTGTATGTTGTATCTGTTACAAATGTCCTAGAAGAAATGATGCAGCCGATCAGTGAGTCAGCCCAGGGGAGTACCGCTTTGAAGATGGCCCCGGCGGGCAGCACTGCAATGAGAACTTACTTGCCGATGACAAAAAGCCCAAGGAAGGAAGTGAAACCCACCTAAAGAAAAATGGCACTGCCCAGTGCAAATGTTTGCGTCCTCTTGTTTTTAAGATACGATGTCAGAATAAAGTATGTAAAACGTATGGAAAACTAGTCTAGACTTTAAAAATTGTAATCAGGTCACGTTGTTAATAAAGAAAAACAGGGACTAGTCTCTATAATTAGCCATATTCATGTTAAGCCATATGGACAAGACCATTTATCCAGTCATTTGGTCCGATGAAGCTAATTGCTTTCCCTTGAACTGTGGTTGTTGCTTTTTCTCTAAGTGTTCAGCATAGTGTCTTGGAAGACAACGGTGAATGCTCTGGGCAGGTGTGAAGGTGCTGTGAGATGTGACAGGTGTCATTCACAAGTTGTATGCTGGAGACTTCGACAGGGAGAAGAAAGCACATTTAAAACAAACGTTAAGTCTCCAAGTCTGATCCTTTGCATCTTGCAAAGGGCACAGGGTGAATGAAAAGACCCACTGCTGGTGGTGAAAATGATCAGCTCGTACAGTATTAAAAGGAAAAGTAGACTATTTTTCACATGTGATGAGTAGGGAACAAGCCAACTGTAAACTTTTATATACAACAGACGTCAAGGCAGATTCTAAGTACTACAAGATCTCGTCCCATCTGAGAGGTGCCATATTAAACCAATGCCTGCTAATCTGTAAAACTGGATTATGAAAAAAGTTTTTGCATTCAGGGTATCCTGAATGTAACTAACTCTGTATTAGATTGTGTAGTTCTAACTTTCTTCCTAATTTATGAGTTAGTTTGAAGTTTCTAGAGTATAAAAGATAAAAAATAATGAGAGGGTGCTATCTTGCAGATGCCATTAAAAACTGTATTTGAAATGTGTGTGCCAACATAAGTGTTCCTTTTATAATCACTAACTGATAATAGAAGAATTATCAACTAGTACCCAAAGTTTAAATCATTTAAAGACTTGACTTGAATGATGGCTTTAAAGAATAGCATGTCACAAGATTGTTTTTCAAATGAATTTTTTTGAAGATAAAATAATGCTCTCTTCAAAACAGTAGAAATAATGGAGAGAGAGTAAAAGTGACAGAATTACTTTGCAGTACAGTATGTTTAGAATGGTGCCTTTCATAAAATAACAAAGGCATCATTGTGTAAAACAGTATGAAGAGCCACCAGCGTCACAGATGGGTGACACAGCTTGCTTTGAAAGACTGAAATCCAGAAACTCTGAAATGAGTTATCCACCTCTGGACTTTGTATTTGTTTTCTCTAGATATTACTTACAACAAAGTTGAGTTAGGAACTAACAGAGCATCTCTCAAAGGAAATGCAGTTGGAAGGAGCTGGAACTGCAGCTGTTTCAGACAGAATGTCGGTCTCCGGAGTCTGCTTGTTAGGAAATCCAGTCTTGTTTCAGAGTTTTATTTTTGATAGGAAAATATTGATCTGGGATTACTTTTTTAAACTTAGGATTGTAACAGTTAAGTATGTTTAAAACTTTTATACTTACATTTGATTTTTAATTGCTTCTATCTTCTCCAAATATCCTATTAAAATTTTTAATGAAATAAATCCATTCCATTGAGAGTAACTTGGCACCGAGTTCTAGTGTGAAAGTTGAAAAGGCGCCCATCTGAAGCCCCTCAGATGGTCAGGGTCAGGTTTTTGGGCTCACCAGGTGTTTCTCTGATTGCAGAGGGCACCTTACTGGCCTGCCTGTTATGACACTTTATCTGTGCCTGGGGCTCCCTTCTACCATGAGTCTGTGTTATACTAATCCAGTCCTCATCTTCATTTTAGTTGGGTCCTTAGTATTCACTAGTATGAATTCTAGCCTACAGATTTAGGCCTCAAATTATGTGAAATGGATTTTTAGGATCTATGTTTGTGTACATTTGTCTCTGAAGAAAATTAAATATTTAGGTGAGTAACACACTGCTGCAGTATTAGTGCACCTCAGACTGTCTCTTAGGAAACGCTTAATATTAACACTGTAAACATCGCTAAATCTCAAACTCTGATGATTAACAGATCACTTTTCTCCAGCATTTGTTCATAGAAAGCAATGGATTATTATAATTAGCAGTTTATCAATGCAAACACTATTTGCCATCTTTAATGTAGTTTTAGGAATTTAGAAAGGAATCTCCTAATTTTTAAGTAATGTCAGTAGAGCTACAATATCTTGGGTGAGTAATTCAGTTAGCAAAAAGGAAATTTATATGCAATTCCTCTGCCTCAAAATTGAAAGTTTACATTTAAGTTCAAATGCATGTTTTTGGTTGTTTAAAAATTACCTTAACTTGAACCTTGGTACCTTGAAAATTTCAGCATGCCTTTTAAGCTAGTACTTTCTCTTCTATTTTTTAAATATTTAATTCATTTGAGAGGCATAAAGACAGAGAGCGAACTCCCATCCACTGGTTCACTCCGTAAATGCCCACAATGGTTAGCAGGGCTTCCAGGAGCAGGGAACTCAATGCAGGTCCCCGCTGTGGGTGCCAGGGACCCGGCTACTCGAGTCGTCACTGCTACCTCCCAGGGAGTGCATTAGCAGGCAACTGCAGTCAGGAGATGAACCTGGGAATTGCGTTTTGTACTTACTTATTTTATATAATAACTTTTTACAAGACTTATTTATTTGAAAGGGTTAAACAGAGAAGGAGAGGCAGAGAGAGAGCGATCTTCCATCCACTGGTTCACTCCTCAACTGGTTGCCACAGCCGGGGCTGCAATGATCTGAAGCCAGAAGCTTCTGGGTCTCCGACGCTGGTGCAGGGGCCCAAGGCCTTGGGCCATCTTCTGCTTTCCCGGGGCCAAAGCAGAGAGCTGGATCAGAGTGGAGCAGCCGGGACTCAAACTGGTGTCCATATGGGATGCCCATATGGAATGCCAGCACTGCAGACAGTGGCTTTACCTGCTACGCCACAGCGCCAGCCCAAATAATTTTTTTTTAAAAAAAGTTTATGTATTTATTTGAAAGTGTGACAGAGATCTTCAGTCTGCTGATTCACTCTCCACATGGCCCCAGTGGCTGGAGCTGGGCCGCCGAAGCCAGGAGTTTCCTCCGGCTCTTCCCGTGTGTGGAGTGCCACCCTCTGCTGCCTCCCCAGTTACATTAGCGGGAGCTGCAGCAGCCAGGGAACCAGCACCTTTATGGAACGCTTGAGCTACAGGCAGTGGCTTGACCCCTACACCACAGCCTTGGGACCTTTACATAACTTTCATTATTATTATTATTTTTTTTTTTTAAAGAACTACCCAGAATGAGAAGGCTTAGTGAAAAACATACACAGATGATGGGGTCGGCACTGTAGTGCAGTGGGTTAAAGCCCCAGCCCGCAGTGCCAGCATCCCATGTGGACGCCGGTTCGTGTCCTGGCTGCTCCACTTCTGATCGAGCTCTCTGCTATGGCCTAGAAAAGCAGTAGAAGATGGCCCAAGTCCTGGGCCCCTGCACCCAACATGGGAGACCTGGAAGAAGCTCCTGGTTTCAGATCGGCACAGCTCCGACTGTTGCAGCCACCTAGGGAATGAACCAGCAGAATGGAAAACTCTCTGTCTCTACCTCTCTTTCAAATAAATAATAAAATAAATATTTTTAAAAATATACACAGATGAAAGCTATAAACTAAAGCAGAACTTAACAGTTTACGTAACCAGATAATAAATGCTTTGGAAATTCTTTGTGTTGTATTTTCAAGCAGTTGGGCCAATCACTTTTGTGTTGACTTGTACTTTAATTTCTTCAAGGTATTTTTCTAGACTGACCCACAGTTGCCCTACCTCACATCTTCGCACCCATTTACAGTTTCAGCTTATAATTAGTATCAAATAAAATCGGAACACACCTAAGATGTTTGTTTATCAGAAGGATGTCTGCTTCTTGAAACTCACTTTCGGTTAAGTGTCGTTTGCCGTCACATTGTATGCACTTCTCAGGGAACCACTGTCTTAAACCAGTTACAGCCCAAAACCAGCAACTGCTCATCTACTTTATTAAATATGTATTTTTACAAAAGTCCTCTAGGCAGTGAGTGTTTTTCCACATTTCTATGTGGGTGTGTAGGACAACCATTTCTTCTTACCAGGGGCAGTTTATAATCCCAGAGATGATGCAATTCTAGACAAGTAGCTATGTGGAAATTTGCATGGGGTTCCTATGAACTTTGAAAATTATTGGTGCTTTTGGAACTTCAAGCTAATCTTTAATTTTTGTGGCCCTTATGAAATAACATACTATTTAAGTATTATATGGATTTACCTCCAGAGCCTAAATTGGTCATTGAAGTGAAGTGTTGCCTGGAGGTGGTGGTGTTTCGTTAGGAGAGAACTGTGAGCAGTGCTTTGCTGAGCTGTGCGCCCCTCTGCCTCGACTTTGTCTCCTAACGATCGCTTCAGGCAGTGACTGCCTCCTACTCTGAAGTGTGTGACACTACAGCAAGTGCCTTGCAGGTGCAAAATACAAGCATTAGCAAAACCTTGAAAACACAGGTACCTTCTCTTTGTACTTTCCATCCTCTTCCTAGAATTGAAGTCTTTTTTCATTATTTTGTGTACATTAGGCATTCAGGTAACAATATGTCCTGATATGAAATAATTACTAAAGAATCTGTCCTACAGCCACCTACTTTTACTGCTTAATCACCAAATAACTATCCGTGTTGCTTCTCTGATGCCACATACAGAACACTCACATAAATGTAACCCTGTTAATGGTGTGAGATAAAGTGAAGCGTTGTGTACCCATTTTTAATTTATGTTCACCTGATAGTTATCACTCCTGCGATTTGATCTGGTTGCAAGAGCTCTTTGGAAGGTTCTTTCCATGTTTTTCCCCAGAGTCGATGTTGTGGGAAGATCCACGGTAGTAGGGAGTAGGTAAACACAGACAATACTAGAAGAGAGGGGGGATATTTTTAATTCAAATTTTTATTTAATCAAAAGTTAAGATGTGAATCTTTGATCAGTGGAATTATTGAATTGTTGAAACATACAGTAATCAAAAGATAAATTCTTAGATCAACTGTTTTTATTCAATCCCATTAAGTGATACCGATTTCGAATGAATATCTATAGTTTGTATCTTAATTGCTGTAACGCAGAAGTATCACAGACAACTGAAACTAAATCTCACAGGTTCTTGGTGTCAGAGCTAGATGGTCTGCATAGGGAGTGTTCTCTACATCTTAGATGCCATGGGGAAGGACACTGCCCAGAGGAGTTCCCTGAAACACTCGTCCAGGATCTCTGGAGAAAGTGAAGTAATACTGGGTGAGAGACGGCCCTAAGGCCTGGTGCCTTTCCACTGCCCGTACGTGCCTTTCTGATTATCACGTTACCCCTGAAGATGACCATAAGTAGAGCCACCGTCCTCTGGGGATGCCAGACGCCTGTGTGACTCTGAGATACTCGGTGAGGTTAAGCTTGCTTTTTAGTTGCTTGGGCCCCAGATACCACATTTGAATAGGCCATGTTTGCAGCATGAAGAAACGCTGCAGTTCAAATATGTTCATCTTTCAGACATGAGGAAGGTTGGAAGAACAGTATATTAATAGTACTGGAATTCTAGAACACAGATTTTATTTGTTTTAATTATAGATAAAATATTTTAAGCCAAACAAAAAACATGCCCCACACCTATTCTGCAAGCTTTAGTTACTTCAGTACAGTCAGCACTTTGCCGCTGTGCGTCGTGCGGTCAGCGTGCGGCTGGAATGATCAGGACATCAGGGAATCCTTGACGATCAGAGAAGAGTACTCTCTGCAGCTTACACAAGAAAACAAACTAGAACTGGAAACTTGGTTTGCTATTTTAGTTTCCCAGTGGCAGAGAGCAGGTGACTGCGTTTTCTCTCCAATTCTAGTTAGGACTTTGCTCTTCCCTATGAGCCGCTCTCACTGAAGCCTGGGTAAGATCAGCCCAACTGGAAGAGGCGTGGCAACTTTAACGAACAAGAAGGAACCTCAGAAGCAGCTTATCAGGAAAACTGATGATTATGATCTAAAAGATTTAGAAATAATAGCTGTCAAAATTACCAGAAACAATTTTGAAAGCATGATAAACTTGAGTTCTCAAAACAAACATGCTTAAGCCCTCATTGTATAAATATTTACACTTCTTTTTCCTTTATAGGTTTAAGAAGTGGATATAGTTAAGAAAAATGGTTAATGTGAACGCACCTACACCGCACCCTTCAACCAGGACTCCCACGTATAACATGCAATGGAAGGAGAGGCATTTGTCACGGGGCACCACGTGTCTGAGGGCCTGTGTGAGGATGGTGGGACCGTTCTTGCTCTACGCACCTCACAGCTTTTCAAGAGGGTGCCTCACGGTACTTCTGGGGTCAGCTCTGCCTTTGTTTGACTAGCTCTGTATCTGCCCTGTGTCGTCCATGCTGTTGGGCTGGAATTGAGCCTCTCAAGGAGAAAAGAAGCTAAGTACGGGGAGGTGGGAGCACTTTTATGTTTCACACGCAAAGGGAAGGCTTGGACTAGAGTATTTGTGAAACAAGATGGAAATAGTTGTTTCCTAAAATATCTGTGGATATAGGCTAGTGTATAGTTCCCCTTCTCTCACTGAAACACAAAGGGTTTGTGTCACATGATGGGTCAGCAACAGCACGTTTGCCATCGCAGCTTGGGCGTGTTCCTTGTTACTTGCTAACAGTGACAAGCACAGTTCTCTGTCCGAGGTATCTGAGGTTCCAGATGGAAGGTGGGTGTCGCCTGTTCCTAGGCCTTGAGCGTGCTGGAAGCCCTGAAGTAGGAGAGGAATTTGTAACAGAAGCTCACGATGAAGAACCAGACGTTCCGAGCCATCTGTGACCTCGCGATGAGAAGGCGCCAGACGATGAGGAAGAGGGCGGTATTAAAGAGGTAGTGAATGTTTCGGAGCCTGAGAAACAGACACAACATAAGCAGGGTTAGAACAGCGCCGAAGACGCTCCCAACCATGTTCTGTGAGCCAATGACGCATCCTCTCTGGCTACGGCCTGCCAACATTAAGTGCTCACAGGGCGTACGCCACAAGCTGGGTACTTGCGTCTCCTTTTCCCCAGCAATCTAGCTGAATTGTCCCATTTTCACCTTATTTCCCTAACTAGTTTCTGACAGCTCTCTACTTGCAGACATGACTAGCATATTGTTAAATATACCTTAACCATATGACCACATCCTACGTCTTGTTCTGAAGTGATCAGTCTGCTAGTCAAGGCGCTTCTCTCGTCTCTGCCCTCCCAGCCTTCCGCTTCTGCCAGTTTTTCCGTCGTGCTGCACTTCTGTCAAGTCGGTCTGTGTTGGGTTTTCTCCATATCACATTACTGACAGGTGTGGTAGAAGAAACAGAAACTTGGTTTTGAATCTGGGTCCTGTGCCCGGTGTGCATCACCGACACAACTCACTTGCTTTTTGTGAGCCTGAATACCTCTGTGATGAAATGATCACACGCCTCAGAGGGGTGTGGTGAGGTCTAACTGAAACGACTTTCCTGCAGGATGTAGTAAAGTACACAGGACCAGGGATACACTGAATGCTCAGGAAATGTTCATTCCTTCAGTGCTCAAAGTTTATGCCTGATATAAAATCAGACGCACACAGCAGGTGCTCCATCAGTGTCAACTGACTGTGCTTACCTTCTTAAGTGTTGCCTCGCTTCTGGGATCCCAGCCATATCCTCTTTCAATAAATACTTCTTAACTCCCAAGACATAATTTTCAATATATTCCAGCCAGTTCAGCTGGCGCACATCAAAGTTGAATACCTGAAAGGCAAGAGAGACTGGGTTTCAGAACTGCACTGTTGGCCATCACTTTGGCCACTTGGTGTGCTTTCTTTTTACCAAATAAGTGACAATCAGGTGGAGATACAGTTTGAACTCCCCAAAGAAGAGATGATGTGTGCATCTGTGGGGAGCAACTGGGAGCAACTCGGACTAGACTGTTACTGGAATTAAGACTTATTCTATGCATCTGCTCTCCCACAATATGGCGCTGGGAGAGGAGGAAACAGCTTCTACACAGCTGCCTCCAGTTCAACCAATAAACGGCAAGACCTGCTCCTGATTGGAGGAGAGCAGCGTACTCGGCGTGTGGGTAGCAGAGTTGGGATTGGTGGAAGAGGACTATAAAGGAGGAGAGAGACAACATGCACCAGGAACACCTGAGGAACATCTGAGCAGCCCCCGAGAGAGCTGGCCGGCGGTGTGCTGCTCCCCCGCAGAAGTGGGGAAAGTGGCAGGGGGAACCGCCCTTCCATGGAGGTGGAAGGGACGGTAGCCAACCCGGGAAGAACCAGCAGCAAACCCGGGGAGGGCCGAGCAGACAAAAGAACAGCGCAGGGTCCTGTGTCGTTCCTCCACGAAGAGGGGGAGTGACATAATGGTGCCGTGACTCGGATAAGAAGCCTAGGCAGGGTTTAGTGTCGTTCCTCCATGAAGAGGGGGAGCGACATAATGGTGCCGTGACTCGGATAGGAAACCTAGGAGGGAAGAAACGGGAAGAAGTGGGAAAATACCGGAGAGAGAGACTAGCAAAGAGCCTAGGGAAAAGCCGGACGGAAAAGGTGCCGGAAGAAGCTATTGAAAGCCTAGGCATAGACTCAGATATGGACTGTGGGAAAGAAGTTAGGATTTAAAGTGAAAGCAAGAAGAAACTTAGACTCAGATATGGACTGCAGGTTGAAAGTGAAAGTGAAACCTAGAAGAAACTTAGACTCGGATACGGACTGTGGGGAGAAGCCAGGAGAAGTGAGAGGGGAATATTGTTGGAAGAAAAGTTAGGAAACATACCGGGTAGAGAAAAATGTTAGGGAGGATGAAGCCGCCGCGGGGGAGGCGCCGAGAAGCAGCCTCGGGGCGGGCGCCGGGAAGCCGCGGGGATAAGAGAAACAGAAGTTTAGAAGTAAAATGAGAGAAATAGGAATGTTGGCAGATAGAAGTAAAATGGGAGAAATAGGAATGCCCGGAGATAGAGAAATAGAGAAAAATAAGGCCTCCCCACAACATGGCAATGAGAAAGCTTGGATTCGGTCTGCCTGATTAGTAAGACAATAAGCACCTGTGGGCGGCTGCAGGTCACCAAAGACAGGCACGTTATCAACACCAATAAGTCTCCCCACAAGACGGCAATGAGAGGGCTTGGATTTGGTTTGCCTGATAGGGCTTGTAAGCACCTGCAGGCAGTTCTAGCAGAGCAGAGCATGTGCTGCAGGGCACCGAACTCAGGCACGCATCAGCGCCTAAAAACCTCCTCACAACATGGCGAAGAGAGGACCTGGATTCGGTTTGCCTGATTGGTAGGGCTTGTAAGCACCTGTGGGCAACTCCAGCAAGCAGAGCAAAGTGTGTGCCGCGGGGCACCGAAGACAGGCGCGTATCAATGCCAAAAATAAAAAGAAAGGGGGATCTGTGGGGAGCAACTGGGAGCAACTCGGACTAGACTGTTACTGGAATTAAGACTTATTCTATGCATCTGCTCTCCCACAATATGGTGCTGGGAGAGGAGGAAACAGCTTCTACACAGCTGCCTCGAGTTCAACCAATAAACGGCAAGACCTGCTCCTGATTGGAGGAGAGCAGCGTACTCGGCGTGTGGGTAGCAGAGTTGGGATTGGTGGAAGAGGACTATAAAGGAGGAGAGAGACAACATGCACCAGGAACACCTGAGGAACATCTGAGCAGCCCCCGAGAGAGCTGGCCGGCGGTGTGCTGCTCCCCCGCAGAAGTGGGGAAAGTGGCAGGGGGAACCGCCCTTCCATGGAGGTGGAAGGGATGGTAGCCAACCCGGGAAGAACCAGCAGCAAACCCGGGGAGGGCCGAGCAGACAAAAGAACAGTGCAGGGTCCTGTGTTGTTCCTCCACGAAGAGGGGGAGCGACATGCATCATCATTGTATACTCAGCAGGTATTTACTGAATGCCAACTTCACACCAACTATTGTTCTGGGAGCATTATTTATTTGAACGTTGGCTTTTGATGGTATCAATTATCTACATAGGAATATTTAAAGATGGACCCTGCACAAACATTGAACAGCTGGAAGTCTTGTGCACCTGGTATTACTTGAGTCCCTTGAAAGCCTGTGGTTGGCTTGGCGTACTTTTCAAGTACATGAAGATTACTCTTAAGTACTTAGGTAAGAATAGTGACCGCAACACCCTGTGCATCTTTCCTATTCTTCTTCAATTTTGGTGTAGTCCCCTTGCTCCCCTACAACACTGCCACTTCATTGTGCAGAGGAGACTAAGCATTTGGAAGCAAAGCCTTAAGGAATAGGTAGCAGAATGTGCATCATGAAAGAGAGTGATGGCTGGTGGAAGAAGAGGAGGGATCCGGGAGTGAGGAGGAGGTCAGGGGAGAAGGACGAGAGACAGATGGAAGGAGAGTTGTCACCCAGAACAGGGGTTTGAAAGTGACAACATGGGAAGAGGACTTGGGGGAAAAGTTTGCATGTTGAAAATGTGTTTTCTTTCTGGCTCGCTACTGAAATGCTCAAGATCTGAACTTGTTTCTGTAGATGTCATTTCTGCTCTGCTTTGACAGTGTTGCTGTACTGAGACAGGATGGTGTGGGGGCCCAGTTTCCTGTGGGTTGCAGTTGGAAACAGGGTGAAACCCAAAGGCTCATCTTTGAGCCGTTTTTCCAAAGTCTCCATAAAACAGGCTTCACTAGAGAAAGAAGAAAATGAGCTTCGAATAGAATATAAAAAAATTTTTAGCTGAATATATATATATATACACATATATATTTGGATTTTTTTTGCCTTTTTAAAATATTTCAAATAATATAGAAAAATATGAAGAGTTTAATGGCACATGTAGATCTAACAATTGTTAGCATTTTGATATATTAACTTCATTAGTATATCTTTTATATATATACACACGTTAGTTTTTAAAAGTAGGGGTGTATTTATTAATAGCACATACAGGGCTGGCACCGTGGCTCACTTGGCTAATCCTCCGCCTGCGGCACCGGCATCCCCTATGGGCACTGGGTTCTAGTCCCCATTGCTTCTCTTCCAGTCCAACTCTCTGTTGTGGCCCAGGAGGGCAGTGGAAGATGGCCCGGGTGCTTGGGTCCCTGCACCCGCATGGGAAACTGGGAGGAGGCACCCAGCTCCTGGCTTCAGATCGGCACAGTGCCAGCAGTGGCGGCCATTAGGGGAGTGAACCAATGGAGGGAAGACCTTTCTCTCTGTCTCTCTCTGTCTGTCTCACTGTCTAACTCTGCCTGGCAATCAAAAAAAAAAACATAAAAAAAAAAAGCAGCGGGGATTCATGACATCATAAACTTAAGAAATAAGAGCATATTATAATGTAAGGGGTATAATTAGTGAAGACGACATTTATAAATATACAACATAATCATTAGAATGAATTTGAGGCAATGAAATTCAGTCAACAGTGGACAGAGTGTCAGGCAGATGCTGGGTCATCTCCAAGAAGATTTTAGTGACGAGGTTCCTGTTGGAAGGCTCAGGTGTGACACTGTGGGTTGGACAGGCATCTGGTGTGTCTGGAGAGAACAGTCTGAGAAAGAACTTGTGCTAGCATAATGAAGGCTCCTCTGTTTCACTGGTTTTAGCAGGGGGAGAGTACAGGGTGCCTCAGTTCTCCCTGTTGGTCCCATTCTCTCTCCTTGGACAAACACCACATGTTGCCTCCTAAAAGCCTATTCTTAGGAGAGTTTTCTTCATGTACAATGAAGAGTTGTTTCATTAGACTGAACCGATGAACTTCTGTTGAGACCTCACTAGGAAAAATTTTAATCGTAGTAGCAAAAAAGCCAACGTTCAAGTAAATAATGCTCCTAGAACAATAGTCGGTACAAAGTCGGCATTCAGTAAATACTTGTTGAGTATACAATGAGTTATAGAATTTCAAATTAATTTGTAATATCAACTTTAAAAGCTGAAAGCGTTTCTTTTTGTTATGCAGCAATTTCTTCTGATATTTGCTCTTTATATCATATTTTATGGGTATGACCTAATTAAACTTAGCTTGCTTTTCTCAGACAGCTATTCTCTTTATAAAATTTTTCATTTATTTGAAAAGCAGAGAGAGACAGAGATATTCCATGTGCTGATTCATTTCCCATATGCCTGCACTAGCTGGGGCTGGCCAGGCAGACGCCAGGAGCCCAGAACTCAATCCCACGTGGGTGGCGTGGACCCATCCATAATCTGCTACCTCCCACGGTATGCACAGCAGGAAGCTGGAACTCCCATCAGGCAATCCAGTATAGGATACAGGCATCCTAAGCTGTGTCTTAACCGCTGTACCAAATGTGCACTGTAAGACAGCCAGTGTGTGATGGAGGCTTAGACTGCGTTAAATAAAAAGCATAAATGATCAAAGAAAACCGATTACCACTGAAAGTCAAGTTGACTGACTTTAGAGTGGCCACACTACTTTCTGAGAATCTCTTGGGTTTATTTCATAACTTACACGTTTCCTCCAGAGTCTAAGATTAGTTTCTTTTCCCTTTATCTAGGAAATTTAACACTTCTGAAGAATGTAATTGAGTTTGACACCATAAAGATTCAGTAATTCTCTAGGGCTGTATAATTCTGCTTCCTTTATATGCAAATAAAAATGTTACATATTAATCACATAGAACTATCTTAGACCTGGAAGAGAAGCAACTGAATACTAATGTCCATTTAACATTCGGAGCATTTGGCGAACCTTTCTTTAGTGAATGAGTCCCTTGCTCATTCACTATCCATATTGCTCTGGCTAATCTTCTCAACTTTCATGAGGAACATGCCAAGGAATAACTATTTAAAATTGTTACTGTATTTGCTGTAGAGATATTATCCATTATGTCTTTTAGAGTGCCTTTATAGAAAACCCTTCATCAACATTTCTTTAAGAGTGAAATAGTAAGAAAAGCTTTTAATATACGCTGGTACATTATTTTTGACAATGAATTCTTTATACTGGCATTTCCACTTTGTCACCAGAAAACTCAAAAACAAATTCACTGCTGTTTGAGGCTCCTGGCTTCGCCCTTGTCCAGCCCTGGCTGTGGCAATATGTGAGGAGTAAACCAGCAGATGGAAGCTTCCTCTCTCTCTTTCTTTCTCTCTCTCCCCCTTTCAAGTAGATGAAAATAAACAAAAATAAGCATTAAAAACACTATGGCAATTTAGTGGGATCTTGCAGAGTACACGTAGATGTTATGTTTTTTTTTCCTTCTTAGCTGTCACTTCATATTCTAATCTGATTTGTATTTCCCTAGTTTGGATTTTATTTCATTATTTTATTATATATGATTATTGCAAGATATCTCAAATCTTTGTGAAATTTGGAGTATTAACAAAAGAAACAGATTGGGTTAATGAGTTCCAGAGAGCTTCATAGATTTGTCCCAAAAGCTGAATTGCTTTCCAAAATTAATTCCATCATCACTTTGCCTGGGTATGTTTTTCACAGTGTCTCTATATATTACATATTCATCTCTACAAACACAGGCTTTTCTTTTTCTACTCTTTCATATTGCCTTTTGAATTATTCAAATGGGTAAATTCCATGGAAACAATACAACAAAGACAGGCCTACATGAAATTTGAAGCTATTTTTTTTAAAAAGAGAGTTTAGGGTAGCATGACACTTTTTTGTTTCTATTTTTATGAACTAATTTTATCATCATCCAAGTATTTCAGTCAGCAATGCTGGATGAATGTTGTCTTTAGAGGGTAGGTAGACATTTCTGAAAAGCATCATTTCATGTCCATTTGAGAGGTACTCATTAGTGATTTCATATAAACTGTCCCTCTAAATCTCTCTTGATTTACCAGATTTATAGTGTTTGACACTGCAAGTAACCATTAGGTTCCATAGCACAAAACTGTTCTAGGATTGGCTTGGAATCCTACTCCAGGAGACTGGTAGGCATGAGAGGCTCTTAGTGAACAAGTGAGACCCTCTAGCATCTGCTTCTCAGTGCCACCTGCAGAAAGGCACAAAATACATCAAGAAATAGTTTTTATAAAACCTGGTTCTTAGTGGAAACAATTAGTCAATCAAGAAGCTGAAAACCTTAAGATTTAGTTGAGAAATTATTTTTTGACAGGCAGAGTTAGACAGTGAGAGAGAGAGAGAGACAGAGAGAAAGGTCTTCCTTCTGTTGGTTCACCCCCCAAATGGCTGCTACGGCCGGCACGCTGCACCGATCTGGAGCCAGGTGCTTTCTCCTGGTCTCCCATGCAGGTGCAGGGCCCAAGGAGCTGGGCCATCCTCCACTGCCCTCCTGGGCCACAGCAGAGAGCTGGACTGGAAGAGGAGCAACTGGGACAGAATCCGGCACCCCAACTGGGACTAGAACCCAGGGTGCCGGCGCCTCAGGCAGAGGATTAGCCTAGTGAGCCGCGACGCCGGCATAGTTGAAAATTTTAATAACGCCATAAGAGTATGTTCAGGAACACACGGCTCTTTGAGGAAAACGAGCTGCCGCCATGAATGGAGAACAAAAGACTCCCAGATATGTGAATTGCTGAGTGGGCAAAGATTTCAGGACTTACTGCTTGTGAGTCCCAAGAAGCCAAAGAAATAAATGGCTCTCTTCCTAAGTGGAAGTCTGAACTGCTGAAGAGAAATACTATGTAGAGACAGACACATGCTGCTAGAGAGAGGACAATACTGACGTAAGAAGATGAGGAGAGAGAATGCACCTATGCGGGGGCTGACTGTAGGAAGGCGAAGGGACAGCAGCAGTGAATGTGAGTTGCTGAGCGTTGGAATCGTGAGTTCTCATTGCTGCCACATGCTACGGCAGGCAGGGGATGACAGGTACCCGCATACCGAGGGTTTGCAGAAAAGACAGCTGCTGAGGGGCGAAGGGAAGACAGAAGTACCGTCAGTGAGACGCACAGACAACAGAGCAGCGTGAAGATTAACCAAGTGCAAGGTCTCTTCCCACGACTGTGCTAACAGCACTGAGTTCTCAGCAAAAAATAAAGACTGTGTGTGTGTGAGTGTGCGTGTGTGCGTGTGTGTTTCCATATAAACCAGGCTTCCCTTGCTCATCAGCTCTCCAAGTCAAACCATTCCACACTCCCGATGCGTAGCTGTGACACGCGTGCACACTCACTCGCTGGTCCTCGGGGCTCAGCTCGGACATCAGCATCTCTGTGTTGTACGTGCTCCACTCCCAGCTGCGGTTGATGAAATACTCCAGCATCGAGATGGTCCTCAGGAGCCGGTTCATCAGCTTCGTCATCCTGAGGGATCATCAGACGGAAGCAAACATCAGCACACCGCGGGTGCGGCTGGTTCCTGTGCCTCCAGCCATGGCGGGTAGGTTGTTTATAAAATTATCAATTAAAATTATATTTTATAATCATATAAACATTCTTAAAAACAATTACAAGAACAATTCCTCTTCCTTTCCCCCCAATCCCACGTTAAAATTTTTATTCTTTTCCCTCCAGATTGTCTCTGTTGAATGAAGGAAAGAAAGGGGGTGAAAATCATTTTATTTGTCATATATTTTAATACCAAACCCTGGTTCCTTTTGAGTAATCTGCTTACTGTAAAAGGGGGCCAGCTTTGCACCCTAAATGGCCTACCTTCAGTTTCCCAATTCTGATAGATCTAGAGTTTATCTGCTTTATTGTGTGTGTTCCTGCAAAACACGGACAGGATCTGAGTTTTTAGCTTATAACTTCTGGGCAGAAGTGTTGCCTGATAGTGAACCAATAGAAGTTGTCCATTGTGATGTCGATTTAAGGAGAAAAGAACTGACTGTGGATAACCTACCCTGTATGAGGCCTACCCTGATAATTTTCAAAATTATTATCTCTGCTGATTTTCAAATACCCTTCTTATATATTATTAGTCTTTGGCTTTATGAATGGGTAAGATGAGTTTTAGATAGTGGCAAAGCCCGAATTCCAGCCCAGTTTTGAATGACTTTAAGAAACATGTGTGTGTAATCTCACTACCCATGTGGACTACATTTCTGAATCCCAGTGTAAGAATTTAAGCCAGGTCTCCTATGCGAATCTCCCAACTACAATAATTTACATACACTTCACATGTGCTCCTATTTGATCCTCACGGTGTGACTTGAGGTAGTCAGGATTCATATCCTTTATCTTTGCTTTACTGCACACAGCTAATCCTCAAATCTTGGCATTTTAGCTACAAGTCATTTTTGACCAATAAAGCATTTCATTTCTGTCCTTCTTAAGGCAGTCTTGGTAGCAGTGAGTAATGCAATCAACACAGTAATGCCTTGCGATGCTCTTCTGGGAATTTGGTCTTATTTCCGGCCTCATTTGAATGCCAGTGCACCTGATGACTCATGTGATGGCTCTCATCTTAACATGGGAAGTTTCTTAGCCAGGAGGTCAATTTCATTATTTCTTGATATAAGAACCATAGGGTTCCACTTAACTGTTCTGATCTAAACCTTTATCCATCCCTCAACTGTGATGCAGTGGATGTGATTTCAATAGATATAATTTTTACAAAATAACAGTTGTTCAGTTCTATCACAAGACTATCAACCTACTGATTTTTTCTTATAAAAAAAGAATACATTTGTTACTTTCAAAAAGCTATCAAGGAAAATAATGATTCATTGTACCACACAGAAATTTAATACTTTTTTGGTGGTATTAGTGGTTATTATATTCTAAGCACTTATGTAAAATGATACAAAATAGGTCTGATTACCATCCTCTTTTTACAAAAGAGGAAGTTAGGATTTTAGAAAGGTGAAGGAATTTAGGTCTCATAAGGATAAACCGTGAAGCCGGGAGTTAAATCCTGTGAAATCCAACTGCAAATTCCATGTTCTTAAGATCTTCAGTATATGTATTTCCACTTGTATCACAAAGAGCTCTAGCATCAAAGCTAAAGGATAAAAAACACCTGTGGGAAATACACGACGTCTATATTCACACACACAAGTTCCTGTAAGTTAATAAGGACAACCCATTTGAAAAATAGGCAAGGAACAGAGGGGAAAACATAACTATCCAATAAACAGGTGAGAGTCTAGCTCCTCTCACAATCAGGGCAACGCAAATCAAAATAACAAAGGCTTGCTTCCTCACAAGGAGTCTGAAATTCAAGATTGGTTTTGCAAAGTGTGAACCTGATGTGTGAACCTGATGCGTGGTTTGCAAAGTGTGAACTGATGAGCACTCATTCTGTCGGGGCCACACACTGCTGTACTGGAACAAACGGAAGGGGCAGGCACGCGGCAGGTGCAGTGGCCCGTCTGTGAGGACGCAGGCACACTGATATTTTGTTGCTCCACCGGGAAGGGGAAAAGGATGTCAGAATGATTTGGATTTTCGTGTTCATATCTAGGTGTAAAGACAGAAGATTACACGCAAACATACTTAGGGAGTTCGAAAGGGTTTAGAAAGATTTCAGCATGGCCGGCGCCGCGGCTCACTAGGCTAATCCTCTGCCTTGCGGCGCCGGCACACTGGGTTCTAGACCCGGTCGGGGTGCCAGATTCTGTCCCGGTTGCCCCTCTTCCAGGCCAGCTCTCTGCTGTGGCCCGGGAGTGCAGTGGAGGATGGCCCAAATACTTGGGCCCTGTACCCCATGGGAGACCAGGAGAAGCACCTGGCTCCTGCCATCGGATCAGCGTGGTACGCTGGCCGCGGCGGCCATTGGAGGGTGAACCAACGGCAAAGGAAGACTTTCTCTCTGTCTCTCTCTCTCTCTCACTGTCCACTCTGCCTGTCAAAAAAAATAAATAAAATAAAATAAAAATAAAAAAGAAAGATTTCAGCATGTTCTTCCATTAAGATCAATGTTAAAACTCATATCACAAAATAATCCAACCCATTTCTCACAAAGATTACAGTTTAATTTCTCAGAAAACAAAAGCCAGACAGGTTTTTCTTGTATCTCTTCCTCCTACATTCTTCCTTTTTACTTACTGAACTTTATGCTCTATCCAGGCTTTCTTCCAACCTTCATATAGTCTTAGGGTGTTAGCATTTCTGCCCACAGTGTTTGATTTTTCTTCTTTCCTCATCATTATTTAATAAATCCCATACAGATTTTCTCCCCATAATGGTAATGTAACATTTTTTATCTTGCTCAAGAACAGCTAAGGCTCCTACCACTTGGACAAACTCTCCACTGCCCAACTTTTAGTCATTTCACAACGATGAAACCACACAAGCTGAGGAAGACTTTGTCCCTTATGGAGGGCCTGGTACAGAGGCTGTACTATTCCTGCTTGTGATTCGGGTCATAGGAATTGCCTTTGGTGATATCCCATTGCAATTTCACGATTCTTCTGACACACACAATACTCAGGTGAGACAAGGGCTTAAAGGGACCTGTCCTAGGTTGCACCGTTGGGTGGTGCCAAGGCCGCCTTAGCTTCAGGGTGATGCTCCCTGTCATTTCCTCTCACACCTCTAGGTGGCAGCAGATCCGGTTCAGAACACCGGCTTTCAAACTCCTTCTGCCGCCTGCTTCAAGTGTGTCCTCATTTGTAACGTGGGGGTGGGGAGGAGCTCTTCCTTGAGTAGCGAGAATGAAAAAGGGGTCACTGTGCATCATCCTTAGCCCGCCAGGAGAGCCCAGCTGGGAGCTCCGGTGAGCAAGGCTGTCCTCCTTACTGCGTGCTTTAAGACACACTGGGAAAACCCCTACTGGAGCCCTAAGCGTTCACTGTATTACGGTGGAGGATTTTCCAAGATGAGAGTCCTTTGAGGTTTCTCACTACTGCTCTGTGTGTCCCAAAATGTCTGTGTGTGGGAGGGAGGGAGAGAGGGAGAGAAATATCCAGTCACCCCCTTCCATCCTCAGCTGCAGTGAGGAGGGGAGATCTCAGGGCCCCCGTGGCCCCTGCAGTGACACCCTCACGGCCCCTGGCCCAGCTTCTCACCTGGGCTTCCTTCCGGTGAGCCGCAGGTAGAAGTCATAGATGATGGCAGGGGCCCGGTGGCTGACCGCGTTCCAGTAGTGCGTTGTGAAGTTGTTGGTGGTGAAGTCGGCATACGGCCTCCTGAAAGCTCTCTCGAATGGGACTTTTTCAAAGGTTGCCAAGACTTGCAATCCTGAACAAAAAGAGTAAATGCTGAGTCTAGGAGCAGCTTAGCTCATCTTGTTGGAAGGCATTTAAAATGGATCAAAACAATAAAGACTAAAGATCTGCTGTGTAAAGAATCAATTTCTGAGAACAACACACAGATTTTACGCTTAACAAGTGATCTATCCGCAACATCAAACAATGCGGATGGGCTAAGAATTGGTGCTTTTATTGACACAGTTCCTCCAAAACTCATTCTCAGGGAAATCATTTTAGTCCACACAAGGAAGCTTAAGAAAAACCTAAATCTATCATTTAATTCCACAGTGATCTAGTCTTTTCTGGGACTGCCCAAGCAGAGGCTAGAAGCCTTCTTTCCTTTGTGGGATCCTTACTATGGAACCACAAGGAAAGTTGCTAACAGGTTAACCTTTCTTACTAAAAGTTTAACTCAAGGAGTAGGAAGGTGGGGTTCGCTTGTGTTGGGAATACCACAGTCTTTTTCTTATTTGGTCTTTCTTCTTCTCCGATAATATATTAAACTCACTTTTCCTCTCTCTGGTGTTAAGGATGTTTTCAAATATTTTTTTCCTTTTTGTGTTACTACTTAGATTAACCTTAGCTAAGACCTTTTGAATGCGTATTTGTAAATAAAGCTGCACTTTTCAGGAGGTATTCTTTGAATTCAACTCTGATAAAATTTACATGGATAATTTTCAAAGAATATGCCTAAGCGTATGATTCAGTTGTGATGATGATATTAATTATTATGATATCATTATCATCCTCTTCAAAAAGATACCACCTAGAAATCTCTAGGATGCTCTTGTCCATAGGCACAGATATTTGGAACAGTAAGCGCATCAGGAGTTACCCACTGTTCATAGCAGAAGAGACACCTCGACTCACCCCGCCCATCTGATCTATGTGTCCATGTCCCTGTTTGACAGTTCCACTCAGATGTGTAATAGACACTTGTGTTTAACACCTCTTGATACTTGCCCCTATGATGGGGGGTTTTAGGTGTCAAGTGGGCTGGGCTAAGGAATACCTTGAGGTTGGAAACGCACTACTCTGGGTGTGTCTGTGAGAGTGTCTTGGTCTCTAGGTGGGTGGGGCCCCATCAATGAGCTGGGGGCCCAGAGAGAGTAAGTATGGAAAGTGCACTGGTCTCTCTCCGAGAGCTGAGACATGCTCATCTGATGCCCAGGACACCAGCACTCTGTGCCTTGGGCCCACAGACTCCAGGACTTATGTAAGAGGTCCCAGCCACAAACTCGGGCTTTCATCTTGCAGTGGGTTCTGAGGCCCTCAGACTTGTTCTGAGCCATGGTACCACCATCCCAGGGTCTCCGGCCTTGTCTGCTGGCTGATGGGCTGTTGTGGGACTTGTCAGCAGTTATATATAAGTGCATGAGCAAATTCCCCTAACAAATCCCCTTTCCTAAATCATTATACACATCCTGTTCATGGTGTCTCTGAAACCCCCAAATAGACAGGGGAAACCCAGAATCTTAGACCTCTAAATGCTAATTCAGTGTTTCCAGCAGTTCACCTGAAGATGTCAGCCATCCTTGAGCAGTCTCTTCCTTTCGTAAACCCCGTACCACTAAACACCGAAACCTATCTGCACTCTGAAAAATATCCACAGTCACTGCTGTCTCTGCGATCCGAATCGCTAGTACAGTGGGGTATCGCAGGGGTCTCTGCCACATCTTTGTTCCTCTACAGCTTTCTCTCCATGCAGCAGCAGACTGGATTCTGTTAACACGGACCTCAGAGTCTGTTACTTCTCCACTCGGAATTTCTCAGTGGAATCTTCTCTCTCCTAGAGGGGAAAGCCGAACCCTGAGCACTGTGCATAAGGCTGTGCGTTATCTGTGTGCCCATCACTCCGACTTTATTTCCTACCATGCTCCTTCTCCCTGCTTCTGCTGTAGCCCTGCTGGCTGCCCAACTGTCCTTGAATTTGAATAAAGCGCCTTAGGACCTACTGCTCCTCCAGCTTGCGACACTTCCTTAGACACTCCTCTGGTTTGCACCCCCTCACCTCTTGCAGCTCTCTGCAAAGATGTAGCCTCAGCAGGGAGACTTTCTTTGGTCACCACATATGGAACAAACTAGCAACCTCCTCACATGGCTCTTTACCTCTTACCCTGATGTTCCTTCAAGCAAGTAGCCCTCTCTGATAGCTATTTCTCCCTACTGGAATGTCAGCAGCAAGACAGCAGAACTGTGCCTCTGTCATACCAACACAGTACCTTGGGAAGTGATGGGCAGGTGATCAATGCCCAGTAAATATTTTTGAATGAACGAATGTCTCAGTAATACACAGTTGAGTTCCTCTGTATTTCCTAAATCTACCTCACCACTTCCATTAGTCATTCCAAAGGCATTCACTGAGCACTTAATGCTTGCCAGGTACATCACTGCATGCTGGAGTAAATCACAGGCAGAAATGCAGGGGTAGATGTGGCGTGGTCCCTGTCCTTAAGGAACTGGTAACTGGGGGCAGATGCGGACAGTTAGCAGTCACAATATGGTAGCTGCGTCTTATGCTAGGGGTCAGTACAATGTGTTTCGGGGGAACAGACACAAACACCCAGCTCTGTTGGGTTCGAGGGCACGGAGGGCAAGGGTAGGGAAGGAAAGGCTTCATAAGAAGGCTAGCCATCGGCAGGAACAAACATTGCTGAAATGCTTCCAGGTCTAGTCACTGTATATCCTTAAACCCTCCCAAGAGCACTCTGAAATAGAATAAGCATTATTTGCATCTGACAGATAGGAAAATTCATCTACAGGGAGATACTAAGTGATCTTCCCAAGTTCACACAATGAACAAGCAATGGGCGTCTACTCGATGATGGAACCCGGAGGGGCCAGTTTTCGACTGAAATGGGTTCTAATCACATTTTCTTGGCCTTGTTACTGTTTGGTTACTCTATGGCCAGTGGGACGCTTGTTGCTGACAGTCACACACAGGATCTCACGTTAAGGAACTCTGCTTCTAGACTAGGACACATGCGCACGTTGCGACTAGTCTGTCTCTTGCTTTGTTGTCTTTCCCACCAGGCTGTGAGCTCTGGGATGCACTGCTTGAACCTTTTCCGTGGGACACACTAGCAGTTACCCAGCTCCACCACTAGAGGCACTTACCCATCTTGCCCCAGTTACAGGGATTGAGGTTACCAGAGGTACAGTGGTAGATTAATGTTGACTTGGGTCTAAAAAAATTAAATAAAAATTAGGTAAATACAACACGATGGAGGACTACTAGAAAGAAAGATAATGTTTAAACAGTGTTTTCAATAGTTTCTTTGACTGAGGCAATTTGTACAATACTTTTGTCCTGTGTTCTTGTATTGGGTTAATAAGAAAAATAGAAGACTAGGAAAGGTAAGTGGGGTGTGTGTGTGTGTGTGTGTGTGTGTGTAAGAGATGTACAAGTGTGGCAGAGTAGGGAGCACAGGTGTCTGAGTGCATATGAGAAGAATTTATTTTTATTTACCATTTCCTGGCAGTGTCCAAAGTATAACCAACCTGTATTTTTTTCTTTGTACTAGCAAATGCCCCCACATATGATGATCTGAACTTTTAGCAGTTCAATAAAGTAGAAAATAAGCTGTCATTTCATCCACTTCCATCTCCATAACTTTAAAAAAAAGGAAGCTCCATTTTAGTTTATTGATTAGGAAGAAAAGCTTTGGGGTTATCAAGAATTTTATGGTGAAGTGATTTAAAGGCTTTGTTGCTAAGCCAAGTAAAAGCAGTATTTAGAAAACAATTCATTAAATGCATAGAGGAGTGGGATGTCCCAGGAAGAGCTTCGTAAAATGCAGACGCAAACACCTTCCTGTGTACCTGTGCACTGCAGTGTACCATCCTACGGCTAGGGTGAGATTGACAACCGTATCCACTGGAATTAAATCTGCCACCGCCATCGGAGTAGCTCTAATGGACCGAAGAAACCCTTTCCCAGCCTGCATGGAGAAAGGAACACAACATATTAATACAAGTTACAGGTAAAGGGTGGGGTTAAAGTAGACATTAAACTGAAGAGACCAGTGCTGTCAGTAAAGGTAGCTAATGCTGATATGCTGCTTAATAGGTTATTATGTTACATCTAATCAGCTCAACCTAGCCAACCTTTCTGGCCAAGTTCATCTCAAGTGCCAACGTTTCCACAAATGACCATTGGTCCTCTGGTTCCTTGAAGGAATAAAATTCTTACTGAGATGTTAATGCACTTAATCAATAAGTGTATAAATATACTTTTTGCAACTTTTTTAAAAATTTATTTGACAGGTAGAGTTATAGACAGAGAGAGAAGGGTCTTCCTTCTGTTGGTTCACTCCCCAAATGGCCGCTACGGCTGGTGCTGCGCCGATCTGAAGCCAGGAGCCAGGTGCTTCTTTCTGGTCTCCCATAGGGGTGCAGGGGCCCAAACACTTGGGCCATCCTCCACTGCCCTCCCAGGCCACAGCAGAGAGCCAGACTGGAAGAGGAGCAACTGGCGCCCATATGGGATGTGGTGCTGCAGGTGGAGGATTAACCAAGTGAGCCATGGCGCACGCCGGCCCACTTTTTGCATCTTAAAACTAATTCATGGGGTGGGCGTTTGGTGCAGTAGTTAAGTTGCCTCTTAGGACACCAACATCCCACGCTGGAATGCCTGGTTCAAGTCCCATGTCTCCACTTCTGATCCAGCTTTCTGCTAATGTACACCCTGCAAGGCAGCAGACGATGGCTCAAGTACTTGGGTGTTTGCCACCCAAGTAGGAGACCCAGATGGAGTTCCAGGCTCCTGCCTTAGGCCTGGACCAGTCCTGGTTGTTGTGTGCATCTGGGGAATGAACCAGCAGATGATGATCTCTCTTTGTCTCTCTGCCTTTCAAATAAATTGAAAATAAAATAATTCCTAAGACATTTCAAACAATGTTTCCCAAATGTCTAATTTTTCTTTACCATTCTTTAATTATTTTGTTTTCTGCTAGTCCTTATTAACTTACAAGCCATAGCATCATTAAAAGCTTAAGAAACATTTTAAAAATCAAACTGATAAAATTCTACTATGTAATAAAACAAAAATTTATTTATTTACCATTATTTACCTTGTTCTGTAGGTTAGTTTAACTCACTAATCATGGATGTTCTATAGATCTAATAATTAGGAGTTATTTGTGTTAATAAAATATTGTGTCTATGAAGCTGATTCTTGTTCCTCTGTGTGCTTCTAAAACTGATTTGCAATGATCAGCATGTTTTTATGGTCCTAATTTTTGTTTCCTTAACTGGATCCCTTCTATTATAACTGAGACACAGTTAGGAAGATTTCAGAAAAATCTAAATGAACATACGGCTGTGCACTATAATGAAAACTGCTCTAGGATCATGTGAACCCGATGATGTTCTAGGTCACTAAGCTAAACTTTAAAGGAGAAAGAGTTGAAGGTGAGTAGGGAAAGAAAGTGGTGAGGTATTGGAAAAATCAGCAATCAGTTCACCGTCGCTGCCTGTGACGCTCGTGATGCCCCGTCTCACAGCTGTACTGTATTTCATGCTGGCCCTCGTCTGAGGAAGAAGATCCCTGTAAAACTGCAGCTCAGGTATTGAGCTCCTCCCCAAGAGGAAGGCCAGGATGTGCTGAAATCTCTCGTGGGCACTGGGGGGCGCCACAGCTCAGGGCAGCCTGCCACATGGCTGCAGCCGGCCACAGCAGCGTGGCTGAGAAGTCGTGCTCTGCTCCCAAGTCGGTGTGTTTGAAAACCTTTGTTCCATTGGGAGTTCTCTTTTCTGATGACTAGTTCCTTTCTCCACACACATGTAAACTCTCGTATGCTTCAGAATCAAGAACTTAATCGTCTTGTAGGCCAGGATCTTTAGAGCATCCTGTTTGCAGCAGTAATTCAAAATATGAACGAACATTGAAAGGTAGGAAATATCCCCATCTTGTGGTAACTAAAGGAAAATCTTCGAAGAGCAAAGACTTCCAGAAATAAAATGCCTGCACAATGAGTGATATCATGTTATTTCTGGATTTTTTAAATAATAAAATTATCAAAGACTAGAAGTAATTTCATTTTGTCTCTATTTTCCAATCAGTGAAACTGAGGTAAGATGCCGAGTTGTTGTTACTCCAGGAATACCTGAGGTTTTGAATGAACATTATGAATTTTCTGTTTCCCCACTACCTCTGCAGCAGTTACATCTTCACTGTGGCACCTACCGCAATAATGAGCCCGCTCGGTCCGTTCAGGTTGTCCACCCAACCCTAGGAAAGACAAGATCTTTGTTGGTCACAGGCTTCAGAGAGCTGTTGCACATCTGGAACACCTGCAGTCTAGCACTGATAAGTTTCAAACCAGAGCACTCAGGCCCTGGCCAGTAGCGTTTCTTGTGTGTGTGTTTTTTTTTTTAATTTTTGACAGGCAGAGTGGACAGTGAGAGAGAGAGACAGAGAGAAAGGTCTTCCTTTGCCGTTGGTTCACCCTCCAATGGCCGCCACGGCCGGCGCACTGCGGCCGGCGCACCGCGCTGATCCGAAGGCAGGAGCCAGGTACTTATCCTGGTCTCCCATGGGGTGCAGGGCCCAAGCACCTGGGCCATCCTCCACTGCACTCCCGGGCCACAGCAGAGAGCTGGCCTGGAAGAGGGGCAACCGGGACAGAATCCGGCGCCCCAACTGGGACTAGAACCCGGTGTGCCGGCGCTGCAAGGCAGAGGATTAGCCTAGTGAGCCGCGGTGCCGGCCCCAGTAGCGTTTCTAATTCAGCATTTCCCCGGCCTCAGACAAAAACCAGTGGCACAGCACTGACGTGTTTTGCATTTTATTTGTGCAACAATTAAAACTCGGCTAATGGTGTCTTTCACACCAGAAGGTAGAGATCATTTCCCAGTATCTCATCGGCTAAATTGAACTCGTCTCAATACCACGATCTTTTAAGCAGTTCATCAGCCATACTTCATCTACATCTGAGCTCTGATTTTAAGCTCCCTTGGGGAACATTTCAAACTTGGTTTGTAAGAATTACTCACTTTTCCAATATTTTAACAGCTTTGGAGTCCATGTCACATTGTATGCTGTGTGTGTGTATGAGAGGGAGAGAGAGCGTGCACACTTATTTAGAGATGTATTAGGAAAGATTATGTTTAGCCGCAGTTAGAAGGAAATGTCTTTTTGAGTTTATTTTCTAAGTCCTAAGTTGACCTTATTATGTCTATTTCTTTATCCGTAAAAGTCAAAATGTGAGTGTATAATGAGAGAGGAGAAAGAAGAGAGGAGAAAATGAAGGGATTAATGTTTGCTGAATCATTTATTAGTGTAGGCACTACAGCAAACACGACTCTAACACTGTCACATTTCATGGGCTCTGCAAGGGAGTCCAATTAGCCCAGTGGTACAGCTGAGGCAACCTGAAGACTGCATTGCTGGTAAGTCGTACTGCTGGAATTGATGTGGTCCCAGCTGCACAGAGTTGCTTTAAGAAGATGGTATAACCGAAGTGCTTCTCAAAAGGACATTAGAGGGAACAATAAAAATTTTTCCTAAACTGAGAAACTTCCATGAGTTTTCTGACTCCTGTTTGCCCTGGCAGTTGCAGTACTACCAATCTGATCATAACGAACATTCTGGTATATTTAAATCATAGTGGGGAAGCCAAGAAAGGAAACTGTTTCCCATGGGACTTTCAAGACTTTGGAGACTACAGTTAGAAGCTAATGTAAGATCTCTACCCACCTCTTGGAGAGGCAGGATAACTCCCCAGGGAGCTGAGTAAATTCTGAACCACACATGGAACTAACAGATTCATGTTTGAGTTGCTTCACTTAGCTATAAATCCCAAAATGAAGAAAAAAAGTCCTAGAATGTGTATGGGGCTAGAAGGACCCGAGTTTGAACGCAAAACCCAAAACCCAAGTGAGGTGGACTTACTGGGAAAGGCTCCTGCCAGGTTGCTCCCACAATGGAAGGCCTCACAATGGCGATGTTTAGGTTCTCGCTCTCCTGCTGCACCACCATCTCTCCCAAGGCCTTGGTGTAGGTGTAAGTATTGGGCCGATCTCCAATCAGCTTTGGTGTGATCTCATCAATGATAGCATCGTCTAACCACCTGGAGGCAGAGTGAAAACCTTACAGCAACGTATGTTACACAAGAGACCAAAAAGACACTTTGAGATGCAGACAATGCATGCTAACCTCCACCCTGTGGCTGGAGTTCAGGATACCGACAACAACGAGTGTGAACCTGCTGCAACCAGGTTCTGGCTGAACCCTTTGCTCTCCTCTACTAAGCTCAACCATATCCATTAAAACCTCTGCCCTCCCAACCAGACAGCTGATAGATTCAAGACAGGAGATCTCCTACTTTATTACAGACAGTCTCTAATTGTTTCTAATTACTTCTCCAATTGGTTTTAAAATACATTTATTGAGTGCACTGATTCTGAACACTGACCATACACCCAGAGGTAGGGTAGGTGTTCTGTTCATGGGCTGGTAGCCACTTTTGTTCAAGGTACTGCAGTGGCAGCCCCAAAATCATTCTGTGGAGTCGAGTGAAAACTTAGTGCACCAATCCTAAAACCTTTAGCTTTTAAATTTTAAAAATTCTTTATCTCAACAGATCAAAGGAACTATATTTGGCAATTACATCCACAATTATTCATTTTTAGAAAATCTATGAAAAGTGTTTTAAGAGTCTATTCAGTGTCTCTGCTAATAACTCGATAATTATTTCCAGAGATTTCTGGTGCGTTTTGAAGCCTGTCAAGTGGACAATGAGAATATGCCGAAGCAGCTTCAATAACATGATGATTGAATACTCCTGCTTACGAGATGATGTGTGTCATGGATAATCACGTTACCATACCATTAGCGTATTCTTTTACAAAAACATGCCAGAACTATTTTGATAAGCTCAAAGTCTATCTATACGTTTTTAAGTAAAGAACAGTGAAATTATTGTCAAATAATGCTTCTCTTAGGTCACACATCTATTTGGTAAAATTATTGACATTTTTTTTAATTAGGCTGCCCAAATATGTTAGCATGAGTTTCTGAATTTATGTGTGTGGAATATTTATTCCTATTTCATAGGAGAGAGCATAACCAGACTGTTCTGACTGTAGAAACCATTAGGTGTTACTGCTTTGCTGCCAATGATAAACTGTTGAGCATTTAACATGTGCTTAATACCATGACCTCAGCAGAATCACAGCTCCTGGTCTTAACAACGCCCATGTGATGTTCGAGTGAGTCATTGGCACTATCTACAATAATTTCTTCTGGTTTTGCTTCCACATGTGCTGAGAGTATTGTGAACACTCAATTACTATTTGAGGTGAGTAGGGTGGAAGACCTGTCTCTGTCTCTACCTCTCTAACTCTGTCCTTCAAATAAAATAAATCTTCAAAAAATATACCCAATACAATGTCAATACCATGTAAATAATTGTTACACTGTATTGTCTAGGGAATGACAAAACATTTTGTGAATGTTCAGTACAATTATGTCCCTGACAGAGTTAGAACCCACCCTGGGCTGACAAACATTGCCCCACCTCATCTGTGGGTCAGCAATGAATTAGCTGACCTAAGATCATTTTGTCTCACTTGCAGTAACATAGAGGTTACCAAAACAAAGTCTGGAAGAAACAGAAGTTAATTTCAGTAAGGCTATTAAAAAACTCTCAGTAAGCATCAAAAGTGAGCAGTGCTCTGGCACTGAGGTCGTAGGTCACACGGCTGGTCCCGGATGCCGGCACTGATGCTCACGTATCAGCAGAACATGTGAGGCCTCACACAGCTGAGAGAGTTAGCTTGTCTTAGAAGAAATTAGGGACACAGACTCCTGAGAACACAGATGCAACAAAAGTCACCAGGTTCTGTAGATGTCTCACCCCGCCTAGGCCTAGCTACACCTGGATTCCATCGTCTTCACTTCTTTTTCCCTCTGCTTGTAAAAGATGGCAATAATCAAAGCCTCAGGTTGTCATGAGGACAAAAGGGCATACTTACTGAAAGCTCTTAGATAGAACAAAACGAGCTAATGAAATCATGGTGTTCTTTCTTCTTATTATTAGAACAACTCGTGGGCATGTATCTGCATAGTCGAGAGCCGGGTGTGAAGTATCTTTTCCAACACCGCCAGCAGCCCATCCACTACCTCCCCCTTCCTTGGTGCCGACAGCAGTGCGGTGTGGACATAACCACGACCACCTGGCGGCATGAGGCCCTTCTGAGGACCCACGCCCAGCTTGGGGTCCTGAAACAACCATGCTGTTGTGTTTAAAAACACAAAGGGAAAAAGACATGATTTAAGACAAAGCCTGTTCCTGCAATTAACTAAATACCCTTCAGCACGCTCAAGGCCATGGCTGCAATTTCAGTGTGATTTGACTGCCGCAGATGTCTTCTGTGATTGGACGTTGAGTTCCAGGGTAGTGGTATTGTGTGGCCCTGTAAAAGGTTGGTCTTTGCGGGAGAACCCTGGGTCAATTGTGGTGGTTGCCCCAGGGGGATTATGGGAGGCCAGTGTTTGGCTTTCTGTTCTTGCTATAATGCGTGCTGGCCACTGCCATCCCCATTCACCGTGAAGCCCTCATCACAGCTGAACCATGTGCTTGGACCTCCGAAACTGTGAGTTAAATAGTCCTTGCTCTCTATAACATGATCTACCCCAGCTATGGGGAGGCAGTTGTGCTAAGCTAATACAGTGATGTGAACCATGACTTGCAAATTGCAAACTTGTACTTGAATGACCTCAGAAGAAGCCTAAAGTCGCTGGAAGATTCAGCAGGCAGGAAGCATGTCTCTGCATGTATGGATACATGTGGGCCCTGTTACTGCCCACTTATGCAACAGGCAGGGTGGTCCTAGTGGTCTATTAGGAAGAGGCTTCTGGAATGGAAGTGGTCAACACAATGCCTCACAGTCCCATCTGCGCTCTCCTTATCTAACCTGGATTATGGTTTTCTCTTGATTATACCAGGTATCATCTTGCATGTATTTGCTTTTATGTCTGTTTCCCCCTGGACAAACAGTCTAGGAGAGCAGGGGTAGATTTTTTTTTTTTTTTTTGACAGGCAGAGTGGACAGTGAGAGAGAGAGACAGAGAGAAAGGTCTTCCTTTGCCATTGGTTCACCCTCCAATGGCCGCCGCGGCCGGCGCGCTGCGGCCGGCGCACCGCGCTGATCCGATGGCAGGAGCCAGGTGCTTCTCCTGGTCTCCCATGGGGTGCAGGGCCCAAGCACTTGATCTTGATTGGCCAACCTGTGTTCTGTGCAAAGCTCAGAGAGCAGAGCCCTGGGGGCCAGTGTGGGAAAGGAGCGAGGGGGGTGTCTTTGGAGAGAAGGAAGCAAGGTTGTTCACGGCTGCAGGGGTGCTGGTGGAAGGTGTTGAAGTTGGAGGGCCAGGGGTGACCCGCCACGGCTGGGAGCTGTCTTCAGAGGAACTGTAAGTATTTTGGCAAGAAGTGTATTTCAGATCACCGTGGTTGTGGTGAGCTTCTGTATTTCCCACTGAGACTCACATGGCCCACACCTGGGCAGCATGCTGACATGGGAACTCTCGTTTAAGAAGCAATTTAGGCCGGTGCCACAGCTCACCAAGATCACCAAGTGAGTGGTACTGGGTAAGGCAGTGGCTCCTGGGCGGGAAAGTGGTAAGACAGACATAAAGTATCTAGCCAGCACCGCGGCTCACTAGGCTAATCCTCCGCCTTACGGCGCTGGCACACCGGGTTCTAGTCCCGGTCGGACGCCGGATTCTGTCCCGGTTGCCCCTCTTCCAGGCCAGCTCTCTGCTGTGGCCAGGGAGTGCAGTGGAGGATGGCCCAAGTGCTTGGGCCCTGCACCCCATGGGAGACCAGGAGAAGTACCTGGCTCCTGCCATCGGATCAGCGCGGTGCGCCGGCTGCAGCGGCGGCCATTGGAGGGTGAACCAACGGCAAAGGAAGACCTTTTTTTCTCTCTCACTGTCCACTCTGCCTGTCAAAAATAAATAAAAATAAATGAAGCAATTTAACCCTGCTCTGATGGGTGTTTAAGACCTGGAAATGTTAAAGTATGCGAAATTCTCACATTTCTTTTGTCAGTTGTGTGGAAGCTATTTGGAGGCTGTGCCACTCTGAAAATAAAAGCGCTAGGGCTGGACTTGTTTTTTTTTTTTAATTCTCCCTAAAATAGATCAACTCTGCTCAACAGCACGTTAATGCTAAGACGAAACTCCTTCCCAATATCTGTCTGACCTCCCTGCTACTTTCCGGGGGGCCTCTTGGATGCCCACAGCCTTCAGTCCCCTGTACCTTGACCCATGGTCTTTGATCCTGCTTCTTACTGGTTGAGTATTACGGTTACTGGTGAATTAAGCTTCTGAATGCAGAGTGGATACACATGTCATGCATGTCGGTGCAAAAATTGGTGAAGGGAAGAGAGGAGGGGGAGAGGCAGATTGGGGAGGGGGAGGGAGGGAAGTGTGCTTCTCTTCTTGGAACTGTACCTGTGGGATGTATGCAGTCTGTTATCTTTTTATTAATAAAAGAAACACTGTTTTCTAATCTTTGCTACATGGTGGCTTAGCTGTGGCTTTGGGTAGCCAGCGAGTGATGTCTAAGTAGGGGCAAGGAGTTGAAAGCCCACAGAAGGTGAGGCAAGCAGGAAAACAAAGGGGTACAGATTCTTAAACAGGAATGAAAAGTGCCCCATGACAAAGCATTCTACTGTGCTGTTTTCCAAACTTGCCTGCTAATAGATATGAGTGACCCAGAGCTCCTGTTTAAAGAATGCAGATTCCTAGGCAAGGCGTGGGAATTGCTGAGAGAAACTGAGAACTGGAGTCATTAAGATGGGAGTCCATGGGGGTCAGCTCTCACAAAGATGTTGCTTACACAGGTACAAAGGTTTTCCCTTCTGTGATGATACCACTAAGATAAATTACCCTTATCTAAAGGACATGAAAACCATCAGTCAGAAAATTATTTCCTGATCAGTTACCTTTTTTTTTTTTTAAATACACATTCTCCTTCAGCTTTCATCCTTGAAAGCTAATTTTGTTGGCAATCCTTGATTCATTGAGAAATCTATACTACTATACTGGGAAAATAGAGATGGGGACAATGGCTGGGTAATGGTCATGGTGCTCACACTGATTACAAGTCTAAGTTTTTAAAATGTGTGTATGAAGTTGGTGCTGTGGCCCAGTGGGTAAAGCTGCCACCTGCAGCACTGGCATCTCATATGGGCGCCAGTTCTAGTCCCGGCTGTTCCACTTCCGATGCACCTCTCTGCTGTGGCCTGGGAAGGCAGTGGAGGATGGCCCAAGTGCTTGGGCCCCTGCACCCACCTGGGAGACCTGGAGGAAGCTCTGGCCATCACAGCCATTGGAAAAGTGGACCAGAAGATGGAAAACATTTCTCTTTCTCTCTCTCTGCCTCTGCCTCTCTGTAAACTCTGTCTTTCAAATGAATAAATAAATATTTAAAAATTTTTAACAATGTGTGCATGCTCACATACTAAAGTTTTTATACTCACACAATTATACCACATGTTTCTGGACTGGCTGTAGGCCCTGGAAATGAAAATTACCAAAGGAACCAGAAATCTGAAAGCCATGAAAACCACTCTAGCCACAGGCCTTTACTAAATCAAGAAAGAAATAGGAGAAAACAAAATAACACAAAGCAACTGAAATCTGGATTCACATACATGAATGTATTCAGAATAACTTTACTGTTTGTTTGTTCTAAGGCTTGGTTCTAATACTGTCTCTTGGACAAATAACTTTTTCTGATCACCTTCCCCCTCCCCTCGCCACAATAAAATAAAGTAATAAGCTCTATTTTTTTTTTTTGATTTAACGGTTTACTTATTTATTTGAAAGGCAGAGATACAGAGACAGAAGGAGAGGCATAGAGACAGAACTTCCATCTGCCTGTTCTCTTCCCAAATGGCTGCAGTGGCGGGGGCTGGGCCAGGCCAAAGCCAGGAGCCAGGGGTTTATTCCAAGTCTTCCATGTGGGTGCAGGGGCCCAAGGGCTTGGGGCATCTTCTACAGCTTTCCCAGGCACAGCAGAGAACTGGATAAGAAGAGGAGCAGCTGGGACTCGAACTGGCACTTATGTGAGATGCTGGAGCTGCAGGCGGAGCCATGGCAGCAGGCCCCAGTTCCTTGTTAGTCTAAACGTCAGAAAGTTCCACCTGAATTCCACCTGATAAAGAACTTGTTGAAGCCTACATGAATGATGGGTAGTCCCTGAGGAAGTGCTGGGCTTTGTTCAAAGTGTTACTCGAAATGAGAAGGAAAAATGGGCCATCAGAAATCGGATTAAGGCGCAGGTGTTGCGGTACAGTGGGTTAAGTTGTCACTTGGGACATCTGCTGGGCTTCCAATCCACTTTCCTAATGATGCGCTCAGGAGACAAGAGAGAATGACTCAAGACCCGGATGGAATTTCTGGCTCCTGGCTTTGGCCTGGCCCAGTCTTGGCCACCTTAGCCTTTGTGGACATTTGAGGAGTGAACCAGATGGAAAATGTGCCTTTCAAATAAGTAAATATAAACTTAAAAATGGATACAGTGTGAGCATGCACTCAAGACTTCCACGGTCCAAAGTCTTATGTTACAGAATTCTGACATCCACTCTCGATTCTGCCCAAACAAAAACAGCTAAGACAGTGGCACAATGATGATCTAGTGTTAGGAGAAACTATTCATTCTAGGGCTGGTGTTTAGTTTGGTGGCTAAGACATCTGTGGTCCACTTAGGAGTACCTGGGTTTGAGTCCCACTTTTGCCCTTGGAATCAGTTTAGCACCAAAGCAGGCCGTGAGAGACAGCAATGAAGGCTTAATGAATTGGGTCCCGTCAAAGAAAGAGGTACCTTTCTCTGAAGTTAGGAGAGAACTTCCACTTTGACGATGGCCTTGTCTAAATAAGATCAGAGTTGGCGAACTCAAGAGGCTTCCACAGCCTTGGCAGCTCATGACAGGAGCCTCAGGTGATAACTGATACCATAAATAAGAGTGTAAATTGTTAAGTCAACAACGGGAGTCACTGTGCACTTGTTTCCCATGTAGGAGATCTGTTTTTAATAAGCTGCACTATGAGAATTAAAGGTAAAACTAGTCTTCAAACAGTACTTTATAGTTTGTGTGTCTGTGTGGGTGCAAACTGTTAATCTTTACTCCGTGTAGAGTTGATCTTCTGTACTATTTAAAAATAATTAAAACTGCTTCTTGGCCTTTTGGCTAAAATCAAGTGTAAAGATATTTGAAAATGAATCTTAATGAAGAATAGGATGGGAGAGGGAGTAGGAGGCAGGGTGGTAGTGGGGTGGGAGGGTGGGTATTGAGGGAAGAACCGCTATATTCCAAAAGTTGTACCTATGAAATTTATATTTAAACAAAAGCCTTCAAAGAAAGCAAATGGGTCCTTGCTACTCACATGGAGACCTGGGTTGGATTCCGAGCTGCGGCCCCAGCCTATTCCCACCTGTGGTGGGCACTTTAGGGAATGGAGGAGAGCATGTACAGGCTCTCTCTGGCTTTCACATAATAACAAAGAACAAGTGCATGAGTTCCTAATATGTACTGGCCCCGGAGATGCAAGGAGGACCAAGAAACACAGCTCATTGTTCACTGAAGAACAAAGATAAGCAACCAGAAAATTACAGTGACCTACGTTAAGGGCAGTGGTAGAGACAAGCCTTGGATACCACAGTGGCTCTGGGAAGGGCATTAAGTAGCGGGCTCAGGGACGAGTGCTGATGTCTGAGTTGGAGGTAACCAGCTGGAGTGGAGGGAGAAGCAGCCTCTTGGAACAGACCTAGGAACTTAAAAGGAGCGCCTGGGAGGGGTCGAGACTTGCCGGTGACCACAGCCCAGGTCTAAAGGAAGGGGTCAGAAATAATAATGGGCAGCTGGTCTTGAATTTAGAAATCTGAGTTAATAAGTATTGGATATACCTCTTTCTCGATTTTTTTTCTTTTTAAAGAAAAACCACCTTTGTTCCTTAACTGAACATGCAACCACTTCTGTTTGGTTGTATAATTGTTTACCTAATCGTTGCCCTAGGAGAGCAGTAAATGGCAGCCTGAAATGCCAGTCACAGTTGGACTACACCCTGTTTTGTGGGTGACAACTACTTGAGGGTGACAGGCAAGCACTGAATGCCAACTCCTCCCCATGGAGGTGAGCTCAGTCTTTGAACGATAGGGTGATTACGTGCTGGACACAGCGATGGGGGAGTGAGACAGTCCCTTGAGTCCCCGTTGCGGGTGGATTCCCTGTTCCTGAGTGCCCTGCCAGTTAGGGGATCTGCATCGGAGGAAACTTGGTACCATGCTCTGGAGTCACAGGGTGTCTGCCCGTTCCCTGGGCATTGAACATGCCAGCACTGCCCTTGCCAGGAAACAACCCTGAAAAAGGGCAGCCAGCCGCATTCTGGACATGCCCTGAGGGCTTAGAGGTGCTTCCCAGCCTGGCTTGGGGCACGGTACTGCTCAGCCGTTTGATCACCACAGTGAGACATCTGAGACAAACGACTGATGTAGGAGGGAGCTGTATTTCAGCCCACGGTTTTGGAGGTCCGTGTCTGAGACTGGGGTCCATTGGCTGGGGGCCTGGGGGAGCACACACTGTGATGGGTTGTGGTGAGCCAGGAAGCAGAGAGGCTTTTAGAACCACCCTGGCGTGAGAACCACCCTCCACAGGCAAGCGCCCAGGGACCCACAGACCGCCCACGAGGCCCCAGCTCTTAACACTTCTACCACCTCCCAGTAGCACTGCCCTGGATGGAGGCCGTGACTTTAACACAGGGCCTGTGGGGACCACCCAAACCAACACTCACACCATAGCACAGGTGGGTCAAGCCACACCTGCCTTTTCTGCAGCTATCCTGGGCAACTGCGAGCTATGAAACGCTGCTTTATGCCAGTTAAGCAACATCTAGATAATTAAGGTGAGCTTGATTCTTCTTTGTCTTGGATATCTTTAAATGACAGGTAAAGAAATATCTAACCTTAGAGCTGGAAGAAATAAAAATGTTTTCCCTGAAGGGAATGCACTCTTAGCTAAAAATTTTAATAGCTGATTTTCAATATAAAAACAGCCCTATGTGAAATTTTTTTATGAAATTGTCACATTTCTGTTAGAATATTTTAAAAGGGAGTTTTTTTTTAAAATCACAAAACAGGGTAATTTTAGTTAAATGGGAAAAAATATAAATGTGCTCATTTTCGCTGTGTAACAGAACAATAAGGAAAGTACATCCCAGGCAGACACAGCAGGGGACTCTGCCTTCTGCCCCCTCTTGGAGGGATTCCCATTCCTGCTTCGTCGTCTTGGCCAACCACTTGATGAATGACTGGTGAACACTGCGCGGCTCTGTAATAAGTGCTTTACGCAACAACTCATCATCAGAACTAGAAGATGGGCCCATTTGAAAATGGGGCTCAGGGAGGCCAAGAACTGGCTCTAAGTTGCAGGGAGGCCAATTGTGCAGCCGTGAGTCAAACCCATGTCAGTCTGACAATGCATGGTATTCCACATGCCTCCCGCAGTTGGGAATCATTTAAAAACGTTGCTTTCTATCACCTTCCCCTTTAACAATACACTTCCCAAAATGGCTTGCATGGACCAGCAGGGTCAGAGCAATCAGGTTAGCCCCTTTCAACGCATTTCGATTCCAGGGTACCCCACGTGGTTACCCTGTTAATCCAGGGTTACAGAGAATCAGAACACAACTCACCCACTCCCTTCTCCCTTCATTTGACCCAACTTACTCCATAGAGTCGATGATCTTTTTTGGCTCCACAGAGCATGGATAGATGACTTCATCGATGTGTTTCAGGTTGCAGTTGGCAAAGGCTGTGGAGATGTGGATGAAGGCTTCCAGCTTTGGCATCTGACTGGCCATCAGCAGCAGCTGCTGGGTGGCCGTGACATTGAGCTGCACGGCGTGTCTAGAAAGGTGAAGTAGAAGGGACAGGATGAGGGCACCAGCACCCCCCGCCCCTTGCTGCATGTGTACCTGCTGCAGTAACCCCCATATCTCTAAGAACTGGGTGACAGCCACAGAGGACCGTGGCTGTATAGTCCCAGGAACTGACAGGGGTTTGTGCTGATGATAGATTCTATGTACATAAATCTTCTTCACCACAGCACCATATATATTGTATTTGGAGGACATTTGGTTCTAACAAACTGAAAGAAAAAAAAATCACAGTCCCCTGCATACAAATTAACATAAAACTCAATTCATAAAATAGAAATGAATTGGATGGGAGTGACACTGAATGTTGTAAATGAGCAATGTAAGCTGCCGTTGTTAGGATCCAGGTCAAATAGGAAAACTGATGTCAAAATCCTAAATTGTAGCTAACAGAATAAAAGCTGTATGAGGTGACAGTAAAACAGTTCATTACAGGAATACATGGTTTATCCAACGTCAATAAACCTATTCATTCATCTAACTTAATTCAGAAAGACCAAGACCAGTTCATATAGACAAAAGCTTTTTAAATGGCATTTAGCATCTATGCCCATTTTTAAAAAGATTTATTTATTTGAAAGGTAGAGTTAGAGGGGGAGCAAGAGGCAGCATTTCCATCCGCTGGTTCACTTTGCAAAGGGGCTGTAATAGTGGTTGTTGAGCTGATCTGAAGCCAAGAGCTTCTCTCAGGACTCCCACATGGGTGCAAGGGTGCAAGCATTGGGCTGTCCTCTGCTGCTTTCCCAGGCACATTAGCAGGGAGCTGGATAGGAACTAGAGCAGCTGGGACTCCAAGCGGCACCTCTATGAGATGCTGGCATTGCAGGCAGCAGGTTTACCCACTACGCCACACTCCCCTTGACTCCCAGTTTAACTTATTTACAAAAACATGAATGAAATGATGAAACAATGTACATAGCAATTTGCTTGCTTAGTGTCAGGGTTAGTGGTGATTACAGGGTGCATTGCTTGTAAACCACGGCTAGGGAGGATGCCCACATTGACTACTACTTAACATCACACCAGCCCTGTAGTTGGAGAGGAAAATACAATTAATGAAAGCTTTAAGTATGGAATAGACAGTAAAAGTCACTATCAGATTAGTTAATTGTATATTTGGGAAACAGTCTGAACTGGGGTGTACAATAAGATAAGCAATGTGTCCAATTATCAAAATCATGTGGAAAAAATCACTAATTTTCCATTAAACCAAATTTAGAGAAAATAGAATAAAGGTATATTCAAAATTGCATGCTTAAGAGGGAAATTAACCCTAAAAGAATATATTAAGAAAACTGTAAAACCTCATTAATGGTCATAATTAATTTAATAAGTAAAGACATACATCATTTTTGGAGAAAGAATAGGCATTTTAAATGTCAAGTTCTACAAGGTAATCCTCAACAAACTCTTGGATTTTTTTAAAAACTTGGCAAAATTATTCTAAATTCAAAAGTAGGACAGGATATTCAGGAAGCTTCTAAAAAAAGAATGCTCTATGTATTCTTGCCTTAATAAATTACACTAGTTAAAATGATGTGTGATATTGGTAGAGATAGTCTGATTTGTGGAATACATTAAAGGGTTTAAAAATAAAATTTGTGGCTGGCGCCGTGGCTCACTTGGCTAATCCTCCGCCTGTGGTGCCGGCACCCCGGGTTCTAGTCCTGGTTGGGGCACCGGGTACTAGTCCCGGTTGCTCCTCTTCCAGTCCAGCTCTCTGCTGTGGCCCAGGAGGGCAGTGGAGGATGGCCCAAGTGCTTGGGTCCTTGCACCCACATTGGAGCCCAGGAAGAAGCACCTGGCTCCTGGCTTCGGATCGGCACAGCGCGTCAGCCATAGCAGCCATTAGGGGAGTGAACCAATGGAAGGAAGAACTTTCTCTCTGTCTCCCTCTCACTGTCTATAACTCTCTGTCTCTCTGTGTAACTCTGCCTGGCAAAATAAAATTTGTGTAAGCACTTCATATTAAATATAGAGTGAAAATAAGTCATGAATATTAACAACATACCACTATGCCAGCATCACACCTACCTGACTTTTCTTATAGAATTTTTAAATAGAATTTCCTCTTTGTGGCTAAATAAATTTGAAATGGCTAAGAAATTGAAATGTAAAAATGAAACCATTAAATTCTGGAAGAAATTATCAAATGCATAAATAATAAAGGGGGATGAAAGACAAATGCTACCTTGTTAAAATGTTCTGAGCATTCTAGAAGACAAGGAGTTAAAAGCTCCATCTTCCAGGCAACCTCAAAAAGAAATATTTCAATGGAAAAATAATTAAAGAAAACAAAGGACACCTCACAAAAGAATAAAATACTAATAAACATTTAAAAGTCAGTCTTCGCAATCAAAGAATAAAAACCAAAACATGGGGGCCGGTGCTGTGGCGCAGTGGGCTAATGCCCTGGCCTGAAGCACTAGCATCCCATATGGGCACCTGTTCTAGTCCCAGCTGCTCCTTTACAAAAAACAAAAACAAAAACAAAACAAAACAAAAACGTGGAATCCCATTTCTACCATGGTGTGAGCCTAAGAAGTGAGTATTTACATGCACAGGGACAGTGTAAGGCAGTATCACTTGGAGAATAATTAAATAATCTATGCAAAACGCAACGAATTCACAACCTGGGCACATCTTCTATGTACCTGACTGTTCTGGGAATTCATTGCAAGGAGAACACACAGAGGCAAAATAACGATGTGCACTGAGATGTTCATCACAGAATTGTTAGCTACTGAAAAATGACCATGTCCACCAATACCGCACTGGTGGAGTATAGTATATATGTGTTCAATGGAAGGTTATGTTTACATTACAGTTCATAATAGCATATTTGTTGGCCAAAAATCCCACGAACAAAATTGAGCAGGCTGAAAAACATCAGTCTGCACAGTTTGTAACACTGAACATAGATCCACATAATCACAGATGTCCTAAAATGAGCTGGAACGAATGTTCTCCACAGCACCACATGGAAGAGGGGACTTGGTGTATTTTCTGTTGAGGACCGATGCCTTCTATGACCAAAACATCACGCAGCAGACACCTGTGCGCATGCTCACATACACACACAAGTGGGGCGAGGGCAGGCCGTGTACCTGAGGTTGTCGTCAAAGCGCACAGTGGCCGCGCAGTGGAAGACGATGTTTGTGCACGAGAGGAGCTCCTGCAGGTCTTCCTTGCTGATGGCAAAGTCGTTCTGGTTGAGATCCGCGGAAACAGCCCGGATCTTCTCATGTACGTTTGGACAGAATTCCTTGACTTTCTCAAACAGCTGAAATACAAACAGAGGTCAATGCACAGAGAGCATACCACCATCATCTCTTTGTTCTTCTCAGAGCTCACTCACTTCCTCAGTTGGCTCAAAATGCTTTGTTATACTCGCATCAGTCATAGAAGGCATCTATCCAACAGTCTCAGTTCATTCAGTTGTAGTTTTCTTGAGAAACAAGCAAACAAGTCTGCTCTGACCATGAGTACTGCTTGTATTTTGAGCTTTTCCTAAGGGGTAGGAAGGTGAATGAGAAGTGGAGGAACTCAGATTTGAGTTAGTTGCTTATATGGGAAGCTGGCATTGCTCTCTGTGCCACAATGCCAGCCATCAAAATAAATTTTTTGAAGTGGATTTGAAAGTTGGCATTACAGAAAAATACGTCTTCTATTGCCTGATTCACTACCCAGGTGGCGCAATAGCTAAGGTTGGGCCAGACTGAAGCCTGGAGCTTCATCCATTCTTTCATGTGGGAGGCAGTGGCCCACATACTTGGACCATCTTATGTTGCTTTTCCCACACCACGAGCAGGGAGGTGGATTGAAAGTGGAGCAGCTGGGGCACACACTGGTACACATATGGGATGTGGCATTTTAGGCAGTTGCTGAACCTGCCATGCCACAATGCCAGACCTCAAAATAAAAATGTTAAGGAATCTCATTTTCATATGCATGGTAGTTGTTGTCTAGCAAGAGAATTAAAAGAACTCATGTACTTTTTTTGTAGGATTTTAACTTATTTATAATATAGCCAAATTCTAATATTAAATCTGTATCTTAACATCTTGATTCCAACGTCATTTGATAAGGTGGAATGTTATTGCAGCACTGGTAGAACACATTAACCCTAAGGAAGAGTAAGGCCAAATACTCAGAAAGATTAAGATCAGGGGAATTAGTCTGGTTTTAAACCTAAGGATGGATGGTTAATGCAGTGGTTAAGACACTGCTTGGGACTCATAGAATGGCAGATGTCCTAAATAGCACTCTGGCCTCAGAATCAGCCCTTAAGGCATTCGGATCTGGCTTAAGAGCCCATGAGAGTATTTTAGGCATGGAAAGCCAAGACACTCTGGAAAAAAAAAAAAAAAAGAAGACCTAAATGAAAGATCTCTGCGAGTGAGATCCCAGTGGAAAGAACGGGGCCATCAAAGAAGGAGGTATCCTTCTCTGAACGGAGGAGAGAACCTCCACTTTGACTATGACTCTGTCAGAATAAGATCAAAGTCGGCAAACTCAAAAGGCTTCCATAGCCTTGGCAACTCATGACTAGAGCCTAGGGAGATAACTGACGCCATAAACAAGAGTGTCAGATTGTTAAGTCAACAACAGGAGTCACTGTGTACTTACTTCTCATGTGGGATCTGTCCTTAATGTGTTGTCCAATATGAAGTAATGCTATAACTACTACTGAAACAGTATTTTACACTTGGTGTTTCTGTGTGGTGCAAACTGATGAAATCTTTACTTAATATATACTAAATCAATCTTCTGTATATAAAGATAATTGAAAGTGAATCTTGATGTGAATGGAATGGGAAAGGGAGCGGGAGATGGGAGGGGTGCGAGTGGGAGGGAAATTATGGGGGGGGGGCATTGTAATCCATAAACTGTACTTTGAAAATTTATATTTACTAAATAAAAAAAACACATTAAAAAAAAGACACTGCTTGGGATGCCCATGTTGTGTTGTCAGAGTAATTGGGTTTGGTTCCACCACCACTTCCAATTCTAGCCTCCTGCTAATGTGCATCTGAGAGCCAGCAGATGATGGCTCAAGGGCGTGTGTCTTTGCCACCCATGTGGGAGACCAACACTAGTTTCTGGCTCCTGGATCTGGCCTGGCCTAGACCCAGGTGTTGTGGGCATTTGAGTGGTGAACAGTAGTTGGGAGGTCTCTGACTCTCTGCCTTTCAAATAATATGAAAGTAAGTAACAAATAAAAACTTAAAAATAAACGCAATATAGTAGCAGAAACAGTTATTTTCTTCTCCTGAACTCCATAGCAATGCTTTCATCTGTGATTCCTAGTAGTGGGCTTCTTTCCATTAGAGGCATGAGGGAACTTCAGATTTGTGGAAAGAAAGAATTTAAAGACAAGTTTATTTTGGTGCAAAAATATTTGTAAATCTGCCTGACTTTCTCATAATACATATTTTCCGTGAACCTTTTGGAAACTCCTCCTACGATGCATCTCACATTTTTTTGCATCAAAAATACACTCCTCTTTTCTATTTTTCACCTCTCACTTTTTGAAGCACCCTGGAATACCATTGGCTTTTGTGTTGGTTACCAAAAAGTTGATGTCAGGTAGTCAGAAAAATCATGTCTCATTTGCATCAGGCAAGACTGTGCTCAGAATTCAGCAAAGATGATTAGGGAAGGGATTCAGAGCCCCAGATTGTCTTGGCAAATGAGCATATCTCTGTCTAAGCTACTACTTTTTCTGCACTGCAGGGTGAGCCTTTCCACTGGTTGTTTGTGCAATTCTGAAAATAACCTGGAAGTCAGAACAAGCCTCAATGCGTTTTCAACATCTGGGATTGATAAGGATGATGATATGTCCTAGGCACGTACTCAACACAGAGGTCATTCTGGGTCTTCTGCAAGATCTTTCTGCCCTTCTATTCTCATTCAGTCATAAATATGCAAGGTGTTTGCTTTCACAGTCGAATGCTTTCTTCTTTGATAGTTCATGTTAATTGTATAATAAACATATGTTGGACATTTGTGGATATTTTTCTGAATTTTATGCAGTTTCCCTTTTGGTAAGCAATGAATCTGTAAAGGCTCCTTTTGAGTCGGCCTGATAGATCTCTTAATCACTGGAGACTGATTTAGGGTTTTGTGGACTTTGACTTTGGCCTGTGATGAGTTCTGGCTGCAGGAGAGGAGAAGTGGTGGATAACATTGGCTTCCATCCTCCAGCACTGGGGCTCCTTACACGTGATGTGAGCTGCCTTGTACAGGTTTTCTTTTGCCTCTGATTTTGTGACTTTAAAAGGCTGAGGATTCTGCTATGTCATATTGTACTTTTTGACAACCTGTGTAAGTACCAAGATGCCACATTTACAATTTTGCTTCTTAGGAGATAGTTACTATTTTGGGAAATAATATTCAAATCTGTATTCCATTTATGGATTGTATTTTCAAAGTAGAAAGCAGGTCTGACTGAACATAGTACATTTTTTTAAAGTATGAATTTTCTGAGCCAGATAACAGTTGATTATAGTGAACAGAGATAGTCAATGAAGTGGCTGCATCAATTCAAACCACAGCACTAAATGAGGGTTCCCTCTGACTGTTTGCTTGATAATATGGGTTTGCCTTCTTGGGAAACTTAGAGATACTAGCAAAATAATACCCTTTAAATGTTACCACACCCTGCAGAGAGTGCGCAAGGTGACAGCCAACTGCCATCTAACCGACCATGGTTTTAGCCAGCACTTCGCAAAGTGTTACCCACTTTAAATGACTGTAATCACTACTATGCATATCAGAAATGCAGATTGCTGGATCTCACCCCATATCCTCTAAGTAGGAATTATTCTGTGATACAGGAATTTGCATTTCACATCAAGTTCACATTCAATTTTAATGTGTACAAATGATGAAACTCTTTCTAGTTAGAGTGTTAACACATTCAGCTATGGAAGAACAATTGTGTGTGACTCTTTCCTCTTCATAACTGCCCAGAACATTTCTCCCATGAGAAATTTACAAACTGTGGGCATAAAAAGAACCACAGAACCTGGTTAAAGGTTATTGCTTAGTCTACACTCAGAGATCCTGACTCTACAGTTTGGTGTGTAACTCAGGAAGCTGTGCTTCTTAACCACCTCTGAGATGTGTCTCATGATCCAGGTACCATCCCTGGGGAAGCACTGACCCCATAATTTATGTCATTTCTTTAATTCATACCTATTTAAGGAGATATAAATGCTCATTACCCTGAATTTATCACTACATATTGTATACATGTAGCATACATTGTATTGCATATAAATGTTATTATAAAATACTAGGAACAAGGTTTCATAACATGGAAAAGCAGGAATGCCCTTTGAGTTTTCATAATGGAGACTCCTCAACTCTGACTTTCTCAAGTCTATACCATTTATTGGGAACCATTTGAGTATATGATATTCCTCCTCTAGCTTTTAAATGTGTTGATTCTTGTATGTTTCTGTATGCTTAACAGTATGAAGTTCATTGAAAAGACTCAAGTTTTTGCTTGTTGATTTGAAGTTAACTCCTGAAAGAATAGTGAGGGAGCCATGACAGGAGCCTGATGGCTGAAACTGTTGGGCTAGCCATTCCTTGATAGCAGCGTACTGGAAGACAGCAGATGGCTCAGGCTGAGGACACGGGTGTTTCCTGGGTCCTCTGTGTTAATCACTAATGGGGCTGCAAGTGCTCAGAGCAGACTTGCTTCTTTTGTAGTGACGACAAGACTGAAGGACAAGAGAAAATGGTGCAAATGGATTCTGGAGAGATACCAGACATTAATTACAAGCATGAAAAACTAGATGAAATATAAAGAAAAGCATTTCAAAAAATCATGGAAAGCACATCAACAGGAACTTACTAGTTATCTTAAAGTCTATGAGTTTATCATATTCCTTCTCATTGCACAGTCTCATGCAAGCACCATTTAATGGTCTAGGGTTGAGGAGTAGAAGAGTTGAATAGTCTCCATTATCAGAACTCGAATAAAGATTTCCTGCTTTTCCATTTTATGAAATTTTGATGGGGTACAGTGTGGTAATTTGATAAATGTATACAATGTGTAATGATCAGATCAGGGTAATTAGCATTTCTAATTCCTTCAATATTAATAATTTCTTTGTGTTAGGATTCCTTCTAGTTCTTTTTTTTTTTAAGAATTATTTTATTAATTTGAAAGACAGAGTTACAGAGAGAAGCAGAGCCAGAGAAAGAGAGAGAGAGAGAGAGGTCTTCCATCTGCTGGTTCACTCGCTAAATGACAGCAATGGCCAGAGC